TTACCTGTGACGATATTCCACACGTCACCTATCTGTAGATACACCTCGATCGACTTCCTCCACGGAGCATACGATGCTGGATCGTGGGATAACTTTGGGTGGTTCTCAAGAGAGATCTTAGACGACACGGAGGTCATTATGAGGAGAGTTAGAAATGGGAACTTGCCTTTGTTATACACAGAAGGTATGTGACTTCCGACTGTTAATCTGTTTGCTAATATTAGATGATAATACAGAGGGGAAAAAGAGCATGCATCAATTCTACATGTCTCTATACTTATCACATTCCACTCACACGCATAAAACCAGAGACGATCGAATAAAGTTCAGAGGATAAGTTGAACGGAGAAATATTCGACGGAAGGGGTAATTCTAACGGCGGTTCGGCCGTCCTGGCCCGATTCTATCGGCTAACACTGTCCACACACATTTTGTCACATGTCATCTATTTATGCAGGGGGAAACTATGCCGAAATTTTTTACACATTATCTGCAGATGCTGACTTGTAGAAAAAAAGGAGGAGCCAAAAGGGAAAGAAGCGTCCAAGGAAAAAACAGCGTACTCGAGCGGGTAAAGGCAGTCAGGCGTCTGTAGGTGAACGTCTGAGACGCAACCATCCAGTGTGTGAGTGCCCCGACTTCCCAATGGCAAGAATGACATTGACAGTCAGCCCATTATGGTGTCCGGTATGCAAAGCACGATATCCTACACTCCGGCACCCCTCAACTCAAAGAAAGTGAGGACGGGCAGAAGAGGGTCCACGATTTCACAAACGTATATGAAGACCTCCAAGGTTCACTTGCACGATCGGGCATCCAACCTGAAGATGCCATTGATAAACCGGCTGAACATAAGATTGGCGACCGAGACTTCAGGATCAGTCACCCCGATCCCACAGAAGGTAACCCGGACAACCTCGTCATCTTTTTCAGACGGTTTTTCAAACCTGATGGGAAGTATTTGAAGGACATCATGGCCGCGTATGAGGACGTTCTTGCTGTAAGTGCAGTCACTGAATGTGGGCTCTCGTACTGATACACAGTCCGGCTTGAAACCTAAGACTGTCAAGGACCTTAGAAACCCGGACCACCATGCGTACCATCTGGGTATCTGGTCTGGCTACGAGTGGTATATCTTTGCCTCAAAAGACACTCAGCATCACTCGTCCGTCGCACATCCGACAAAGCTGAATGGTGACAAGTGTCTCACAGCAGTCCAAGCCGAAGCGGTGAAGGGTCTTCTGTGAGTCAGCTTGTGTACCTAGTCCTTCTTCTGACCCATAGTGCCGCCTTACGTCGTGCAATGGGTGGCACATTGTACAACAAACTAAAAGATGTCGACTCAGAGACTGCTCAACGCATGCGGACGATTTCCCATGATCTAGCCAAAGCGTCACAAGTTCAGAACCTGGCACAACGTGCAAAAGACGAGGAGAAAGCGGCTGCAAAAGGTAGCAAAGTCAGTACCCTTTGGACATTTGGAATCAAGCTAACTTCAGGCGAGAGTGATTGCTCATGGGCAAGTCATTGATGATTCTGCTGCTAGACAGCTCAAGCTTGGCCTCAACAGCATGGTTGCTGTCAATGAGGGCACATCCTCTACCTGGCACTACGACTCTGAAGATGATGACAGTTTTTACACTGTCATCCTTGTGACTGGAGATGGCGAGTGGGGCGACGATGAAGGGGTGATGGAGATACCACAGTTGGGACTGAAGCTACCCTTGAAACCAGGTGATGTTTTCATGTTCCGCAGCAAAATCCTCCTCCACTCTGTATCCCCTATCACCTCTGGAGCAAAAAGAGTACCCTACACATTCTTCGTCTCAGACAGGTCTACCAGTGTGATGCGCAAGGCTTGGGCTGATGAAGAGTTTGATCACTGCATAGGTATCACGTAGAATATGTAGACAATAGGTGATTCATGTATCTCACACTACGCAATAACTAATAGGATCCTTAGCACCCTGTTTTCTCCACATAACTCCTGTCCTCACGACTTTGAACCCGATGGTCCTGCTTCGCTGGAACTTTCTTGGAAAGTCTCTTCTGCAGCGGAGCGCTCGACCGGGTTGTTGCCGCGAGTGTTGTAACGAGTACGTTTTGCAGGAGAGGGTGTGCTGGGGACACTCTTATGACCTGGGACCTGCTGGCGACCGGGAAGAGAGATGTCGAGTAGCTCAATGACATACATGCCACCAGGTTCACGGCGGATGATTTCACCAAGGACCCCAACAACCTGGGATTGGGCGGGTAGAGGGACATTACCCCAGCGTGGGCTGTCCGGGATCCAAACTCTTATGCGGAAGGTGTTCATCCTTCCATTCTGTGCGTGATGAGCAGAAGATCAAATCACATAACACCAAGCAGTGAACTCACCCCCCATACCTGACCCGCCAAGGTGAATGTACGATCCACATTGCTCGCTTCAACGGCACCTTGGGCATTGACCATCAGACGTCGGCCACCAGGGACATGCTGAAGATAATCTTCGTCTGCAGTCAGCAACAGCCAGTGGATGGTGATGACGCTCACCATTGACATCTGCCCAGCGGAAACGCTCCATGGTAAATGCAAAGATGTCCATCTCGGCCTGGACCGAGCCATCATGAGCGAGCGATCCCCAGAATGCCACCACCTCGTCGGTCACTGGTGGGTCCATGGTGAAGTAGTGGACATTGACCGGATGGACCACAGCATCGGTAAGCAGATCGAGGTTGCAGAGGAAGCGATGTTGCCTGGGTCTCACCGGAGACACATGGTCTCCAGCAATGAGGAGAGGACCATAAACACGACAAGAGTGATTGGGAGCAGGGGCGGCCATTGTATTGGTGTTTGTCTGGGATCAATGGAAGAAGTGGGTTGCGTTGCAATGGGTTATATCACATCCAGCTGATCGAGTTGTCAAGACAAATGGCTGGCCAGTCTGAGACATCTTTCGGTGGGGTTTACCCAATGCGGTCACTGTTCTTGTCTGTCTGAGACGTATGCTTGAATTACAGAAACCTTCCACCTCATGACCCACCTAATCCGGCAGCCTGGAGGACTTCACGATACACAATGTTTGGGGTGCCTGTTTGTCCGTCCGGAAGGAGTATCTTCAAGCTCTGGGGTGATGTAGACCGAGACAGACCAACGTACAACTGCCCGTGGGCAAAACAAGGGACAGTGAGGTCGAGCCCAGCAAATGGTAGTGACTGTCCCTGCGCCTTGTTGATGGTCATGGCAAACGCAAGCCGGATGGGGAATTGTCGGCGAGACAGAGTGAAGGGTAGATCCACCCCGGGATTGGTGTTCAGCCGGATCCTGGGGATGAGAACGAAGGAGCCATCATGTGTTCCACCTAGTATCAGGCATTGGAGCACACGCCTACCAATGTGGACCAGGAGGAGGCGGGTACCATTACACAAGCCGTCTCCGGGGGCAAGGTTACGCAGTAAGAGGAGGGGGACACCCACTTTGAGAGACATTCGGTGGAGCGGGAATCCTGATGGCTGGAGAGAGTTGAGGTATTCTTCAGGCAGGTCCCCAGGCATACCGTTCTCCTGGAGTGCTGTGTCGGCCGATAGGGCAGTAACTGTTTCACCTGGAAAGTCTTCAAGAACCATCTGGTTGGTGGCGTCAACCGAAGTGTTATGGGGGGCTAAGATGACTCGTTGGCTGAAGTATCTGCCAAGGTCTCCCGTTTCGGTGGGATCCAAATTTGGCACCCGGTTGTAGATGGTGTTGATCAGATCAAGCCTGGTAGAGCCAGCGCCAAGGACAATATCAGGTGGTAGAGAGATCATCCCACCCACAGTTTCTGCTTGGCCGTCACCAACTGTCACAAGCCATCTGGCAAATGACCTCCTTGCTTCATCCACATGGTCAGCCATCAGCCTCATGTTTTGTCGCAATGGGAGAAGGGTGACCACAGACCAGAAAGACGAATGGGTGATGGTAGCGTTGATGATTTGGCCGCGAGTCGCTTTGGGAATGACAGGGAGACACTGGCGCAGATCACCTGATGAATTAGTGTCACATCAACCAAACTTGTCTGAAGAACGTACCTGCAAAGACGACTGTGATCCCTCCAAATGGTGCTGAATCCTCTCTGCAATCCTGCAGCATCCGATCCACCGCTGCAAAACAGTGACAATGCTGCATCACCGCTTCGTCCCATACAATGAGGTCTGTCTGCCTGAACAATTCTGCCAGAGCAGACTGAGCACTGACCGGGCAGGTGGATTCAGGACCCGTCTGGACTGGGATTTTAAAGCGAGAGTGAGCTGTTCGTCCACCTGGAAGGAGCAGAGCAGCGACTCCAGAAGATGCCACCGCAAGCGCTATCTTTCCTTGCACTCTGACCTCAGCAAGACAGATCTGTTCCACAAATGTCTTTCCTGTGCCACCAGGTCCATCAAGGAAGAACAGTCCGCCTGTCCCTCTCTCCACCGCCTCCTTCACTTGATCCACGGCCCAACGCTGTTCCTCATTCATCACTTCTCTGGCAGCCGCAATCTGCTCCTGGAGCTGCTGTTCATTGTACTGGCGTTCTTCCCGGATGATCGATAAAACTTCCAGATAAGCCAGGTGAGCTGGAGGTTCAGGTAGCTGCAGGTCGGTCATAGATCTCCCATGCTGCTCCGCGAGCCTCGAGAGCAACCCTAGGCCAAGAGCCTCTACATCCTCGTCTGTGGGTTCTGGGATCCCATGATGGGTCCTCAAGCGGTATCTGCAGTCGTCAAACAGGTCTTCACGGTGACGGTCGAAAAGCCCTCGGGGATCGTTGGGCGAGCTGTGGATAAGGGTGGTCACAAACAACATTCGGAGAGCTTGAGCTGACTGAAAGGTTGCCGCTTCGTCAAGGCAAAGGTCATATTCCCTGTCGCTCTCAAGAAGCCCAAGGGCTTCACAGGCCATCTTGAATGTGGCATGCACCGTACCATTCACGGAGCGAAGGAACAGGTAAGACTTTGGGGAGGGGACGTGGTACAGGAGCATGCGGAGGTAGAATCTCTGCAGAGTCAGCAAACAGCCACTTTCATATGAGACAGACACTCACCTCTTCCTGAGCGTGAGGAACATACACAACTCTCCCAATGCTGCGTCTGGCTGCCAAGCCCCTTGTTTTCCATTCACCCAACGATTTGTGCCACGTGAGGAGGGAAGGAGCGTCGGGGTAGAGGAGTGTGCGTGTCTCGTCAGGATGATGGCTGCAGAATGTGAAGAACGCCTCGAGCATTGACTGGCGGACATCAAGCAAAGAGGCACGAGCGTTGGCTGTGGGTCGAAAGAGAACAGGTTGGTCTCCAGGGGTGTGTACCACAAGGCGGGTGACAGAAGGAGAGTGTTCAGAGATTTCAAAAGCAAAGAGGCGATAGCAAGCCTCTGCCGGGGAGATGTAACGTCCGTCAAGGTAATCCGAGATCTTGTCACGAACTACGTCGTAACATCCCTGACAACCACCATCACCGACCCTCCTTTCACCATCACCGACCTTCCTTTCACCATCACCGACCTTCCTTTTCACCACCACCAACCTCCACTCGAACCACTGAGACCAACTACGGCGAAGTTACGAGAACCAAGAGGGTATTTGTCACGATAACCCCGCCTAGCGGAGAACTACGGCGAAGTTAGGGGAAGGGAACCGAGGGAGAGCAGAACAGGGGAAGTTAGGCGAAGTTAGTCGAGGTGAGCGGAGTAGGATATCGGGGATACGGCGAGGTACGGCAAAGTTGAACGAAGAGGACTGAGCGTGAGGCAGTGCAGGAGTTGAGGGACGTTCTATGAGAAGAGAGGAGTAGTATAGATAGTTTACAGATCGCTGAACTTCTTCAGCGATCCTTGATTGTTGTCAGTAGTAAAAGACAAATAGAGATAGCTATACATCGAGATACATCGCCATCAATAGAACAAAGCCTTAGTTAGAGTAACTACGCCGAAGTACGCCGTAGTTACACTCCTTTCGACGTCTGCGCCCTCCTGGTTGGGTGAGACATCGACTCAGAAGCGTGAAGTTAGCCGAGGTTCGTCGACCGTCGGTCTATAAGGAAGAAGTTGCTCGACGGCCGTGACAGATCTCATCCACCGGATCACCTGGTTCATGGATGACAAAGGCCGACCGGTCGCCTCCTTTATACACATACTTGAAAAGGTACTTGACCGCCGCAAAAGCTGAAGCTATCTCAACATTGAGATGACAGTCGTACTTCATTGAGAGGAGTGGATTATAGGGGACCACCCATTGGTTGGTGAATGTGAAACCATCCCGTTCCACCGTCCTGCCGTCCCGTCTTCGGCGATAGGTCGGATAACCGTCATCACCCAAACTTGTCTCGTCCTGGAAGGGTCGAGGATACCTGGACTTGCACTGGCCTGACGTCATACAAGGACAGGATGGGTTTACCGGGCCGCATGGACCATGCAGCATGCAGCTTGTGACAGTGGACCAAAGCATGGGTTGTTCTTGCTGATCTGGCAGCTCAGCAGAGACGAAGGAATCCACATCTGCCGCTGTCAACGGGCGGTTGTCTGGATGGAGGACGAGTAGGATGTGGGCATGTGGCAGACCCCGTTTCTGATATTCAACGACATACGTCCAAGCGAGGACCCGACCAAAGGTGTTGTTTTTCACAAGATCAGACATAAGGGAGGTCAGCTTGAGGCGGAAAACTCTTGCCATCAAGTCTGGTCGGTCGTGGGTCGCCTGACCTGGGCCAAGCTGTTCTCGGATCTCTGTCCAATTTGGGTTGCTTGTCATGGTGAGAAAGAGAGTAGGCTTGCCGTGGAAGCGGACTATGGCCATGCAGTCCTGATACGTCTGGTACATATATCGCGGACTGCCGACATGAGAAGCGGGAAGGATGGTTCGGATGCCAATTCGGCTGGTGTTGATGCCGTCCTCAATGGCCAGTCGCAGATTGTTGTAGGACTCCATCCTGAGCTCCGCTTGGTTGTTCCTGAGCCAGCGCAGCTGTTTCTGTTCTACCACCGCATACGCATCAACAACCCATTCCTGAAATAGCATCCCTGCTCGGTGCAGAGCAGAAAGAGGCTGGTGTTGGCGTGTGAAGAGATGGAAAGCATGCCAGAGACGGAGTGAGACAGTGTTGTTGCTGACTGCTCTGTCAGCTGTGGACCTGAGCTGAGGTGAGAAGAGCCCACTGACCATTTGGAGGTTCAACGTTGTGAGCAAAACCATGCAGAGGTCCTTGAGGTAACGTGCGACACCAGCCGTGTGTCCCAAAGGGGAGAATGAGGACAAATCTCAAAGGGAGGTATGCCGAGAAGTCCTCGTTGACCTCCTGCAGACCCCTCCCACCTGCTCGATGGTGGACGGTGAAACTTCGATGACTCCCTGCTTCACTGCCCTCAACCACTATGGCTCCAACCTCCTTTGCTCTAGGCTTGTTGTACCGACGAGGGTCCGCCGACCACGGCTCGATGGTTGAGATCTGAAGGTTGGCGGTCACACCAGGCGGGAGTGCTTCAAGACGTTCACGGGCAGACAGAAGAAGCTGAGCCCAACAGTTGTTCTGCTCCACCATTGCCGATAATTGCAGCATGAGGTCGGGGTCAACAGCGCCGTCTGGTGCTTGCCCGGTTCGACGTGCAGCTTGCTGAACCAAAGAGTTATCCGAGATGTAGACCTGGAGGAAGCGAGGCTCGGATCCCTCATTCGGCAAAAGTGGACCGATTCGATGACACAGTTGTCCTTGGATCTTGAAGAGAGGAACGCCGGGTGTGTGCATGATGGGATCCTTACGTACTCCTGTGGACATGAAGGCGAGGGCATTGTTGTACGAGCGTATGTTTGTACGGAAGTGCCGTGCAAGCCGTGCATCTGAGAGACCGTCAGCCCTATCCTCCACCTGATCCTTCAGTCACTCACCGGGACCAGTTGCTGAAAGGAGGTAATCAAGGAGAGGCGGTGGAGATGGGAAAGGCTGGAGGTCGACTCGACCGAACTTGCAGCAGAGACGGAAAGGTGAGAACGTGTTCACCGGAGGGTTGGTTGAGGCCTCTTGGGGCCAAAGGTAAGCTTGGCAACAGGGGCAAACGGCATTCATGCGACCAAGATAATGTCGGTGTGGTGTGAGAGGAAGGAGCGGTTGTGTGCCCCAAGGGAGACGGGCGTGCTGGACTGGGACACTCTCCCCGAGGATGGATGGCTGGGCTTGAGCATGGCGGCGTGCAGCAGCTTCACTGGCTCTCCATTCATCTGGTTCTACTTCTATGACTGGTGGAGGCTGAACCCTTTCGAGAGCCCGTCGACGTCGCTGTGAACGTTGCCGGTTCTGCTGAGCCTGGCGACGACGTTGGGCGACATTTTCGTCAAAGTCAGGTGAATATCGGGACGGTCTACTGCGGATGCGGTGAGGCGGTGGCCTTCGTCTGACTGGCATGGTATGTGTGATGAGATGCAGCTGGTCAAGTGAGGGTTCGTGAGAGATGATTGGCAATTGCGTTGATGGGAGAGTGGACCACTCAGGGTTGTCGGTTATACTTGTAGGGGTGAGGGGTTGAGCTCGGAGGCAAAATTTTCAGGCGCGCGAGCCAAGCCTTTGGCACGTGGATGCCACATGGTTATGTGTCCACCGATTACTTTGGTTCTCGTGTATATATTATAGATGTGAGATGTTGTATCATGATAATGAAAGAATGATCTGAAGATCTTTAACAATCACGCGGATAACATGAGTAGTATGAGCTGGGGACCCAGATCATGGCTTCACTTTCTCAATGGGGAATCAAATCTCAATCACGTTCATTCTGTCATGAATGCAGTGAGGGACCTGCATCATAACGTCGTCGCTAAAAGGCCCAATACTCGACATCTGCCTGGTACATGTCGAGTTCCCTTATAAGGGGTACACAGTTTCTGACACGTTCATACGCCTTCTCCTCATCGACTAGACCTAGATCTAGACGCTTGATTCCTTCAAACTGACCTTTGCTCCATTGTATATTCCTTCAAATATCGCAGCATTCCTCAGAGTTGATTTCAATCCTTCCCACGTGAACCTACCTGATAAAGTTGTATTCTGCAAAATCAATAATACATGCTCCACCTTTACTTCACTCAAAGAAATCAGGGTCACCGCATCTTGTCTCTCCGCCAGGATAAGTTCATTGACGTACCAATCAGTCATAACAGTTGACGTCATGGTCTCTCTTGCCTTTCTCTTCTGCTCTTCAGAGTCAGTATCATTCATCACCTCTACTACCTCGACGTTCAAATTGTTCATAGCCCACTCTGTTAACCTGTCATCGATGGAGCGCGAGAGTGCAAAAAAGCTGTCTAGATGAGGAACGGGTCTCCAATTGCGATCGATCTTGTACAAAGTCGCTGTACCTGGTCTACCACAAGGTCTGACCCATTTGTTATGTCGAATGAGACTGTGTACTTTTGTCCATTCCTGTGGGTTCCAATCTGACATTGGTATTCCCTTTCCTTTCCTTTGTTCTGCTCTCGTTCTCTTCCATCCTGTCTCCATCCCTACTCATGCCTCGCGTAACTCTCCTTTCTGGTTCCATAATATCTTCGTACTCATTGAGTCTCGCGCCCGACTGCTTTGCTTTGGGTTCTGGTACAGTGTCACGGCCGTCGAACAACTACTTCTTAATAGACCGACGGTCGACGAACCTCGGCTAACTTCACGCTCTGAGTCGATGTCTCACCCAACCAGGAGGGCGCAGACGTCGAAAGGGGTGTAACTACGGCGTACTTCGGCGTAGTTACTCTAACTAGGGTTTTGATCTACTGATGGCGATGTATCTTGATTTATAGCTATCTCTATCTGTCTTTTACTACTGACAACAATCAAGGATCGCTGAAGAACTTCAGCGATCTTCTCAGCTAATATTATCTACTCCTCCTAGACGTTCATCCAACCCTCTCGCGCTTTGACGTACTTCAACGCACTTCGTCCAACTTCCCCGAGCCCTCGGCCATCCTCTTCCTCCTTCGACTAACTCCGCCTAACATCGCCGCACTTCTGCTCCCATTGTCCCTACTTAGCCTAACTCCGCCTAACATCGCCGCACTTCTGCTCCCATTGTCCCTACTTAGCCTAACCCCGCCTAACATCGCCGTACTTCTGCTCCCATTGTCCCTACTTAGCCTAACCCCGTCTAACTTCGCCGTACTTGGTGTCAGAAGTCCTGAGTTACGTGTAGAGTAAAGAGGTTAAGGCGTGATGGGGTTTTGATGGCCAAAGGAGGGTCATTGTTGGTGGAGTAATCGAGGTGTCACGACGTAGTTCGTGACATACAGAAGAAAACAAGCCAGAGGAAGGATCATGATAGTTGGTATTGTGATGTTCAAAGGTTGGTGTTTGTTTTATCGTTTGATCAGAATCAGATGTATTTTCATTGTCTTCATTCATTTCTTCAACATCACCTAGGTAAGACCACAATGGCAGGGTAAATTCATTATTCGCCCCTTCAAAGTTGAAATTGTTTGAGTTTTCACTTCCTGAAGGTGGGCTGTTTTGCGGGGTCAAAATGTCGTGCAGTTGGACAGCATCAGGGGGGGAAACCATCTCTGTATCTTCCACTTGAGAAGCACTCTGACTTGTCAACCACGTCATATCTTCATCATTCAATAACTCTTCCATCATTTCTCTCCCTTCAATGTCCCAGTTGAATTCCATTTCTACTGGCTGAGAATCCCCAAAAGAACCCAGCGGTTGCTTAACATTGATGGATTGGTCTTGAGGAGAAGTATGGTCTTGCGTTTGTTGGTACATCACAGCCCATTCCTCTGGACTTTGATTGATGGAGGAAGGCAGGACAGATGGTTGAACCCCCTCTTGGTGAGCATGTTCATATCCATCTGTTGAAAAATCAAAGGTGCCATAAAGAGGGTCCATAACCTCAAAGACAAGCGTACCTATGGTAAGCTCAATTGAAGATGAATAAGAAAGAAAAACGGAATTCTTCTGAAGTGATGTGTTTCTGTCTACTATACATGATCGTGATGACAACTTCAAAGTCAGCAATGCACAATACACCTGAGACTACCTGATCAGCGCCCTTCATGTACGTCTCCTTTGTTGGTCAGGAAGGACATCACCCTTGTTCTCCAGATGGAATGACCGTATGGGTCAAAACGCGTATCAGACTCTGTCATGCATCAGCTATGGATGGACGTGGACGGGCTTGCGATACAATGGAAGTTGTTGCGCACAAGCCAGGAGATGTTTAATGTGATCAATGACGGCAGGCGGGGACACGTCATCTTTGCTCACCTCACTGCTTATCCGAGCAATTGGAAATCCTTTCGATGCCTTCTATCCGTGGGTCCAACTTCGAATGCGTACGATTTCCTCCACCTTCGTTCCGGTGATACTGTCCGATCAGAGAGGCCATATATACAATGTGCAGATGTATCATTAACAATGATGTTAGCTCAGTATAATATTACGAGGGCACTGTTGTAAGTGAGCCAGAAACAAGTCTACAAACTCATCTCATCATCACGGTCAATACATTTCGCACTGATTCTCTTAAATATGCATTCCGGATCATGCTCTAAGAAGGCATACATGTCGTGGTCAACGACGACTACGACGGTAAGTAACACAATCGTTCGTCAGATAATCAAATCAAGTGGTTAGACATTCTTGCTAATCAACAATCTCAAGACTTCTTGCCAACAGAAACCGATTCAAGACTCACTTGACGGTCACTCACCATTATGCCTTTGGTAAGCTCATGATACAGCTTTCCCACCAAACCCTGATACGTGAACCTATCACGCAAGTTTGAGCCTTCTTCCTGCATCCTCGTCAATGCTTCACTCACAGGCGTCTTCCACAAAGTCAGGAACGCCTCAGGATCCTGAGTACAGGCTAAGGCGACCTCGTTAGCATACCATCTTGCTGCAACCATAGATACCGCTTCTTCCCGTACCGCTTGACGCTCTTGAGGCCTGAAAAAACTGTCGGATATGACAATGGTCTTTTTCATTATCGTCATCAAACTCTTGTGCCAAAGCGCGGCTAACTTTCGAAAGCTGAGACTATGAGGTTCGGGGCATTTGTTTCGCATACGGTACAAGGGTACCTCGGAGAAGAGATCTCCTGCTTGGCGTATGTTTCGAAACGTCTTTGACCAACGTCCAACGTCCCATTGACGCTCCTCTTTGACAGTCGAACGGCCCGAGCAAACAGGAGTGGGCGAGTCGAGTACTACTTCGGAAGTCCTGTTCAATTGGTCAGGCGCCTTTGCAGTCCTTCTGAGACCAGGTTTGTGATAGGGATGAAACGCCCTGCGACTGCGAGATAGTGATGAAGTTGGAGTAACATGAGAATTTTCCGACATGATATCTTTGACATGTGGTTGCATCGTCACCCCTTCTTCATTTGATGACTCCGGAATCGTTGGGACATTATTGATAGGAGTTGCTTTGTCGCATGATATGGGGGTGGTCGATGATACAGGGGTGGAGTATACGTGGTCCATAGCATCCGAGTATGACACGATCTGATTAGACAATTCGGAGCTGGTGGGGAGTGAAGCATTGGGGAGATCCGCGTCAAGGTGGGGGTGTTGGAAGCGGATATCTGCGGTTTCTGTTGGTGTTATCCACGCGTTCGTCATGATATGTGGGCTAGGGTCTTGTCCATACCCGACTGGCCCGGGGAAGAATTCACCACGGGAAGGGTTTTGGACCGCTGAAACTTCTACCAATGCAGGATCCAACATGAAAGTTGATCTTGGATGGATTCCCCACATCCCACGACTGCCCATCAGAAGCTCACCGCAGTGATGGCGGTAAACAGTCGAGATGTGATGGTTGATAGGGAAGGTCTGCTCTAAGTGTGTTTGAGAAACCTGAGCGGGGTCGTCCAACATCCCGGTATTCCTTGCCGAGTGGTTCACAGAATATCGCCAATGCGCCGTAATAGGGTGTCGAGTCATATTTAGATCATAGTTCTGGTAAAAGTATTCGTATGGGTATTGGGATTGGAGATCGCCAGACTGCTCCATAATGATAAGTTCGTAGGGAAGGTGATCAAAAATTCTCGTTTACTGCAAATGTCAGCCAAATCAGGATGAAGCACGGCCGATGAACAGATTCAACCAACCTTATCGAGATTCGAATGGACATCCTGGCCTCGAAAACTTTGCCTTCTAGTCTGACGGTTGAAAGGAACGAATGAGATGTATGGCCGGCCAAAATATCGATTCGAAAGGATGTCGACTCGAAAGGATGTCGACGAGAAGGCGGGAGTTTCCATTCACTGTCTCCGACGAAGTGGATATCCATGGTCCTTATCGTATCCTGTCCCTCTGCATACGCATTCGCGTCCAACTACATGAAGAAGACGGATAGAGACTCATAGAAATGCGAGGATTGGGTCGAGGCTGATTACTTACCCCGTATATTCCATGAATCTCCATTGAGGAAGCTTTGACCATTCCTCTTGGCCAGTGTCAACTCTAACAGCTTACAGGTAGTTTCTGCATGAACGATTGGAAGATATGGACACATAGTCGGAACGAGGATACGGAAGATCAGGTTGAGAAGGTTGGTACGTGAATGGTGAGGCCGCCAGAGAGTAATTCTCGTTCATGATTCGAAGAATAGTAGTATGACGTTGCCGCTCACAGACGGGAAAGAGTCTAGACAAAAGTTAGCACACTCAAAGATCCCCGATTCAGAAGATGAGACTACGAACCTGGACTGACTCTCTGCCAAAAGAAGGATAAAGAATGGTAAATGTTGATAGGTAAGTGTAGGGAGAGAAAGGTCGATGGAGAAGAGCAGTGGTGCCTTTGACGATGAAACACGTTATGTCACAATTCCCGATATGTTTGACCTCATAAGAGTATATACAATGTGAGAGTCCAGATGCAGTAGGGATATCATGGGCTGACAAGGATGCATCAGATGGATACTGCTATTTATGAGGGTCTATAGGCAGATGGGATGAATGAGAGAACAGGTAAAAACAGACGGTGACATGTAAAATGTGAAGATTGGTTGCCTTTGACCCCAAAGTCTAAATCATCCGTGATAGCTCATGACAAGGTGACATGTGATGTCAAAGAGCAACATGGCAACACCTAAATCAAACTGAAATCATAAGTTGATCTGTTAACAGGCAAGAGTTTCTTTATATCCCATTCGGCAGCCCCAGGCAGAGGGGTGAACGTATACTCGCCAATCCTGATCTCTCCTGCTTCTATGAGCTTCTGCCTGGATTTATCAATCAGGTCAGCCAATCTGAACCTTCCATTTAGAGGAGATCCTTCACAATGCATTGACTGCAGTGCATCTTGTATGGTCATGTTTTGTAATTTTGCAAATTCTACTGGGTCTTGGCAATGACTTCTGTCAACCTCAAGGACATACCACTCTGCTAATGCCTTGCCAGCAACTTCGTGCCATGCACGGGATCTTTGGGTTTTGAATGGGCTTCCTATGGGTCCAGCAATACTAGCAGACAATTTCCAGGATTTCAGCAAGTCACGTCCTGACAACTTGGTGAATGCCCGGAATGATTGATAATCAGCTATAGGTTCTCCAGTCACCCCTGATACCAAGTACAAACGATCTTGATCTTGGCCAATTTGCCAGTGCTTGGGATCAGTAAGCATATTCGTAATGGTCACGAACCAAGTGGAGGGGTCGAGAGGGTCCACACGCTGCTTCTTCGTGCGAGAGTTAGATGACACCTTCCGAGGAATAGGATCACGCCTGCGAGAAGCCCGGAGCGTAGGTTCCCCATGAGCAGGTGACGGGACCCTACTGACGGGGGGTGTAGAGGATCCCGTCTGATTTGTTTCCGTTTGCACAGTCGGGACATAACTGTGATGGAAGTCATTTTTCAAAGGTAACTGAAAAGAAGAATTACTGGTTGGCGTGTTTGAATCGATTCTATATCCGAACTCATCAGTCATGATATTGACACCGTGGTTTATCGATGGAGTTGAATGACTGAGGTCCCACCCTCCCGGCAATACGGCGGATGCCGTAGCTACGCCTGTGAGTGACCTGTCAAACGGGTCAAACGGGACTCCAAAGTCTCTGGTGTTGCCCGTATACCCGGGGTCCGTCACTGGGTCTGGGAGGAAACCATGCGTGAAAGAATGATTGTTGTGGCGAGAAATGTTACTATAGCCGACTTGGCGGTCGAGGCGGTGGTCCTGCGAGGGCATCATTCGGCCGCCATGGCTTCCATAAGCGACATCAAATGATTCAAAACCCTGGTTGTACATGTATGGCTGCTCGCTGTCCTGGAGGTTCAGTTTTGGCGCGATGGTTTCATAGGAAGATTCTTGGTACTGAATCGAGTCAGGGTGTGTTCGAGAGGAATCCTGAGTGAAAGCTGACATATCAGGGGGGAAATCAGTTATATTTTGATGATGAGACATCGAAGGGGATGAGAACGATGTTTAGGGTCAGAGAGGGTGATATGAGGAGACAGTAAGAAGCCAATCATAGGAGTTAAGCCCCCGCATTTAGCGATCAGAAAGGAGGGCGAGAATCGAAGGCGGCCGTTGCTAAAAGGATCGATGTTTTTGGCATGGCCCACCCGTATGGCTGGGGTGGTCCTGTATCGTAAACGTCGACACAAGGGAGGCTCGAGCTCCGAGTGGTGATCAATGAATAGACAGACGAAAATGTGGCAACGGACATTTAAGCAAGTTGCTAAGAGCAGATTTTGGATCTCGAATGGCCGCGAGGGAAAGAGAGATGGTGTACGAGCGTGTCGTTCCGAGGTTCGTCGTCTCGAGCCGTATGGGGGTGTTCGATGGTCGTATATGTCATGTTGGTTGCTGAGGAGAAGTTAGTGGTTGGGATTCCTTCACGCCAAGGGACAGAGTCGATCATGAGTGTAGAACGTGAGAGCTGCGTCAGTGAGGCGCTATGTCAGAGACTGACCTCCGTAGCAGCAACCTGGATGTATCACAGGATTATACTCTACAGCTCCATTGCCACCATTACCCACCGCTCCCGATCCCATTCCAAACCTCCTGCCAGCCCGCCAGGTCCAACGACTTGGCCTCCAACGTACATGAGCGAATGTAGCATCTGACCGAGACTCTGTGTATCTGCCTCGGACCTGTCGAGCACAAGCACAAGGAGTTTACCCTCGAGTTGATCGGACGCGAGATCAAGCAACGCCGTGAGGCTTTCCCGGAGATCCAATGCAGATACGTCGGCAACCAGTCCTGATGGAGAAGTCGATAGTCGCATCGGATCGTAGGGACGCAAAACTTCTGAAAAGTTGGCGCCAAGGGTCTCAGGGCGAGCGGAAACGGCGAAGATTTGAGCGGCGAGTGGTATGAAGACATGACGCCCAGCGGTGGGGTGATCGAATATGAAACCGCTGAGTACATTATGAGGTGGAGTCACCACGTCGAGAGGATGAGAGTAGATATCCACGAAAGACGCTTGGTAGGGGAAGAGGATGGAGATGAAGGGAACGGTAGCCCGATGACGGATGGGAGTAATCGTAGCAGATTTGTGGGTCGATGGGATAGATGTATGTTCGTGGGAAGAACCAGTGAACGACGAAGTAGGAGTAAGGGGTAAGCTGACATGCGAGGTTGAAGCACGACTAATGTGAGGAGTGGGATGGAGTGGGTAGGACGAAGGCGGCGTGAGCAGGTGTTCGTGGACCGAGGGAAGAGATCCGGGCGAAGGCTGAGAGACTGGAAGCAGGTAGGACGACAAAGACTCTCTCAAGATCCTTGATGACCCTCCGACCAAGTCCTGTGAATACTATCAGCACTCTGAGCAGATTTGAAATGAAATAAAACTCACGGCAGGTGCATTCCCCCTGCTCATGTCAAAGCCACTGCCGGCCACCCCCGGCGAACGCCGTGGAGGATCGTTCTTCGGCGTACACGAAGACCTGACCGCCCGAGCCACCCGTCCGGGCGATGGCCAGTGGGGCAGAGTTAAAAGGAGAATCAAGTGTGAATACGGAGAACAGGAGAGGGAGATCGGGTGCCCCTTCGCCAGCGCTTCCCAGGGCGCGGCTGTAAAGTCAGCCAGAGAGCAGATGGCTTCAGGAGAGGCGACTCACGCGGGGCCAAGATTCCGGTCACTGATTGACATTTGTCTCGAGTTTGTATTCATTGTAATGAGCTGCTTGTGCGTATGAGTGGACTGTCCTAGTGGTGCTTGTGACTGGTGTTTGGATGAGGTTGCGTCGTTGTGAGTATATATGTAGCAAGGGTGGTTGTTAACGATGGGGGGCGACTCGGCGAATCGGCCTTCGGAGCTATCGGTGATAGCTGTTTGTGGCACTCTTCTTCCTTTGCCACCGCCTTCCCCCGGCTCACGTTCTTTCATCTGTCTAGGTATCTATCTTCCTATCTTTCATCTCTTGTATCATTGTATATCATCCTCACAATGTCCTCCCCTCCTCGCTATACAGACGAGCCTGCCCCTGGATCCAAGCCAGCAAAGACCTACGGCGCTGCCACCACAGACTTGGAGTCATCTGTCCCGCTGCTCGCCTCAACTTCGCGTAATGCCTGGATGGATCAGCCTGCCTCCGATGAACTTCCCGATGACTTCAAGATCGGTGTGCTCGTGATAGATTGTGACGAAGAGATACGTCGTGCTTTCGTACGCAAGGTATACTCGATACTGTCCATACAGCTCTTGGCCACTGCCATTGTCTCCGCCGTCCTTCGTCTTCCCGCAGCTGTCGCTTTCCACCAGGACCATCCATGGATGATCTATATCCCCATGCTGGGTAGTTTCGCAGCTCTGGGTGGTGTGTACTGGAAGAGGCACCAGCATCCTGCCAACTTGATACTCCTGGGGCTGTTCACTATGTTCGAGGCGATGTTGGTTGGGACGGTGGTGAGTTACTACGACAGTAAAATCGTGAGTTTGTTCTTATGTGAGTGATCTGATCGTCGACTGACTCGCCTAGGTATTACAAGCTCTATTCATCACTCTCGGAGTGTTCGCAGGACTCACACTGTTCACGTTCCAGACCAAGGTGAGATTCTATCTTGCTTGGGAGGGTGGCCATACTAACAGTTCAGTTCGACTTCTCGTCCTTTGGTCCTTTTCTATTCGCAGGTATCATGGGACTCCTCACAGCTTCTCTCGTCTCCATTTTCCTCCCTTTTGATGCCAATCTCGACCTCGGTATCGCATGTTTCTCCGTTCTTCTTTTCTCAGGATTTGTCCTTTACGACACGCAACAGATACTGAAACGGTTCAGCGTGGACGAGTATTGTATCGCTACCCTTACGCTGTATCTGGATGTCCTCAATTTGTTCTTGAGCATTCTGCGTATTGTACGTAAAACTTAAATTGTCAATGAAGAACGTAGCTCATGCATCAGCTGAACAATCAGAACAACCGATGAAAACCGGATGGAGCAGGTGTCCTGCCGCATTTGGCAAGACACACGAGAAGACCTTTCAGATTTTCTGCCCACTCGTCGGGCCATCATTATACCATCCAGCTCTAAGATCATAGTCATGTATGCTTGTATGTCCTTCCTCCCACAAGCTATAGATTGATGAGCAACTAAGAACGTCCGACACGTTAGCAAGACATCGTAGGTTGCGCGAGCCAAAATTAGGCTGGACGAATTTGCTACTTTGGGCGCATTTTCCCAAAGAGATTTCGCGGGATGCCATAGTAGCCCCGACGACGCGCTATCCAACCTCACGCTATTGAGCACCAAGCGTCGCGTAGTACTCTACATATCTTGCTGAAGGACATTCGGGACTCTAATTACTGACCAACAACCAGACCAGCGTGAGGATAGACTCACTCGCTCACTAGCACGATGGGCTCATCATCCTCTTCGCAGTTGCTCGAATATGCATATAAGGACCATCGTTACCGACAAAACTCATCAACAATTCTTCAGCTTCAACAACACAACCATTTCACAACTTCAATACTACAGAGTAGACTTCGTTCAAACACTTCCTACAGTAACACTCACTATCCAACATGCGTACCCAAGATCTTCCCCTTCTCCTTCCTCTCCTCGCCTCCCCTCTTCTTGCTTCTCCGGTCCCTTACACTGGTTCGCCTTCCAGCCCTTCCGTTCGCGGGGACTCCGAGTCTGTCAAGCCTGCCTTCCCCAAGAACCCCAAGCTCACCGTTCCCATTCACCGCCGAGCTCTCAATCTTCCTCGTGACGGTGACGACATCTTCGGATCCATCGAAGCCGAATTGGTGAAGATCGAAATCAATACCGTCCGCGCAAAATATAGCAAGGCTTACAGCTATCTGGCCAACGTAGAGCTGGCTGCAGTCGACACGCCCAATGTCGAGGATGTGACCACTTCCACTGTTACGTCTTCCACATCTTCTGTTTCGGCTTCTGCATCGACCTCGACTTCCGTCGAATCTTCTTCCTCTTCATCTAGCTCTGCGAGCCCTTCATCAACTGAGACCGCAAAGATCCAAGAGATCTCATTGCCTTCCATCTCCCTTTCCACCCCTAGTATCTCTGTAACTCTCCCTGCTCCCAGCACTTCCGAGGCCGCTTTTTCATCTGCGATGTCAAGCGCGGCGCCTAGTCAAATGGCAAACCACACTACTCGGGCTGAGATAGAGTTGGAAGAACGAGGCAGCGGATCAGGCACTGTACCTCTCACCGATTGGATATCCGGATCACTCGATGTGCTCTACTACGGAGCAATCTCTATCGGTACTCCTGCACAATCATTGACGGTTGATTTTGACACTGGATCTGCCGATCTTTGGGTAAGTCCTGCAGCATTTCTTTGAGAAACCCTTTGACTGACGAATAGCTCCCGGTCAACTGCTCCGACTGCTCCGCCGCTCAATTTGACGCTACCAAATCGTCTACCTATGTTTCCACAGGCGATTCATTCTCCGTCCAATATGTGAGTTTTAAAACTTCACTTGACATCATCCCAGAGAATAGCCAGATCTTACACATATAGTAACGGAGCTGACTTGACAGGGATCTGGATCTGTCACTGGTACTCTTGCACAAGAATCCGTCGCTTTAGCCGGTCTTCCAGTCCAGGGACAATACTTCGGTGCCGTTTCTTCCGAATCCGACGACTTTCAATCCAATCCTAACTCCGGTGTACTGGGTATGGCTTTCAGTTCTATCGCCAACTCTGGAGAACCGACTATATTCGAGAATTTGGTCAAAACTGGCAAAGTTTCCAACTCTTACTTCGGTTTCCATCTTGCTCGTAGACAAGCTTCCGGTTCAGAGGTGAGTTGATCTTTCCTTCCCTTTCTCTCCATACCCCATCTCGCGCGAAGCAAAACCTATATCACCGATGGATATGGGATTAGAGCTGATTAACAGCTTTGTATCGGTTGTTACAATTCTGCCAAATTCAACGGAGGAATCACCTGGTACCCTCTTGTTTCTCAAACATACTGGTCCATCAGTCTCACCGGTCTTTCAGCCAAAACCAACGGTCAAAACTCTCTTTCTAAATCTATAGTCGCCGCCATTGATACCGGTACCACCCTCATCTACGTTCCTTCTTCCATAGCCGATGCTTTCTACAATCAAATCCCCGGAGCTTCAAAGGCTTCACAATTCGGTGATGGTTTCTACCAATTCCCTTGTCAAACCACCGCTAGACCCAGCATGAGCTTCAACAATCAAGGTCAAATGTTTTGGAGCATGTCAGATTTCAACTTGGGACGTACAGGACAAGGATCTTCGTGAGTTTTCTCCCTCTTCCTCTACATATCAACCCACTCACATCGTCTTCTCCACTTTGTTTATCATTGTGAACATGCGAGAGATAGGATTAGAGACACAGAGAACATCGCTGATAATATAGAATGTGTGTCGGTGGTTTACTCGGTATCAGTGATGGTCTCCCTGACAACCTCGCCATTGTCGGTGACGAGTTCCTTAAATCTTGGTATTCGATCTACGATATTGCTGGTAACTCTCGTGTTGGTTTTGCTGCCAGCATCAACAATCATTAATCTTCACATACATACCTCTATCTTTTTCTCACCCCGCCTTTCCTTCCCATCATCAATCTTTGAGTAACTAGAAATATAGAACAACATACACTTTCCGGTTCCTTCTTCACTACATCATCAATAGTATAGGTCAACCATAAATATGCATTCTCTGACATAATAAACAATCCGGGCATGGGCCTTACGGTCCCGATTAATGAGTGTACTTACCTGATACAACACGATACAGTACATAACAAGATTAAGATACGATAGCTACGTCTCACGACATTCGAAACGAAGCCGATCGCACGGATCATGGCTTTGCCGACTTTTCTCACTTTTCTCCACCCTTCAACCCAAACAATGTATCGGCCATCCAATTTAACCGTCATAGACATCATACAAACGATAGATGAGTACAATCCAAGTCATGAGAAAGAGAAGGAGAGGCGTGGGAAGGGAAGGGAAGGGCAGGAGACCCGCCCGGTTGATCCGCCCGGCCGATGATCTCGGACAAGATAAACATGGGGGATCAAAGTCTGGACTCTACCCACACAGCTTTCTAATGCTTCTTAGTGAATCTCATATCCCCATACTTCTCACCATCTGAGTTCAATCCAAGATTTTCCCATCAGGAAGGATGAACATGTCCAAATGGGAAAATACGGATTACCTAATCCGTGAGAAAATTTCCCACTCCACCTGAGCCTTCTAAGACCACAAAACAGGACATGAAGGTCGGACTTTTTAACGTTAGATAAGGTGGGAAAGTCTCAGAGGTGAAGATCGTAAAAGGAGGTCCTTGAGGAATTGATTGGCAGAGAAACTTTCTAGAGAGATTATTTCAGCATGTCCGGAATGCCAAGAAGTGAGAAGACCAATGAGAGTGGGAACAATCGTCATTCAGACAACTTAGACCGTTCTGAGTGTTCAAGCCTTCCGGAGTTGACATCCTCAGAAGGGGAAGACAATGAGAGCATCAATGACCACCCGTCAGCTTCAGAGGACCGGTCAGGTGGCCCCACTTTACAAGCTGGTACGACACCAAGGAGCTCCAGAATAGTTGACAATGGAAAAATTCGGCCGATGCCAGGGAGTGCAAAGCTGGTAGACACAAACCCCAGAACATGGAACACAAAGTTTATTAAGAGACTGATGATCAACCCAAAAAATACGGGATCTGTCTTTTCTGCTTACTCCTTGAATGTATTGCCACCTTTCAGGCTGACCGGTAAGGATAAAAAAGTACTGACAAGCAGCAATTCAGGGATGATTGCAATAGTTAAAAAAGTCTTCGAGAAACAACCTAGCACTCTCTATGACTGTACTAACAAGATATCTCTATATGACACGAGAACTCATTCCCGTGCCACTAAAAGCTTCCACCCAACACGGTACAGGGCTGTGAGTGTAGCTTGTATTCAAGCTTATCTAAAGGCATTGGACATTGTCAACTCCGACACGGCCTCACTTGATAAAGTCAAAGAACTATGTGGCTCGTGGGATTCGACAAAGTATGAGATGTTGAAGAAGGTAGAGTCTCTGAATGGATTGTTCACAGCAGGAAAATTTGGAGAGTCGATCAAGACAGAGTTGCGAGAAGGAGTGACACTATCTCAGCATATTTGTCTTTATCCGTCCTAGACAGTGAAAATAGTTGTAAGATAGGTTTCCATGAATTGAGCAGAGTTGATTGGCATTGTCTTCCCAAATGCTCCATCACTAACTGTCACAAATGCAGTAAGGGACCTGCAGCATAACGTCCTTGCTAAAAGGCTCAATACTCGAGATCTGCCTAGCAGTCCCAAGCTCCCTTATAAGGCCCTACCCTGACACTAGTACTGCTCTCACTTTCTGATCCGCTTCTCATCTCATCAAGATTTGCCTGGGGACCATTTGGATCCAGTTCTCTTGTTTAGGCCTCAACCTCCTTACACCCTTGTAGATAGATACATGTGTACAGTCTTTGCATAATTGAGGCCTGTTGTACTCTGATACAAACCAACATGATGTCCCCGGCCGGACCAAGTATCTGTGACAACCACTACTTATAGGAAGATCAGCTCCCACTAGTGTCGTTTCCATTGAGCCTTTTGGACAGTTGATGATCACACACTCACTACCTAATCATAGCAGCCAGTTCTACGCCTGTATTCAACATTCTACCCCTCATAGTTTGATGGGATATCATTGTCACGACCAGGTCAAAGCGGGAATGAAGATGGTATGGATTCCACTCCCGCAATGGGAGATCCAACAGCTGATAACCGGTCGGTGAAACTCCTTTGCTTACTCAGAGTTGGCATCGGACTGAAAATAGAAGTAAGGTGGTGGGTCATGTGCAGCCATGCCCTTAACGAGAAATCTGCGCAGGTCAAAATAATCATTCCGTTCACAGTACAAGTACTACATATCACCTTGGTACCAGCAGAGGTCCATCATCGATAATACGTGCGCACGTTTCCCGTTCATCCACCCCCTCCGTCCTCCCCAGGGTCAAACAAAACATGCGGAATGAGCTTCTACCCTTCGTTCTTGATTGAGACTGATTGACAGCAGATAGCACGGATGGATCGAAGTTTGTGATCCCGGCCAATCGAACAAACCTTTCCATGAAAGTCAGGTCGAATCATGGCGTTGTCTTCCCCTTATCGAGCGCGTCGTCGTGCCGTTCGCCCCGTAGGTAGAAAATTCAACTCCGAGCGGGTTGCTATTCATTTCAGGCTAGAGTTCGATTCACCCATCGTGGAGAATGTCGGGTCGGATCATGTCCATGGCTTCCCCATATGGAATACGCCTTCCTGACCTTCTCCCCCTAGACAAGGTAGATTTAATCAGAGCGGAAGGCCTTTGATTGATCACTGGAATTTGGATGCTATGGATTAGCATTGATGGTGAAAAGGGTGAAATCTGCCTATCGTTTCAGATACATATATCGGGAATTTCAAGCGTTCACTCACCTCGAAAGATCTTAACATGTCCAATGACAACTACTCGTACTCCACTCCCAGCACCCCAAGGCCAAACTGTCCCCACAGCTCCTCGCTGGCACCCCTATCTGTCATGGCATCCATACCTGTGTGTAAAGAAAAGGATCCGCTCGATATCACCGAAGAGGATGTGACTACGTTCGGACAATACCACTCGGACGAAAGATCACTGCAAATCACTGTGATCGGACCGATGGTAGAAAGCATGTTTTCGAACATTGGCTCGGACCCATCTTCGATACAGTCATCTTGCGATCGTCCCCCGTTGCGGAAGACTTGGGACTCCTCCGACGAACGAGAGGATGAGTCATCGCATCACACCCAGCACAACAGTGTCGAGGGTTACTATGGTTCGAAGTTCGCAATAAGGTTGAACATCGAGAGCGATGATGGATGTAGATTGATCAGAGAAGCGTTACAAAGCTTGAAGAGCGGAGTCCAGGATTCAGGAGCTGTTGAACGAGACGGACGTCACAGTAGTTGAGATCAAAGGGGAGAAGGGAGAGATGGTCTAGGCTATCATCTACGACTCGTGACGTAAAATGAGTATCGATAGGCGCAGTAAATATGACTGGGATGGTGATGGGGGAAGAGCGGGCTTAACCATACACGTTATGACGTCAGGCATGAGTCTACTTTCGGTTCTCCTAGTATCCCCATGATGAAATGGGCTTCTCGTTTGATTTGAGATGTCCACTGCGGTATCATTGGTCGGGGACTTTCGAAATTGACCAAGTTCTCGAACCTAAAGGTAGATAAGTGGCCTTGACATCAATCGGCCGGAGCTCGCACAAACTCGCGGACGATATATAGGGAAGATGGTATATCGGTCGGTTTGGAGATGACGTAGGACGGATAAAGGAGTGAAGTGACTTTGATGAAAATCAGCTTTCGAAGGGATGGACCACTAGGCCCAAAAACTCGGAGCCCAAGGCTTCGTTTGTCGACCCAATGAAGAGGCGGAAAAGTTCAGATTACATCTATGGCCCGTCAGTGCGGCGGCAGAAAGATGAGAAACCGTAACTTACCCCAAGATCCGAGAGACGTCTCAACGAAGGATAGAAACTCCGCTCAAAGCGATGACGATTCAATCAAGAGGTCTTCGTTGTTTATGTAGGTCACTAATGCGGAGTCGACGATGAGAGTACTTTAGTCGGGTCATCGATTTGAGATCGTTGAAGGCGCGTATCTGTACGTCAGAGATTTGAAGTTGATCTTGAAAAGGATATAAACGTACGATGAGAAGGAAGCAACATTCTCATTCTCCTTCGCACCTTGCGCATTGTCTCCTGACAAGATGAAAAGCACCGTACCCTCACAATCGTGCCCAGCGTCCAGACTCTCAAAGTCTATCGAGGACTATGATGGCTCAGTTCCCCCTTCACCGACCGCCAAGCCGCCAAGTCACTCTCAGATACCGATTCGGATACCAGTTGGAGGTACCCATTGGCCCAGTCAGGTACCGGATCGTGCGATTGGTTTGCCCGGTTGAAGGCTTCCAAGCTTTTCCCATCATCCCCCTTTCCAACGGTCCCATTGGGTAAGATACACCGCAGGTCGTCGAGAAAGGCCGGCCGTTCTTCAACTACGTGGCTGAAAGGCTCTTCAAAAGCAAACGGGTACCCAATAGAGGTGAATGTCCACCAAGGGACGTTTACGTCCGTATCCACATCGGTACCGGCACAAATGGAGGGTAGTCCTAACGAGGGTGTTTCCATTGATGACACACTTCCTGAATATGGACAGACATACGTCACGATCGGGACCGGTCGAAGTGTCCCCTCGAGCTCTCGAGCAGTAAAGGATAGACGCCGAGCCTTCAATGGGTCTGTCCTTGGGCGGAGTTTCCTGTCGAGTGTGGGATTGTAACGATTGAGCAGTGTGGGAAGGATAGCATCCTTCAGTACTATGCGTGTGTACACGACGTTCTTGGTCTTGATTCGCACCCCAACTTTGCTTTCGAGCTTCTACACTAAGCTTGTACAATGTGAGCATCTGTGATGGGTCGTATATAGATGACAACGATGTGAACATGTGACAAAGTCAAAAGACTAAGTTTTAAGTCAGTTGCAGCTCGTCTACTCGTCATAGTTGCAGTTGAACTCTTGCACCTTGTTTCCTTCCTTTCACCCTCCCCTCCTCTATTCTGTGACTTACTCCTCTTTCTTTAGCCTGACCCCTAATAAGAACCGCTATTATCAACCCACATGTGTCTTACTCGATGACCTCTGATCATCTCACCGCCCTTCGACATCTCCGTGATACCCTCCAAAGTCCTATCCCTGATGTCGACTCGTTCTCCTTCCTCCTTTCTTCTACTCTTCAATCACTCCACCTTCACTCAACGTCTGTCCCTTCTTCTACCCCCGAGCCCTCAGTCCTCAAGGCCATCCAAAGGTTCTTACCGTCTGTCCAACAGCTGCTCCTTACCAATGCTGTTCCGACATTCCTCCATGCTCTCGATGAAGGTCACAGAGCCTTACTCGACATTTTGTTCTGTCCGGCCAAATCACCGAGCTTCTCTCAGCTTCACGTAGCGAGAAGGATAGCGTTCATTTCTTACTTGACTCTGTCTTCTATGCTATTATCAAAATCCGACCGGCCATCGCTACCCACTCTCAGTCGGCAATACTTGCTGGAGACCTTACGAAAGCTATCGGGGGCTCATGGGATAGACCAGCTCTACTGGGCTGTGTGGGGAGGTCAACTCGGTGAAAAGGAGGATGACATATCTCGACAGCTACAGTGGGAGGACACTGTGAAGGCGATTGTGGGCTTACCGGCCAAGGTTGCTAATGCTGTCGGAAGGTGGAAGGCGGAAGGTTGGGAGGGAGACGTTCCAATCGAGCTCATACCACGGTGAATCACTCATTTGAGTCTCAACGGGGATGCTGACGTTTGCAGGTCATACTTCCACAAGCTAGCTGTCAGCCTGGAAAGTATCATCTATGAGACTTCTCAGTCTCAACGTTCGTCGTCATTTCCTGCTTCCCGAGCCTTGCTGATATACAGGTGATCCCTCACCCTTTCGCGCAGTTTTCGAGAAGTTGTCATCTGTCGGCTTGATTTCTACCTCCCCGTCTGTCACAACTTCTCCGACTCCTTCGATACTCGGCTCGATGATGCCTCCTTTGCTGTCCCATCTACGCCCTCCGACTTCCTCTCCGTTGCCCCCATACCCCTCAACCCGTTGGCCTTCACTCCTTTTGGGCCTGCCCACTTCGTCTCTCAGTAACCTTGTTGAATCATTACTCCAACACCTTACATTTCATCTGCATGAGGCTGCTGAACTCGAGCCTGATCGCCCTGATGAGCGCATTGCCAGAGCTGTCGAGGTACTGACCCTGATCATTGGGCCACCTGAGGTAGGAGGGGAAGCATGGGAAGCGGTCGCGCGGACGATCGTGAACAAAAAGATCACAGTCAAACCTATGAACGACCGGGAGTGTGCTCGAATACGTATTTGTGTGAGCTGGATGGGTCAAGCTGGAGAAAAGGGATGCAAGACGCTTCTGGACAAGGTCATAGATGCTTGGACGGATGCGAAATACGTCAAATTCAGCCTCTATTCCCAGCAGTTCTGTATGTGCCTCAATCACTTTCGTCTTTTTCATGTGCTGATTGATCACCAGATCTCACATACATCGTGCTCCTTGCAATCAGTTTGTTCCCTCCCTTTCACCCTCACATTATCTCCCTATCTCACAGACCCCAATTTATACTTTCTCTACAGGCTTATCTCGGACATCCCGACCCTAAGGTCCGTCGTCTCGGCATGCTAGTCGCTGAGATATTGAGCGAGCGAACCATGGAAGACGGTCCAAACGATCCGATGGCGTCGCAGCAGGAAGAGATTGAAGAGCTCAGAGCTGGTTTGGATGTGGACGAGACGACGGGTGAGCATCGAACGGCCAAGAAGCAAAAGAGGACTGGTGGGAAGAGGTTGAATTTTGGGAAAGATATGTGGGATGGGGAAGGAAATGGGAAAGAAGAATGTCGTTGGCTCCGACGGGCAGTTGGAGTCAAAGATGGTCAAGTGGAAATCTCAGATGACCCAACTGGCAAAGCGTGGCTGTTAGGATGGAAGGATTTACCTGTCAGCGAAGAGTCTTCCCAATCTCCAACCTTGCTTGAACCGACCCCACCTCGGAGTAGCGCTCCGGCGAAGCAGGCTCGGGAAAAGGGACGAGCGGTCCCAACGAAAAAAATCATCATGCTGGATCCAGATCAAGAAGCTGATCCACTGTCTGGATATACCCTTCCCTCTCCTTCTTCCTCACGTTCATCCTCTCCCACACCGGAATTTCTAGAGGAAGTCGCCGCTGATCCTTCTCTCGCCATCGGTAAGGTAGGTGAGAAGAAAGTCACCCGACCGGTGTACGCCCAACAGTTGGTGCTCCTGCTGAAAGAACGGGAAAAGCCTGATATGGTGGAGATGGGATTGAAATGGGGAGAACAACTAGTCCGAGCCAAACGATCATTCGGGACTGAGCTAGGTAAGTTTTGCTGCAGATACTTATGCAAGAGTGTACTGACATGTTAGCGGACAATGCCGAACCTTTGGTAGCTATGACAGTAGCTTTGAGTCATTCGTATAATATTGAAGGATTTGAAGAAAAACGACAAGGTCTTTTGAATTCTCTCGTTGTCTGTGCACCACAACAAGCAGCACCGTAAGTCCACCTCAAGCAAATTCATCCCATCATATTGGAGTATTTGCTGACTTTCAGATACCTCATTGAACTCTACTTTACCGGTCAATATGCTTTACAACAAAGATCAATCATTCTCACTGCTCTCGCTATGGGTGCTCGTGAATTATCAGGCATGTCCATCCCTCTTCCACCTTCAACAAAGAAGATCGATTTTCCATCTAAAATCCTTCCACCAAATTTACATCGTAAATACATTTCTCCCTCCGACATACCCCAAACTATCACTTACGATCCTCTGGAAGAAGCAATCTCCGGTGTACGTGATTTGGTCCTTAGTAAATCCGCTCAAAAAGGAGAAGAAACCATTCCTTCTCTAGCTCGAGAAAAACGATTAAGAGTAGGTTCTACACGTCTTACTAAAGTTGCTCCAATTGGATCCATACAAGAAACTCAAATGATGAAACCCAACACACCGAAACCGATAGTAGAATTCAAAGATGTCGCTGGGGAATATTTCGTGATGCCACTCATCAATCGATTCTGGGATTATTACACAGATTCCCAAATCCGAGAATCTAGAGCTATAGTATCCGGTTCTCGATATCGATCAGCGGGTACAGGTTTGATTTTATCTTCGATGGCATTAGAGAAATTCCTCATGACTCTAACACTTTTGATTCATTCCGCTAGACATTCTCCTACTTTTTTAGCTGTTTTATGTCCTGAAGCATTAGAATTAGCTCTTACTATTGGTGCCCGATCTCCGACTTTACACGATGAGATGGAAGGGGAAGAAGAAGGTAGAGAAGCTCAAGTGGTAGGAGCGGCTTTGGAACTAGTTTTGGTTTGTTTGGATCATGCGTTCGAGTTAGATGGAGGAAGAACGTTGGTGTATGATAAATCGGAGATGGTGTTGGCTTTAGGAGAATGGGCTAATGGTGTTTTTGAAGCTTGTAGTAAAGGTGAAAGAATGGGTGGAGAGGGAGGTTTGAGAGAAGGAAAGTTGAGAGCTACCGCTGCAGGGGTGGTAATTAAGATATCTGATATAGGTCAGAAATGGTCTTTTCTGGGGATACGGTGATTCACCTCCTACCATCCTTCCTCAAGTCTGCGCATAAATCATCTCTTCCCCGCAATTCCTTATATTCCTTCATTCGTAGCCCTCCATGGGACATCTCGCTTCAACTCATCTTCCACAAAATATCACACACAAACAAGATAAGTGATCATCACACCCGGTCGAATGTACAATATCAACTCTTTGTGATTTTTGTAATCAACTTCATGTATCCCAAAAAAACCAAATGCATGCATCTATAAATCATCACGATGACATCTTTTTTAATTCCGCCAAAATATCAGCATGCTTATCTTCCTTATCTTCTTTATACGTAGCATCACGTTGTCTCGTTTCGTTTAATCGAGTTCGATCTCCTGAAATGTTTTGACGCAAGTCTTTAAGACCTCTTAGGAAAAGTTTGAAGGTGAAAAACCAGAGTGTGGTCAAGACTAGGAGTGCTATCCAGCTGAAATATCAGCTTTGTCCTTGATCTCTTGTCAATCTCCAATACACGGAATTGAACTCTTTCCTCTCGTCTAAACTCCTTTCTCTCCGTATTATCTTCTCCTGACACCGCCTACACTGCTCAACATTTTAAGCGTTCCACAGAGAATGTAATGCTCAGACCACATTCACATAGCATACCTGCTCTTCCATCGAAGAGATGAAGAATGGACAAGGAGAAAACAAAGAGATGAAGAATGGACAAGGAGAAAACAAAGAGAAGGAGAATGGACAAGGAGAAAAGAGAGTAGAAAAGTAAAAGTGGGAAAAGATACTTTAAACTCACAGCTCCTCCCCTATCAACCCATCTGCATCTTGCCAATCTGACCAAGCTATCACCCCTACGCTCAAAATCCCTATCCATAAAGCTAAGACATGAATCACCCTAACGAAATGTTTCCTAGCTCTTGTGGCATCTTTCGAACTTCTCTTTTGGGCCTTATTACCACTTTCGACATCGCAACAATTTTGACAAGAACAAGAAGGGGAAGAAACTCCATATCGAAAGATGATGAGGATGATACAGATCAAAGCTAGCATCGCGCCTGATGATTAGTTTACTTGTCAACGCTCTTGAATCACAGAAATCTCGTGAGCGATCAATCTGGACGAGTTTTGTTATGGATCAACCGCCGAGATAGTTTGGAGAGGAGAGCTGATTGATAGCTTCTCTGGAGAGGAAGAGCATGGAAGATTGTGTCCGGTAAGAGTTTGTGAGGAACCGGATGAGGATGGAAAGGGAAAGTGAGATGGTAAAAGAGGTTGAGAGAGACATACCTGCACCGAACCCCATGAGCATCCCTGATAATGCCAAAGTACCATAAACCGCACCATTGGCTATATCTCGTAGGGAATAAAGATATGTGAATGTACATTTTCCCCTATAAGTCAGGTCACAATCAACCTCTCTTATTCAGACCAAGATTCATGAGTATCAAGATTCTGTTTAACTGACCAAATGGGGACAATCTTCTTTCCGGCCCTCCACAGGTGGATATATAGACAGATCAAGGAGAGTCAAGAACATAACGGATAGGATCAAAGGGAGAAGAACGAGGTTAAGGTAGGAAAGAACAGGGGGTGATTATGACAATACAAGATGACTAATGGGAAGAAAGATGTAGCATCAGGGATCAAATGTGGTAAGAAGAAGATGACGGAGAAGGAGGAAAGCAGAAAAACCTACGAAGAATCACAATATCCCCAAGCTCCTAATTTGTAATTCCCCACCTCAAAAAAATAAAACTTCTCCGCGAACCCTGTTCCTCCTACACCAAACAGAGCCAACCCAATCATACCCATCACCACCACATGAGGAATATAAGCGGCTATCACTAACCATCCGTCCCATGCCCAAGTCGAGTGCCAATGATGTACAAATCCCCTCGAACATCGTTTATGACATATGTCGCAATATTCTCTCTCTCTCTCTTTTACAGGCTCTCTCGCTTTCCCTCTAGCTCTTGTTCGGGATGTATTCTGTTCTCTGTCCTCCAGTTCATCTGCCTCATCCTCATCCTCGCTTTCCACTTGGGATCGTTTGTTTTGGGTTGGCTGTCTTCGGAGTTGGTTGTCCGTCTGAGGTCGTGCATTTTGCCTTCTTTGAGATGGTTGATCGTTGGTATCTGGACGAGGAGAAGGTGCCGATACCGTTGAAGGTGTGTACACGGTCTCCTCAATATCACTCTCCGAAGAGATCGAGGGTGATAATGGTTCGTGCCCAGCACGTTGTTTTGATTTAGGACCCCCAGGATTAGGTGGATCATGAGTGTTGGTCATCCCCTCCACAATATATTATCATGAGCAACCTGATGATCACAGTTAGAATAGTAATCAATGACCAACCGATGTGTCAAATTCGCATACAACCGGGGTGAGCGAGTGAAACTTGGAGTCGCATCCTTTGCACTTCTCCGTCCGGATTTCAAAGGAGGGCGGAGGTGAAACTTCGGAAAAGGGGATGTAAGTAGGGTCAGTACTGACTTGGTATGCTTGGATGCCGACAACAGGTTTGGTACATTTTGCGAGACACTTGTCAAATGAACTTTGGCCGTTATTCAGAGGTACCGTCACTCAGGTCTGAGGCGGAGTCGTCCTGTCCATCAGCGAACGTTCTTTTCCAGTCCGATTCTACGATGCCGAGTCCTGGCAGGTTTCAAAAGAAATGTAGTATAGAAACGTCCGACTATCCAATCCCAATGTATCAGAGGAGAATCCAGTGTGGGTGTGAAACACAGCACTCAACAGCACCTGGAATCATGACGAAGGCCGCATGAGTGTAGCATGGGAACGAGATAGATGTCCTAAAGATTGGAAGATTCAAAAGAGTTGATTGGACGACATGAGACGAAACGCACATGTCCAAAGAACGCAAAAGCTTTAGCCTTTTCCCTCGGTTCGGTCCTCTCTCTACTCATCTCCCTAGGTCTTGCAGTTTTCTGATCCATCATACCTGGCTCATGTGGCGATCCCAAGTGTCCTCGTCCATGAGGTATCCTATGTGTCCCATCGACCCTGAACGCACTTCCGTCAGACCGAATATCATCTCTTTGGCCTTGCTCGCCATCCTTTTCTCGAAGCTCGCCCGACACACCTGGATGTCGCTGGTCGTCGAGTTTCGCTTTTGCTAAAGCTTCTATCAGATGTCGCTGGGACAGTGGTGGCGGTGCAGCGCCATGAGTGACATAACGATCTGGAGTGGACACGCCAGATTTTTGTAGGTGAGGTGCGAGACGGGCGTGTAGCTCGTTGGTCGGTTGTTTGGCGGTGGGACGGAGGGTCTCCCCAAGGATGGGAGAGGAAGGGGAGGAAGGTGTGGCTTCTCCGCCGGATTTGCTGAGCCGTCAGCCTCTCGTTTCTCGGACTATCGTGCCTTCCGAATGTTCCTCGAACATGTCTCAAGCACACCAGGCTTGGTTCACAGAGGTGATGGATCCTTGTCGAACTTTGGAGAGATGGCAGATGCAGAGGCGGTGAAGCAGGGGAAGACATGTGAGAGAAAGAGTAGAAGAGGAGACACTGACTCGTCAATGTCATACTGTTCATCCTCGTCCTCCTCATCTTCATCGTCACTTGTCTCATCCTCTTCTTCTCCCACATCGGCCTCACGCCGCGTCGCTTGAGCTCTGGCTACTTTGGCATCCGACGTCGGTTCATGATGACTGCGACTCTTGGAAGGCGGGTCCTGCTCTTCTTCCACCACAACAAAAGACTTCTGCTTTTCCCTTTCGTTCCATCGCAAAGTTCGCGAGATTGATTGGAACCAGTCCGTGGAGGCTTTGTCGGCGCAAACGGTTGGAAATGGGTATTTTGATGCGGTGACCTTAATATGGTCGCCTTCTGGTCGGTGTCAGCTAGGCAAATAGATGGAGATCGTGCTTAGTCTCACAAGTCACTCTTTTCGGACCACATTACGACATCTTTCTCATATAGAATGCAGATGATGGCAGGGGAGAGAGAGTGGAGAGCTGGGAGATCTTGGATAAACAGCTGGGGAGACAAAGTGAAGAGCTGGGAAGAAGAGTAAACAGCAGCGGAGAGATGAACAGTAGGAAGGGCTAAATGCACAGCGGGGCAGCAAGAGTGCGTAGCAAGGGAGCGATGAACGGCAGGGAAAAGTTGAATAGGAGGGGAGAGACAAACAGCAGGGCAGAAAGAGAGTACAGAACGGAGTGAAGAGATAGTGTATGATAGGGGAGAAAGTGGTACAAGCAGTGAGGATCAAGATGCAAGATTGAAAAACTCACGCTTCAACTCGACTCTTCCTCTTCCATCAAAACTCGCCCATGCTGTGCTTCTGGAATTATAAGGCACGCAGATCCTCAACTCCATCCCGTCCGGAAGCAACATAGGTCTGAAAGACAATGTATGCGGACAGATTGGAGTGATCAATATCGCTGGGATTTGAGGATGAACCAAAGAACCTCCGGCAGATAACGAATACGCTGTCGATCCTGTCGGAGTAGACACCGTCAGTCCATCCGCTTGTACGGTGGTGAGATGATGTTCGTCCCCTGTGCGTGAGCCCGAATGCACGACCTCTCTGATGAAGGCGGAGTCGTTGAAATAGAAGTTGGGAAGGGAGAGACATGTGGGGAGACGCCGAGAAAGAGACGTGGAGCCGTCGGGAAAGAGAGATGTGGGTGCGCGATACCGGGGATCAGGACGACGGGACAGAGCGGAAGGGGAGGATACGAAAAAGTACAGGCGTGAGGACGATACTTCGTGCGAGAGACGTAAGAAAAGAGATGAGGGAACAAAGACAAATCGAGAGAGGTATCAATATCTCAACTCACCGAATAATTCCAATAAACTGACATACGGACTAGGTCCACGATCAACAACAAGATCATTAAGAACTTCGAATTGTTCCACTGGTCGAGTGGAAAAACACATTATTTCTTTATCTTTCCCTTCAACATTGACGATAGGTGAACTTGTGTTTTGACCTTCTAAAGCTTCCCAACCACTTTTATCAACACAAGACATCAAAATCTCTCCACCTGGTTTTTTGATTGCTTTACGTTTTTTACCAGTTTTCAAAGAGATCAAAGCTTCCTCAGGTGCTATAGCACGATAAACTGTACATGTGAATCTCATTCGAAGATTCACTCGGATACCTTCTTCGACTACACGATCCATGGTAGCTTTGTAATTTGAGAAGTCGAAATTGGTCAAGAAACCCAGTGAACCGAGGGCGAATGGGAGTACGGGAGGGACGATCTTTTGACTACAGTTGTCAGATAAATATATCCCTTTTCAGCCTTGGTTGAACCCTTGCGGGTATAGACGAGTCATTGATTCAGGAGGAGATATCAGAAGAGACTTACAATAACCAAGAAGTAAAAAGTACAGTCCCATCTCCACCAAGCTGTATGATGAGTAAAAAGATCGCGATAAAAAGGAGGATTAAACTCACAGTGATGACGAAATCAAACAAATGTGGAGAATTACTACACATTTCACTCGTCCAATATCTCAGTTGACCTTCATCTTTACCCCTCTTACCATCCCCCACACTTGAAGCACTTGTATATGTGCTCCCCGTGAGTGAAGTTGAAGAACTTGACCGTCTCCTACTGATCGGCTGGAAAAGTTCAGGATATTGCGCCTGTAGTCCAGCCGCATCAAAGCGTTTGGAAGTACGTAATTGAGCGTCGACGTAGACTACCATACCTCTATCATTGGTAAGTTTACCATCGATACCGGGACGGGATGCGGAATTGGGAGTGACAGAGGATTGTCGACTGAGAATAGGACGTTTTTGCATGAGAAAAAGTGCCAGTTCACGAGTGAGTTTGATAAGACGATTGTCGCGAGCTTTAGTGACGATGAGTACGTGGGAGATTTTCGAGTGTACTTTTGTACGACCTGTAAATGAGCATTGTCACATTGAGTTTTGATCCAAATTGACAGAAAAGAGAAGTTTTGACGTACCTAATTCTCGACTCATTTCTCTTACACCTTGAGCGGTCTCTGCCAATTGTCTAGTCAAACTTCTACCATCATCATCCCCTTCATCATCCATATCTAAAACCCCAGAACTGAGAGCCGCGCTAGATTTATCACTTTCATATCCGCTCAAACCCATTTCTCTCTTTGTAGGTGAAGTGACTCTTGATCCAACGGTTGAACTTCCTTCTGAAGTTGTAGGAGGATTATAAGGATGATGTCTATGAGCATGATATCCCGGTGTTATCGATGGTCCTCCACTACCATGTCGCCTCAGGTTATTGTTGTTATGGACATTTCCATTGGGATGATTCTTATCTTTGTTCTTTATCCAATCTTGAAGATTACCATATTGATCCAAATGTGAATGAATGAAACAAGGACTATTTTCAGGCATCATAGCTTGTGGATGAATTTGTGTTGGTTCGTTATCTGAATTCGAGGGATAATGTAGATTTGCGAAAGTGTGATGATGATGATCGATTGGTTGAGGAGAAGAAGAATGCATTTTCGATAAAGGTGATGGTGGTGGAGGGTTACGTAGACGTGTTGTTCCCATGAGGCCTAAACTTCCACCATTTCCCATGACACCGACAGGCCCGACAGGTCCATTAGGACCCACGTGGTTGACGGATCCTTGGGGACCGGTGAGATTGGGAGGAGGGACAGAAGAGGAAACATTGATCGTCGGACGAGGATGATGATGATGATTGTGTGGATGTGTGTTATGAGGAGTTGGAGTACGTGCTGATGGAGGAGTGGGGATAGATCCTGACATACTTGTCGACATGGAATGATCAGGATCGAGAGGGATTTGATCGGATTGAGGAGGACTAAGAAGAATATTGATTTCTTCTTCGTATGGAGAGGTGGAGATACTTAAATCGTCTAATCCGAATGTCTAAAAAGGATCAGCTGCATTATCATTGATGTCACCTTTTCCCCTCATCGTACACACCTCCATTCTTCTCCACCTGAAAACGAAAATAGATCCGATAGCACCAAACGTAACAAAAGTACTTTTACCGACCTATTCACCCACCTGAAGATCTTTGAGATTCCAGATTTCCTACTAGATATATCCATCACACACAGAAAGGGACAAAGTCAAGCTGGTCAGATCATGAAATGGTGGTTCGATGAAATGACCGAAGAGAAATAAACCACCACAACTTACCTCTTTTCTCAAAGCAGCATCAAGTTGCAAATGTTTGAGCCAGCTACTATGTCTTCTCCCTAACCCAGGACGTCTGACATGTATCTCTGTCGATTCTGCAGAGCTTGTATCTGAGTCGTGATCGCTGAGGGGGGGAGAGATAGCAGAGTGGGAAGGCTCGGTCATCGTGAAATTCACTTGTAATAGCTTTCTTAAAGGGGGGGATCGCTTAAATCAGCTATAGGACTAACTGTTGAAAGACGGGTGAAGGGCGAAGTCTTGCGACATGCAATATGCAGTATGCAACATATAAGAGAAAAGCTTGGAGTTTACGGGTAGGATGGTAGTATAGGAAATTGAAATGTGTTTTGGAACTTGCCCACCAGATCTCCCTGGCTCCCTGGGAGTGAAAAGATAGGAGGTGGTATCATGGTAACGACACGCCTACCAACGATACAACGTGAATAGAGTACTCAACCGTGCGTTTTGGTTTCATATCGACGACGCGGTATCTGAGAGCTTTTAGAGGATGGAAGTGGAGCTTGAAGCAACGGTCGTTTCAAGATGTAAACGGTTTTGGTACTGGCTCAACATGTCTCCAAACTGATCATGCAAAATACATGGAATCCAGATTCCAGGATTTGCTGATTGAAACCGGTCCATGGTCTGTCACGTCGTTGGATTTTGACCAAATCCACCTTCCAGTACTATACTAGTGATTACTCGATTTTCCAACGCTACGAAGGGTTTTCCAAATTGATTGTCATCCACGAGGCCAGGGATGTTTTCGATACACTATGATCATTGATCCACTTGGACACGTTATATGCATACTATGATAGATTCACAATGATAATGACAAGATGACATAAACAGATTAATCCTTCAGATATTCTTTCCTTCTGTACAATACATCCTTCCTTCCTCTACTTGAAAGTCAATCTGTCTTTAGCTTACTTCATATCTTCCCCACTCCATCGTTAACCCCCTCAAACGTGGTTTTCAGTTAGGTGTTCAATCTACGTCATATCAAGGTTCTTGTTTAGGTACCACCTCCATAGGCATAGACTCGCGTTTCAAACTCTTTTCCCGTACAGTTTCTTGCTGTTGCTGTATCCCCTGTTCCTCTCCTCCATGTTCATGATCCGAAACGGGATTGACGGCAATAGCGATACTCATTCCACCTTCTTCCGGACCGGCATCGCCTTCCGAGACACATTGAGGACAAAACCAAGCTTCTGATGGAATATCAGGTAAAGGAGGATCAAGACAAGAAATATGATATGGCCAATCACACTAAACATCAATTTACACTCTCCCAGGTCAAGATAGAAGAAGATGAGACTATTGAAAACATACCTTTTCACATTCTAAAGGATCACCTTTTTCATCGGAATCTTCATCACATACTACACATAAATCTGGACTTTCTATATGAAGAGGCCATCGAGGAAGCTCGGATAGTTCAGCACTGGGTTTGGCAAGGAAAAGAGTATGAAATGGTCCTGCGGCGACACTGAAGATGAGTACAAAGTGAGAGGTCCGTAACAGGAATGAGAGACTCACTCGAATATGGCAATGGAGTCTAGTGGTTCTATAGGAGTAGGGATACTTTGACTTTTGCCTCTATCAGGACCCATACCCAGTTCTGATCGATGAGTTTTGATGATGACTCAATGGAAGAATGTCTTACCGCCGTATAACTGACAGTCAGTACGAGTTTTGACCTTGAAGATGAGAGAAAAGAACATACCACACCTTGACCCCAACCTATGGTCATCATTTTATCCGTCTCCGGAGCGGTGGCAGTTAAAAAGTATGTACAGCCTCCACATGAAGCAGACATGATGTTAGACATTTGTGGGACTGAGTTATTAGTTTTTGTCATGAGAAACCATCTTGGAAGAAAGCCTTACGATGTTCGATAGGTCTTTAAATCAGCAAAGGGCATGTTCAACGTAAGAACACTCACTTGAAAATGGTGTATGGCTGTCCACCGGAACCTGTCTGTCAATAAACGCTAGATGAGAGGTTTATCGTGAACTCACCGTCCCCTGTCATCTTCCACTTGCCAGCTATATATACCACCCTCTGATGCGTGATGACCATCGAGCCTGAGACATCAGTCATCCATCTGTGCAACTCCGTCATGGCACACATCTTGACCATAGTGGTCATCGCAAAGTGATTGACGGAGAAGCGCAAAGCGGGAGTATCGAGGAGTGTATCGACGAGAAAAGACGATAGAGATCAAGTCCTCAGGAAGAGTAAAGAAGGAAATCCTCACTCGCAGGTCCACATAAAACAGCCATAGCTCTAGTGAGCGGTTTCCCAGCAAAAGCCGGTAAGACAGTCGGTGTCAATCTTTCATCAGCTTCAAACTTTCCAGATCTCGCAGCCCCACAAATGTTTGCCATCTGCAGACGAAGCACGAGTTACAGAAAAAGGCTCACACATTCTTCTGCGACCCTAAACCTAATCGAGAATAACCACCGTATCCCCAACCATACGCATACCCCTCTTTGTCCATAGCGAGCGAGTGTTGACTACCAGAAGCGATACGTTGTATTTCTCTTCCTGCCAATGCGCCTTCTACCAGGTCTTACACATCAGCTGGTACTCTATCGTCTTCACCATGTTTCTATTTTCCCCAGATCTCCATGGATATCTGTTAGATTTCCCGAGGATCTGATAGATTTTAAAGGATGAAGATGACGGAAGACAGTGAAGATCAATGTGCAGACGGATAATCACTCACGAGGAGGTTCTATATCGAAAGAAGTTTTTCCAGCACGTAATACACGTTCCCCAGTTCTTCCATTACCTAATTGACCAGCTTCCGAAGAACCAGCAGCGTAAACTTGTCCTTTGTCAGAAAGGAATAAAGAGAAAGTGTTTCCCGCTGTGATCTAAAATATGAGCGTGACTTGAATTCACAATCTCAAAGTTTCTCAAAAGATAGTTCACATTCGACGCTCTAGTGGGGTGAAGAGAAGACAAGAAGATTTTCTGACTAACCTGAACGATCCTATCCCCAGCTTCTGACCAAGGTCCAGGAACTAAAGTGAACTTCGAAACTTCTCCACATACAGGCTATAAGTCAATTCCTATTCTGTTATATATGAGAAAGGGGTAAAGAGGTGAGAAAAAAACTTACAAGACCAACTTGTCCCATTGTATTATTACCACATCCCCATACTTGTCCCCAACTATCGATCAAAAACATGTGAGATCTAGCAGCACTTCCCGCTATCCATCTTGAACCTCTTGGAAGTCCTACGTTGGTAGGTGATACTTTGAGGGGTTCTTGTTCCGATACCAGACCGTTAGGAGGGGCCAAAGAAGCCACAGGTAATTTTCCGAATAGATACGCGGCTCCGAAAACTTGACCATCAGTATGAAAAAGTTCTTCAGGACGAATCCTCTCATTCAAGGTTCTACATTCTCTAGACAAATACTGCCTTTTCCCATGACAGCGTGTTCCTCTTTAGAAGCTATCAGTCTCGGGATTTCCCGGCTCCTTCCAGCATCTTTCTTGTTACCCAGACTCAATGCTTTGAGGACGTGAATCCTCGGGAATGAAGGGGATTTTGATGGTTGAGGGACGATGGGGGTGATTTTGGAGGTGGGGAGGGGGACGAAGAGGGAGGTTGTCATGTCAGAGGTCTTGATCCCTCACGATGATCCTCGTCTACCAACCCTCATCCGCCCACTGCTCCAGAACATACCGGTCATCTCTATTATGATAAGAGGAATGACACTGTGAACACTAAAAGCTGTAGGGTAGAAACACAAAAACAACTCACCATCTAAAACAATACAATAATTGGCAGTAGATCCACTGATAATCTCCGCAGCTCTGACATTACATATACTTCTAAGAATATGAGGTTCTAACAAATCCGATTTCGCCCTTTGATAAATTATCTCTCCATCATTTCACAAATGTATAGAAGACTTACGCATCTTTACCTCTATCTTTTTTCCAATTGTGATTCCTATAATCAGCATTTTCATCTTCACATTACTTCCTCAAGTCATTGAGTACACTCCTCATTACAGAATAGATTACAAGCGTATTACTCAGACATCAACGACATGATATCTTGTTATTTGTTACCTCAACCTTCCTACGTATCACGAGCTTACACCACAAGAAGATATCTCATAAATTGGAATCATGTGACTAGACAGAGATGGGGTTAAAGAGAACAAGAAGAAGAAGAAGTAGTAGTAGAAGACTGACCAAGTAGTACTTCCACAAATCAATACTGTCAATTAGTATTTGATTGATAAGGACAACATGTGTTATAAAGGACCCATTAATCCCTCGAAATTACCTGAAGAAAGATGGAAGGTAGGTAAGGAGGGGAGATGGAACGTTACTTGAGCTTACCTCTTCCCCAACCTGTCACTATAGAAGGTGTTGGTTGTGTCATCACTTGATCTTCTTGTTCCATACTGTATTGAAGTTAGGTATGAGTTTGTCGTTTGAGGGTAACCAGGTATAGCTGTAGGTAGTAGTGGTAGTAGGGGTGGACGGTGGTGAACGACGGTTCGATCACTTCGGCCTTTGCGGCGTCGGCCGGGCACAACCCAGCTTTTGCTGTATCACATGCCTACCTTGATCTGTGCCACATGCCACATACGACATACAACTCACGACTTGAAGCCAGCTCAATGCCAAGGAGGATGAAGATGTTCCGATGGGAGTAAGTAAAGTGTCCTAATAAAAGAGCAGACAGTTACTGAAAGGCATGAATATTAGCCAGAGATATCCTTGAAGGTTTCAGGCGATCAGCCCGTCAGCGGCAATCAATGTTCTAAAGTTCAAAAATGCACCTCTCAATTATATTCATCTCCACCTCTCATGTTGGTCTAGGAGCTTCACAAATACCACATTTATCCTTTGCGCTCTCAGGATTCTTCAACATGCACAACGAACATGTCCATTCTCCTCCTTTTGTCCCACTCTTACCATCCATCCCGATCCCAAATGCAAGACTTGGCTTCGTACTCGTAGGTTGCTTCGCCGGCTTAGGAGCTTCACAGATGGTACATTTCTCACTGGCCGAAGCGGGATTCTTGAGCATACACAAATCACATGTCCATTCCTCGCCCGTCGTCGTCAGAGGAGTAACGTCGGCTGCTGGTTCAGGATCCAGATGTAAAGTGAAGGAATATGATTGAAGAGATCTTTTCATTACTCGTGTACGAATGTCATCAGAGGGTTTGAGGATTGTGGTGGAAATGTTAAAGGTGTAGAATGGTAAGGCTGGTTTTTCCACTTTCAACGCTGCGTCTTTGGCGGAGAGATAAATCGCAGTGAGATCCACCGGGTGATCTTCTATAGTCTCAGAGACTGGCGTGGACGACGACATGTGTTCGCCTTCTTCCATTGATTGAGAGATTGGAGTAGGAGTGAAAGTGGGTTTGAAAACTTGATCTGGTTTGACAGAAGGGAATATGGAGTTTTGGGATGCACTGGAGAACAACTCTTTCGTGGTGGTGGTCGACTTGAAAGGGGTGGTGTTAAAGGTCGATATGGATAATTGCGGTACGTCAAATTTAGGTACGGGATCCGGACCCGGTATCTCGATCAAGGAAGAACTTGATTCTTCTTCCATCTCCACATCTTTCCGATTGTCACCTTTGGAAATGGGCGTATCGGGCTCTGGAGAACCGAACAATTCATCAACCTCCTCATCGTCCTCACTCTCCATAAAGTCCATTGCATCTTCTCTCTTCTTGCCTTTACCGTTGACGAGCGACGAAGACACGTAGGGTTTCTTGCCAGATAACAACTCGAGAGTGGTCAACTTTTGACTTTTCGTAGCGGCGAGTTTGGCGGCTGCTCCACGTTTTGGAGTCGTGTCGGTCAATGCCCGGATGGTGGGTCGATTTGGGGTTCCTCGACCTGGAGTGTTTTGATTGGGGACGGAGCCGACATGATTGCGACTGTGAGGAGTGGACGGGGTTGACGGGACCGAGTGCGGTACGAGGGTGGAAGTATGTTTGGAGAGAAGAGAAGTGGTGTCGTATGGATTGACAATGAAATCTTCAACAACTCGTGCGGAAACTGTGGCAAGATCTTCTGCCAAGAGCTCTCGCATGATGTTTGCTGCGCGGTGTTTGCCCAGACTGACGGCGGTTGCTTTCACTGAGGTAGAAGGATGAGCGGGTGGAGATGAAGGATCCGAGATCATAGTGTTCCTTCCCAACGGCGAAGGATTTGACGGAGCGAATGTTCGCAAAGATTTGACTTTATTCAATGTTAGAGGGAGTGCCGTGGTAGGCGATGTTGTCGTCGAGAATACATTTGAAATGCTCGATTGAGATTGGTCCGTAGTCAGCGAGGAAGGCGGTATGTAACTTGCCGACTGGTCGAGTTCCATGGTCTCCGTTCTTACTTTCTTCGCTGGTGACTCGTCGAAATTGATCCTTGACCTTCCCATCTTTCTCGGGGACATTCCAGGTCCAAGATAGACCAGTTTCCTTCTCGAAGGCGATTGTAAGGTCGAGGGTGAAGCCCCAATGGAGAAACTTGGACCTGGCGAGTTGAAGCCATTCGCAAAGGGTGACGATCGAACTGGGGTAGAAACAGTCTCCCGTAGAGGTCTGATGGATCGGGAAGGTGTGTTGAACTCCCCTGCTCCCCAACCTCCTGTTTGAGGCTCCGTCTCATGTTTTATGCTATCTACCAGAGCGTCAACAACCCTGATGTCTTCCGAAGACATGGACGACCCCTTTTTCGCATCCAGAAACGCAGACAATGCGGCTGATGAAGCTGATGATGTGAGTTTAGAGGTGGTCGATGGGGAAGGTAAGAAGGATGGCAAAGGATTACGTGTAACAGGTGAATGTGGACGTTTTCGAGAGGGAGTAGAAACCACGACGCCAGATACAGGTGTAGTGGGTGGTAAATTGGTGCTTGGTAAAGGGGCAGATGGTATCGTTGGTACGACAGGAGTGGATGAAAAAGGTCGAATTTTGTGATTTTGTTGAGGTGTGTAAACGGGTTTTTGTGGTTCATCATGATCGATCAATGATGAATCTCCTTCCAAAGCTCGCCTTGCTAGATCTCTTCTACCACCTGGTATCTCTCCTCTCGCACGAAATTCCAATGCTCTATCATCAACATTACCCCCTTTCCTCCCTGCCGCCGCTGCGAGTGAAAAGACGTCTTCTCCTTGCATTCTTTTAGGTTCCTCGCCTTCCCATTCATCGTCTGATCCAGAGACTGATTGTTGGTCTGAAGCTGGAGGACTATCTATGTCTTGCGAAGTGTTCGGAAGGAGAGGTGTTGTACGTGAGATGGAACCAGTGACGAAACTGTACAGAGATCGAAGTGATGCGAAAGGCTTCGATGTCAGCCAGTGATAGCGACGGGGGGTGAGGAGAAATACTCACACTGATCCCCACACTCTGTTTAGGTTTCAATACCCTTAGAGAACGATCATAAGGAGAGTTGGCCGCTTCTCTTTCGGCTCGAATAGATTTAGGGGTGGAAGATCGTTCCATCTTGGCTTCTTGGAGAAGGTGGTAGGTCGAGGGGATGATTGAGTGTCTCCAAAGGGATACTGCGGTGACGATAAGGCTTTTGTTCGTAGTTTGAATGATAAAAGGCTACGAGGTCGGTCTTTTGTTGTCGCCTAGATAGCTCTGAGTTTGGAGATGGGTCGTGTCGTAGAGCGAGTTTTTGTCTCTTTGATGCGATTTCAATGTCTGAGAGCAGAGGAAGCACTTTGTTCTTTCTTTAAATTATCCTCCCCTTTTATCACACTGCGGGACCCCACATCCACGTCCGGTTGACGCGTCCCTCGCTGCTTTGACGACCGAACAACTTTCTCTAAAACCGCATCTACGAGTCAAGCATGGGTGGTGAGCTGCTCTACTGTATGTGAGAGACTGGCTGATGAGATTCAGACCACAGCTCTCAGACTACCACATCGGGTGTCAAGAAAAAGAAGAGAGTTGTTGATTCTGAAGATGAAGCGACACATGACATCAACGGTTCCAGCTCAAAGCCTCGAGGTATGTCAGTCTTCCTATTCCGATGCTCTGCTCATAGGTAGCGACGACACCTCCTGTCAAGAAACCAAAGAAGGAAGTGCATTCCAAATCTGATCATCCGCCTAAGCCTGACAAAAGCAATGAGAAGCGACCGACAGAAACAAAAACCATAGAAGAAAAAACAAATGGGAAGTCCAAAGAGACAAAACCTCTAGCTTCGATATTTGCCAAACCGATCGCATCATCATCGAAGTCGAATGGGAAGGCGTCGACTTCACTTACTGAAGAGGATGAGGAGTACGAAGCTGGATCGGATAGAGAGGAAATAGTAGAAGAAGAGGGTGAAGAAGAGCTGGATGATGATGTGGCGGATGAACAGGAGACCAAAGCCGCTGTTAAATTGTTTGTCTTGTTTCCCAACATCGGATCTTAGACTGACTGACAGGGCGTCCATATTTACCAAGAAAGATGCTTCTGCAACAGAAGCCAAGGGATGGAAAGAGGGTGAACCGTGTGTTGATTATTACATCCGCGGACATGATTGACATACAGAGTGCCATATGCCGCGTTAGTAGCGACTTTCGAAAAGATCGAAGCGACAACTAAGCGATTGGAAATTCTACAAATTTTGACTCAATTCCTCCTTGTGGTGGCGAAAAGAGATACGGCGACCGATGCGAAATCTTCCAATCTCCTGAAAGTGGTGTATCTATGTATTAACAGAGTGAGTCGACGCATCTTTCAGTCGAACCTACTGAGCCCCAGCTATGTCCGGATTATATGGGTATCGAATTGGGAATAGGAGAGTCATTGTTGGTCAAGAGTATTGCGGAGAGTACTGGACGAGCGATGTCAAAGATAAAAGAGGATTTACGAAAGGAAGGTGATTTGGGTAAAGTGGCTATGGTAAGTTTAAGTCTTCCCCACCCTTTTCAAGTTAGAGTCGGTCAGTCTGCAATGCTGACACGTAGAATTCACGGAATAATCAACCTACAATGTTCAAGCCAAAAGCATTGACAGTACCATACGTCTTCCAAAGTTTGACAGAGATAGCGAAAGCTTCAGGCAACGCTGTTAGTCCCTGTTCTCTCATCTTACTCTGTGCTTAGGAAAACACTTTGTGGCTGACTGTCAGTCACAGAATAAAAAAGTGGGAATCATCAACAAACTCCTCGCCGCATGTCAAGGTACAGAAGCCAAATTCATCGTCCGATCCCTTGAGGGAAAGCTACGAATAGGTTTGGCAGATAAGACATTGGTTGTAGCATTAGCACATGCCATGGTTCTCAAGAGTTTAGGTCAGTCATCGTTGCCCATATATCATCTTCCTGATGTGCTCATCTGTAGGAGATAAACGTATCGGTGGTGAAGAATTAGCGAAAAAGTTGGAAGAAGGAGCGGATATCGTCAAATCTATCTACAGGTTCGTATCTTCATCCAATACGATACCTTCTGAGGTTTATGGCAAAACTGATTGATAGTGAATTACCAAATTACGATTTGATCATTCCTGCTTTGATGAAAGGCGGTATAGAAGGATTACAAGAGAATTGCAAACTTACTCCTGGTCAGCAGATAAAGTTAAAGTTGGACAAAGCTGATGTGATAGGAGTACCTCTGAAACCTATGTTGGCCAAACCTACAAAGGCTATCACGGAAGTTTTAGATAGATTCGAAGGGAAAGAATTCACTTGCGAATATAAATATGATGGTGAACGTGCTCAAGTACATTTGTTAGAAGATGGAACAATTGCCGTGTTCAGTAGGAATAGTGAGAATATGAGTGCGAAATATCCTGATTTGGTTGAACAGTTACCAAGGGTGAGCTCGTGTTTGTTCTTTCTCTCTCTGTTGATATTTCACCCTGATAATGTCTCACTGGTGTCATTTACTGTGCAAGTAACATAGATTTCCGAGTCAAATTGATCTAGTGCCATTCCGTTTCTAAGTCGCGGACAACGTGAACATACGCCTGGTTTGGGATATCTAGTTCTATTCAAATACTATTTCATTTGATTCTAATATGGTACTCGTGCTCGTGCGCTGTGAAGGAATGGAGGTATGTTGCTGATGAACAGTGTATCAAAGAAGGAGTTAAAAGTTTTGTTATCGACGCTGAAGCTGTGGCATACGATTTGGAACAGAAGAAACTGTTACCTTTTCAAGATTTATCTCGAAGGAAAAGAAAGGATGTTCGGACGGAAGATATAACCGTTCGTGTACATTTGTTCGCTTTTGATTTGTTGTATTTGAATGGGGAGGTGAGTATTTTTCTCTCTCCCACTCCCTTTTATGTTCTTCCGCTCTTTTCTCTCTTTACAAACCCCCCAAATATTCTTGATCCCCCCTTTTCCACCTGAGATCGCCTTCTCGCCTTTAACGGAAAGTTACCTCTCTCAAGTCATCTTACCCACAACTTGATATATCTTCGGCGTACCATAAACCAAACTATTTAGCTCAAGGCGTAATCCCAAGTCAACATCTACAATCTATTACTTTAGCTATGACATTATACTAAAGTATCAGAGTTTACTTCAAAAAGAATTAAAAGAACGTCGTTCCCTACTCCAAAAACATTTTCAACCTATCCCTTCAGAATTCGCTTTCGCAGTATCAAGTGATTGTACAACAACCGAAGAAATTCAATCTTTCTTAGAAGAATCAGTAAAAGACGGCTGTGAAGGTCTAATGGTTAAAATGTTAACGACACAATCATCAACTTATGAACCATCACGTCGTTCTATAAATTGGTTGAAATTGAAAAAAGATTATCTATCAGGTATTGGAGATTCATTAGATTTAGTAGTCATCGGTGCTTATTACGGTAAAGGAAAAAGAACTTCAGTTTATGGTGCTTTTTTATTATCTTGTTATGATCCTGATTCTGAACATTATCAAACTATATGTAAGATCGGTACTGGTTTCAGTGAAGAAATTTTGATAAAATTTCATGAAATGTTAAAACCATTAGAATTACAAGTTGTTAGAGGTGATATAGAAGTAGGTGGTGCTAAACCGGACGTTTGGTTTGAACCTAAGATTGTTTGGGAAGTTTTGACTGCTGATTTAAGTTTAAGTCCTATTTATACCGCTGCACATGGTTTGGTGAGTTTTTCTTTCTTTCTTTCTTCTTCATTTTTACTTTATTTTCCCACTTGATCACTTGATAACTTGACCATTTGGACTCATGACTCATGAGGTGTTCGACGAGAAAAACTAATTTATCAGGTCGATTCTCGTGGTATTTCTCTACGTTTCCCGAGATTCATACGAATCAGAGAAGATAAGTCTTCAGACGAAGCTACCACTTCTGAACAAGTTAGCGAATTTTATCAACGTCAAGTAACTGCTGGTGGAAAGAAAAACGTTGGAGGAGAAGGGGATGATTTTTGGTGATCACTTCCTCCCCCACCTGATTTCCTTTCTCTTATACTCCACTTTTATCTCTCTTGGATTTACTTTGGTAATGTCTATACAACCTCATACGAGGTCCAAAAAACATGTTCATATAAATGCATGTCATCTGAATCATCGTTCCATAAATCTCCAAATACCAAAAACCTTTGATTACATGATTTACAATATCTAATTGATACATAACACATGAACCAAATCATACCTCACCCGAATTTCTACTTTTGAAAGATGAATCACCAGGTCTTCGAGCTTCATACTCTCTACTAGCTGCATGTCCTCTTGGTCCCACATCCAATTCATCAGGACCTCTTCCACTGCCTTTTCTTATACTTTGTCGTAGACGATCTAAATGGACAGATAGATGATGGGATTTAAGGTGAGTCTCTTCATCTGAATCATGTTCTACTCGTCTGTATGGAAGTGGGATTTCACGGGTTACACGATAAGCATCGGCATTACCGAGATGTTCAGTTTCCACACGGACTGTAAATCAGTGGTGTTCTTCTCAGCGCGTAGATACCTTCCAAACCCCTCTCGTTCCTGCTCGACATTTTGCTGGACATTTTGTAGTCTGTTGCATCAAGTTGTTCGACGGACAGAGAAGCGGCAGAATGGATAAACTGGGGGAGAGAAGGTCGAGATGTAAGAACAGAAGAAAGAACTGACAGAAATTCCACTGCCATCGCCGTAACATCTCGGCCAGAGAGAAGAAGAAACTTCGAAGTCTGGTGTGTTGAGTCGGATATGGCAAATACCTATCTCATTAGTCTCTCCCTCCTGCACCACCTTCAATGCTTGAGAATTAGACGACTTACCAAACCCAAACAAATCGAATGATAATGTTCGTCACCATGGCAAAGTAATATACCTGTTTGTCAAACAAATACTCGAAACAGCGGATATGCGGAATATGATAGTGTTCAAGCGTGTGCGATGAACTTACATATCGGTTCTGATATCCCAAGTCAGGTCGGAGACCACCAGAATTAGGTCGGAACAGACTCCAATCGACTATCAAGTCCTGGAAAGTCAGCCATGACTCAGATCACCCATACCTGAATGTCTCCCATTGATTTCTGCAAATCACGTGAATTAATCAATTGTATATGGAATGGCCGAAAGATGGGAGAGAAGTGCTGATACATACCCAGGAACAGGCATAAGTGGACGATATGGTCGCTACGATGATCCAGACTACAAATGCAGGATCATGATAAATTCCACCTAAAGGTCAGCTCAGTCACAAGATTCCTGTTGAGCTCACCTCGAGATCGCCACAGGACGTAGAGGATCAGCTGAGTGATAACACTGAGATATTTTCCAGCCTGTTGTCAGCTGGTCTCTTTGGTGACGGTATGCATGGAGACACAGATACCTTTACAGCTCGAACGGGCTTACGAAATCTGAAAGCCTGGGCGATATGGATACAAAGGACATGCTGAAGCCTGAAGGATGAGAGACAGGTAGAGGGGAAACTCACGTTGATGAGATGTATCCGGAGTTTGGAATCATGATAACGTTTCAAACATTGTATGAGACGTGAGAGAGCCGGAATACATATAAGGATGGCTGAAGGCCAATTTTTGCTTACTGGACAGACGTTGAGAACGTCGGGCGGCCAGTGACGGCTGTCTGATCACATCAGCTGTCGACCAGAGGGGATGGAAAAGTGTGAGCTGGTGGGAAAGTGCTGCACTGCTCCGTTGATGGAAACTCACAGGCACATCCCAGAAAGTATATGTCCTGCATCGTGAAGACAAGTGAATTGAGTTCATCTGCGATGAAGAAAGCGATGAACTAGAGATCAGCCTTGAACGTCTTCGCAGAGACTCCGAGATGCCAAAAAGATCGGAGAGTCTCCTGGATAACGAAAAAAGAGAGGATTGGAGGACAATCAGGAGAATGAGAAGGAGCCAATGACAGGTATGTATGTGACGAGCTGGTGGGGACATACCTCCACCCGACTGTATCCAGGGGTCAAAACCCGGAACAACACTTTCAGCAGCCAATATCTGGATCTCTTCCTCCAGACGGGCAAGGGGTTCAGGAAGAAAACCACGACGAAGACAACCCAAACAGCCGGCCATCTACTGGTCAGCGCAGATACAGTATGAATCGAGCTCACGTTGTAGGTGCAATATGTGGTTCGCCCACACGCGAGAAGGTGAAAAAGAAGCAGTAGCAGAGTGTGAGGAAGAGAAAAGCAGGAATCTGATGGTCAGCTTCAGACTACAAAATGAGAGAGAGGACTTTCCTCGAGATAAGAGCGAAAATCGAGGGAGGGTCGTGAAAGCTCCATGACGAACTGAACTTTGTCAGCAATGTGCATTATCAGTTGTCCAGGTTCAGGAAGGAGTACGAGCGACGATAGAGGAGGGCTGTAGAGAGACACAAGCCCTTGAAACTCGTCCCACACGGTTATGGACTTCGGAGGGACAGTGAGTGTAGCAAGTTGAACGCACTTCATAATTGATGCGCGCAGCTACATACGCATCAAGATTAAGTTCAACGAGCATGGCAAAGATGACGGGTAAAAACAGCCCAGCGTAAAGGTATAACAGTGCCTCCCATTGTGGGACTGCCGCTTGTGTGTCCTTTTGTCTTGCTATCCGTCAGCTTTCAGGACGTGTTGACATCGTAGATGCAGCTCACCAAGAACGAGCGCATAGATAGCAGCTGGAAGAGCGGCACCGATACACCATCCCGATCGAAATGTGGTCGTGTAGTGCTATGTCCGTCAGCTTGGAAACTTCGACCGAGACAGCTGACAAACAGTTTGGACTTGGTGTTGTCGTCTCAGCTTATCTCGTGCCTTCTTCGAATCCCCCCTTTCAAAGTGCTCCGAGAACATTTCTTCCACTTTTTGGATCAGAGCATCAACGGTGTCACCGTTGGTGAAAGACTCTTTGAGCACACGTTCGTCGGTATACATTTCCAAACAGTGAATCTGTCCATCAGTCCTATCCTGACATTTGACAAGAGCACATTTCCGTACTCTCGTAGTCTTCTCAAACTTCTTCAATGCTTTACGAAACCCTGTCAGGTTCATAATCTAACCATCAGCTGCGATAAGGGTTGATACGGTTGACTGACCCTGTAGTTCTTTATGAGCTCCAGCTGCCTATAAAACTCCAAAACAGCGCCTCGTAAGTCTTTCTTGTATTTTAGATACCTTTCCGGATTGTACGTCTGGTGGTCTTTATCAGCCACTATAGCCTCACGCAGGGCCTTGTTCTCATCATCGCCTGATCCCCTTCGTTCCCCGAGTGCGCCATTCGTCTTCGGTTGTTCATCCTCACGCCCACTGTCACCCCCGTTGAAAAATGGGATCCGTCTTTGCAGGTTATTCGCCACGGTCGACAATTTATAAGCTTGCACGTTACTCGGTAGGATTCGACCGACTTTGGTCTCCCATTCCGGCGTACCCTCCGGATAAATCTCATGATATATCTTTCTATGCTCCGCTAGCTCTCGTAATTGATCTCGAAGATCATGAGCACGTCGGATAGCTTCACCTTCACGAGCACGATAAAACGTCTCGACTTTATTTAGCTCTCGATCTAACAGGTCGAAAAAGGCTTTTTCGTCGGGTTCGAGGAGGCCATAAAGCTCTTCGAATGTTTTGGCAGATCTAGCAGGTATGCGAGGAGAAGAGAATGTCATTGAACCTATGGTGTCAGCATGTGACGATTCATGATGTAGTGATACTTACGAACACTCTTCCGGTCTAACTTTGGACTGTGCCCCTGAATGAAAGGACTAGACCCGCTGCGTATCCCGAATGGTCTCCTTGGGCTTTTTCTGGTCTTCGAACCAGATCTTGGGGCTGCATTTGGTCTGAGGGGAGCATTGGAGTCAGAAGTGACTATCGGATCCTCGCTCGAACGATGATGAGATCCTTCGGGGCTTGTGGGTGAAGGGGGGTTTTCGGTAAAAGTGACGGTACCTGGCTTGTGCTGCGTATGAGAGGGTTCTCGGTGAATTCTGTCGTCCGTGATAGCAGTAGACTCAGGCAAGTGAGCAACACTGGGTTCGCCGATGTCTAAGGGAGGTGGGTTGGGTGGCAGTCCGGATTTGTGCCTAGGTGTTGAAGTTGTAGCGCCATATTGTGCAGAACCGGGCTTGAACGTCAGCAGCATTCGATCTACGCATATTTATTCTATACATTCTCTTTCCATCGACCAAACCATACTAGCTATTCGTATCCAACAGCGGTGACGAGCTGACACAGTGACGGGAAGACATGATATTTCACCATATACGTTTCAGTGCCGGATTAGTGCTCGATCGACGAAGTAGACGCACACGGGAGTGGGATGAAGACTTGTAGACTTACTATACTAGGAGTATTCTTCAACGACGCTCTTCCCCTATCTCTAGGCGATTTGCCCCCTGAACCCATAGAAGGACTGGTACCCTTACTAGATCTCGGAGGTGCTGAAGGTCCATGGTCCACATCGTCCGAGCTTTCATGACTGCCCGACCCCTTGTCCGGCTGTTCACCATTCTTGATACGAGATCTCTCTTGTCCTAACCGTCGAGCGATGACCTTTATGGCTTTCTTACATGCTCGATAGTCTATATAAGCACGTTTCCACTCCGGAGTGGAATTCTCGTCTAGATATCTGGCGATCAGCTCGCGATATCAATGACGAGCATGACTGACCTTCCAAATTTCATCTTGTGACGATTTTCACTGTCATGTGAGCTTGTATTGTATGAGAGGAGGAGTGATAGATGATAGCATGTCGATAGATGGGTACAGTAAGAGGAAGACGAGAAAGACGGACCAGCCAAAAGTGTGGGGAAACTTGGGAAGGGAAAATTTGCTTCCGCTCTCACTTCTCACTTCCGACGGAAACTACCCAGCTACTCTAACAAACTGCCAATCGCCACCCATCCTTGTGTCTCCCCTCCTCCTTCTTTCCCTTCTCTTCCTTCTCGTCGGAAGAGCAGAGCCTCCCTCATTAAATGAACTATACTACGGCAGGAGATACATTTCAAGCTGGTCCTTCCAATTGGCGAGCTCCACCAATCCGTCCAGCCGTTGTGATCCGCTCCACCCCTCCGACCTCTGACCTCCAACATGTCCACATCCATGAATCCACCTTACCTCAAACCCCACAAGACCTCGCATCCTCTCTTCCCGCACTCTTCGTCCATCGCTCCAGGACTGATCAGAAAGAATGGAGAGAATGGTATCTCAACCCAACTAGACATGGAAAGGAAAAACATGTGTTGCCCCCGGTGTTCGTACCCAGCGAAGGAACGTACGACGAGTTAGGACGCAGTTCGGCGGAAGGTGTCACTGTTGAGATTGGTGGTGGTGCTAGACTTGACAATAATGCGGATAGGGAGAACGGGACTGATATGTCAGAATGGTACTTATCCATCTCCAACGAGGGTACACGGACCTCTTCATCCGCTTCACGAACAATACCATTACCAACCATCCCTCAACCTTCATCTTCCCCGAACACACCAAAAGAACATGCCGGTTCTGAGGGAAGTCAAGCACGGAAACCAGGGAGAGATCATGATGGAACAAAAGTGAAACCACTTCGAATACACAAGAACGAATGGTTCATTCGTCGAGCTTTACTATCCAAATCTCGTTCATATCCTTCTTCCGCGCAGAAACCCGCCCAGACCACATCAATTGGAGGGATGTTAGATATGAAACCTCAACCAAAGATCCGTCCGGCGCATTATGTGCTTGGACCGGAGAATATGGGATGGGCTTTGTTGGAAGGACAAGGATGGAATGGTGGAGGATTAGGACGACCAACTTCTGAATCAGCATTGGGTTCTACATCTACGAAGGGTCAAGGAGATACCGCCCACGAAGACGTATCGGGGGAAGATGAGAGGATCGAAGGGAGACCAAAGTCAGGGAGAGCGGTGAAGGGGAGAATCAAAAAGGAAAGTGGGAGAGAAGTGGTAGATTTGACCATGGATTCTGATGAAGAAATCACCTCACTCGAAAAGAAAGACAGTGAGGACAATCCATCAATAATCGGACACATCGATGAGGAAAAGGATGAAGTAGACAGTCAGATGTCAGGAGATGATAAAAAAAGTGATTGTGAAGATCGAAAAGAGGCCGAGAAAGAAGAGATCATAGGAGAAAGGGTAGAGAACTTAAATGACGATAATTCGAATCTGGAATTGATTCAAGTACATCAAGACGGTCCAGGTCGTACAGCTCCCATAGCCACAGCTCTCAAACTTGATCGATACGGTCTAGGTCATTCACGCGATACATCGATCAAAAAAGCCAAAGTGACTCATACATTCAAAGAAATTCGAGAAGCTCAGAGGAAAGCAAAGTTTGGACAACAACGAATGGGTATTGAATTGGGTGAGAAAGGGAAGAAAAGGTGGAAACAGAGAGCGAAGAAAGATAGAGAGGAGAGTAAAAGGATTATGGAGATGTTGAAAGCTTGACCTTTCATTAGAATGCATCACGACTTTCTTAATCCATTTTGTCTCGACTTTTTCCATGCTCACCAATTCATACTTCACTCGCATTCTCTCTTCGTTGACCACGCTTTCTTCTGTACTTTTCTCAAAGCTCTCCTAAGTCCCAGTCTCGCTCCTCTCTCTTGCATTCTGAATATCAATCGACGTCCGATTTTACTTGTGCGTCCCATTCGACTATGACAAAACAATTGCGACCTTGATCTGACACTCGGACACGACTGTTCTAGATTGTGAGAATACTAGAAGACAGAGCAACATGATGCATTATTGGTACAATCCACACAGACGTGGGTATGTGGTAAAGATGCTAAAGATGCAGTTATATACAATAATCTCCCGTATCCCACGTCGAACAATCTCAGGGCGAAATAGTTGGAACACAGAACAATGTAGTAAGATAGAAATCATCACTAAGATCATTTTTCAATCACCCTTCCTTCCTCAATACCTTGACAGCTCCTTCACTAACCCTTCTCAAATAATATTGATCACCTAAAACATCCCTGTTAGACTCGTCACTTTCCCTCCAACCCGAAGCAGAAGAATCATCCTCACTCCCAGATACTTCTTCTCTCACACTTCCCTCTCCTTGTATTCTCTCCACAGCTGCGACCGCCGAGACCTTCACCCCAGGAGGAAGATTGAAACCTAATCCCACACCTGGTGCCGAACTTCTTCTGACGCCAGATGGTGGTGGAGCGAGATGAGTGAGCCAGCTACCCGAAGTTGAAAGAATAGGATCTCCCCTAGTGTTGGCAACTGCTATACCCATCTTCTCAACTCTGGCGGATAGCCATCCTGCGAATGTTGGAGACATACAGAAGCTGGTATAGAAATCTCCTTCGACTCTTGATTTACTTGATAATCCTCGAGTCCGAAAGGAAAGTGGATTAGGACCATGACTTTTGAGATGTGTCAAAAAATTAGGAAGAGAGAATGGTTTCAGAGTTTCTGTTCCTCCACCACCACCCGGTGTGGACGAAGTGGACAAGGGGGTAAAAGGAGTTGGTATATATCCAGGGGAGATGGAAGGACTAGGAGAAAGTGTAGGGACGAGAGTCTGAAAATATCGATTTAGGGGAACTAACATCTTATCTGTCAATTGTTGAAAATGAGTTCGGAGAGCTTCGTTGGCGGATGGTTCATCCAGATTTCCTTCGTCTACCAATGCTTGTAGACGTTTGAGGAGAGGACGATCTTTCTGGACGGAACGATGACGTCGAGAGAGGAACCCGACGGGTTGATCAGGTCGAGGAAAATCACCGGAGGTCGAGGAGGGAAGAGGTCTTCGGGAAGGGGTAGGAAGAGAGATGACGTTGGGCCAATGAGAGGCGGCATTGCGGAAAAAGGGATTCTACGTGTCAATCAAGGCTAGAACATAATCGACACCGATCACATACTGTCAAGATTGTATTTAGGAAGAGGTCAGACAAAGGGGAATGACATGGAGGGAATTTATGAAACTCACAGTGACCCCCACTACCACTCCCGCCTGAGGTTTGTTGGAATTGACCAATAAAGCAAAATCATGATCGTGTATATGTAAATATGGTCTGAAATCTCCAGCTGGAGGAATGGGTCGTATGAGATCTCGTAGCCACCAGACTATCTCTGAACATGTTTTTGGATCGGGAGCGATGACGAGGATAGGTTCAGCTAGGATGAGACATTCCCATATGGACCAAAGGGAGGGAAGCACAGGCGCTAGAGCACGGAGAGGAGAGGTTTGAGGCAGAGTCACGAGAATCTGTAAATTCAGTCAGTCGACTCCACACAGATTGATCACGTCGTCATATCGCAGATATGCTCGTTTGAAACGACGATTAATGTCAGTGTTGTTTGAAGTGTGGTTTCTGGGTATTGCGTGAGAAAAAGCGCGACTTACAGGTCTTTCGGGTGATGACAGGCCCATAATGTTTCCCACCTGAGGGGACTCCCCTGTGTCCGGTAGTTGACAAGTGATTACGTCCGACATCAACGGTAATTCCAATAACGCGTTGGGACTGGGATCCTGCCAAGTAGCTATACTATGACATGCGGCTTCCAAAGCACTGTAACCATGCTGGAAGAACGGTGGGCCAATGCGCTCAAGTATGGTGAAGAAGAGGGACGGAAAGGGTAGATGAGTAAGGATGACAAGGGATTTCTGAATTCGTTAGTTCAATGGTCCGTATGATCTAAGACCGCAAGTTCTCATCAGACCGTGCAATTCATGAGCAGCAGTCGGCTTTTACCAGAGGTAATGAATAGGAAAAGAGTGTGGGAATGAGAGTAATTAGAACGTACCTGCATATACCCCCTGACCAGATCTTTATCTTTACGCTGTTCAAACCACACATACCCATATAACCACTCTCTTCCTCTTTCGTCCCACTTTCGATATTCCTCTGCCTTCTCACCTTTACTCATACCAGCACTCCCTGCCGCAGGGGTTTCCATTGGAACTGTACTTCCTTGTTCCATGCTCATACCTTGGAAATTAGCCTCCATCGAGGCTACACGATCAGGCATAGGTGATACTGGTTCGGGTTGGGATAAAGAAGCGGGATCTGGTGGGATATGACGAATCTTGAATGAAAACATGATGTTTCCTTCTGCGAAAAGACTAGTATCTGGGAAACTTGAGAATGCCCTTTCGGTCAGCTTTGCGATTCCTCAAAACCTTATCCCAAGCTGTTCGTCAAGCGAGATCATCTGAGCCGTATTTGAGGAGGCAGTGACATCTTGAAGGGTTCAAACTATCAAGGGGTCATGATAGAACCTACACATTCTCTTTCTCTCCTGGACCCCAACGTCTACCCACAGCTCTTCTCTCAACTACAGGACCTCTCTCCAGATCGAAATTACACACCACGATCTCCTGAATCCATCTTCCCATCCTCCTTCCCAGATCATCATCAAGTAACGGTGGTGGTCTGGCTTCACCTGGTCTTCTATTCCAAGCCATCCTTTCTTTGGGTTCATAAGAAGAAGAGGAGACTGGTCCCGGTACAGGCAGATCGATTGAGGGTAGACGAATATTCAGACTCTTACTTCGTCCTAGCGATCCCGAGAATTGACGAGTAAATTTGGTCGGTGTCACAGGGTCCATGTCCTCTTCTACATGCTGAGGTTTAGGCAGCCATGGTCGGGGTGTAGAGACTTCATCTTCGTCCACAGCTGTCATAGGCTTTGCCAAAGGGGTAGGGGAAACGGTTTCATTAGGGTGTAAAAGAGGATTGGGGTGCAGTTTACCAGTGGGATGATGGGTTTGGAAAGGTAATCGAGAGGGTTCATGAGGAGCAAAGGTGGAAAGGAAGATGGAGTTGGAGGAAGAAGGGACGGAGAGGGAGATGTCGCCAGCGTCGGAATCGAAGTCCGAGATGGAAGAGAGGGACATGTCGGGTGATTAGCGATACATCGATTTAGAGGATGAGATGAAGATTGAAGAGGAGAGTTGCAGGGGGGGGCAAGGAGCAAGGGGGGATAGGCAGGGGACGACGATTTCGGCGGGTCGAGGGTTGCCTCATGCGTCGAAGTTACTAGGACGTCCGGTGTAGACTGGATATACTATATATGCTCTCTGATTGGTATATACTGTAGGATGGATTAGGTGAGGCACATGTGTGTGATAGTCATGAGATGCCTGCCCACCAGGCCACCAGGAGGTTAGATGAAGAGAAAGTAGGTGAACGCTACGAAAGGATATAAGGTCAAGGTGGCTTAGTGGCTTTTACCTCGTTTCGCATACATAAGTTACATATAGCATTCTGCCTATTGGTGCAGTAGGTCAATCCTCTGCAGCTCGTAATGGCATTCATAAGTCCTCATAGATGAGAGATCAGAGCCGGGATACGAGACTAGGCCATTCCAAGAACAGCACTCCACTAAGTAGAATGGTCATCCCCGGAGAAGACTAGGAAAGGGCATCTCCCGCGTAGGTTGAAGCCAATTCCGCTCGTCATACTTCGCCTTCCCTTCGATCATGTGGAAAGTGTATATAAGTCGAGAAGAATCAGAAGGATTGGGTGGTGAACGATGCATGACGCTACCTGGTCTGTCAGCATCTGTCCTCCTGCCATCCCCGACCGCCCGACTGGCCCATTCCAAAGCTTCGTAGGAGAGACGACTGTGCCAGGAGCCAGAGTTTTGAGGCCCGGGGACACTGGACTGACGAAACAGAGATGAACATACCATGTATCAAAACCAATGTACCCGGTCGAACAGGTGCCTCAACCCATCCGTCCATTTCATCCCACTTTTCCTCATTGGGTTCCACACCTGGTACGGGTGCGAATGTCGTTCCACCCTCAGGGGCGCGCACAAAGCGTGTGCTAATCCGAGCTGTTTTATGTGATCCAGGAAGGAAAGACTACTGAGTGTCAGCGATGTGCAACTCCGACCTCGTTTCTTATCTTATACGAGGGGCCCTGTGTATCAAGATATATCGAATAGACAAGCGGACTCACCAAACATCCATTTTGAGTGGTACATTCTTCCAATGCGACCCACGCTCCAACAGCGCTAGGTGGATCTGTATACAGAAAGGTCGAATCATTGTGCGTAGGCACAGGACCACCTATTCGAGGCTGTTTACAGATGATCATGCTTTGCAACACCCGAGGATCGTCATGTTCTCCTAAGTCTATTGCTAGTTGAGATATTTTGGCACACTCTAGGGTATGTCGTCGGAAGACGGGATTGAGCGGAGCGAGAGCGTGACCGATTTTGTTGATACTTCGTTCAGGGGGTACGAGCAGTTTGGCAGGTGAAGTTTGGGTGGCCGGTGATAATGAGGATGTTTCTAGGAAGTAGCGAATCTACAGTGAGCTCAACTCCACCTTCTCTTTTCTCATTCAGAGGATTATAGTCTACTATAGCTTGAACCCACTAGCACGGCCAAAGATCAATAGCAAGAAAGGGGCTGCAGAAGGCCAGGATCAAGAGAGTTGAAGGTGTGAAGAGGGGTAAGCGGTAACTCACTCACCTTATCATTTGAACCCAAGAAGTAGTCATCCCCTACATGTCCCCCATCCACTTCAGTCTTGAAAGTAGTCAAGGGGTGACCTTCCAATTTAAACTCCTTCAGCAATCGTCGAGCCTCGTTCAACATCTCTTGCGTGTCCTCCGATGTGTAGAAATCGGTGATGATCAGATAGCTAGTTCGTTAGTGAGCCACTTCTGATATCCATGTAAATCTCCAGAGGGAAGTACACTCACCCATCTTGTCGCCATCGTTGAAGCTGCTCAGGAGAGAGGACGGACATGATGTACCTAGAGTATGTAGTGATGATTTGAGAGGAAGAGGGACAAACCCGGAGAAGGGGAGAAGGGTTCCGTCGCTTCAGTGCGGGGCACCGAATGTGGCTCTCTCTTCTTTGTGGCACTTTCAAGGACTTCATGACATGCATGCTTAAGATGGTCACAGAGAGAACAAGCATGCGTGCTGCGGCCAAGGTTGCTCACAAAGGCGACAACCGCATGCACCTTATCTCCACCTGAGAGACGCTACGTCAGTCGGGACGACGGCTGCTGCCCGGGCATCCGAGCTCGCGCAGAGTATCAAATCTGACAATGAATCACAAGCGAGGCCGTCACGTCAATCAAATGTATGGGCGTCATGGAGACATTGGAGAAGATCGACTCGTCCGTTCATGTTGTTTCGTTTCACAATGGTCGTTCATCTTCAGCAACATCGCTTACCTTCACATCTCCGACTTCGTAGACAACGGCCCATTTCCCCATCCGCCATATCTCACGTCGCCTGTTTTCTTTATTTGATCTCGTGCTGATTGACTTTCTCCTCTTCCTCTTTGTTCTTGAAGCAATCTATCATCAACCCTACACCAGCAGAAAGACAAATCATATCATGAGTCAAGTAAGTCTGTACATTCTCCATCATTTTCAACACTCATGTGCAGCAACAACAAGTTTCATACCCTCCTGACTACCCCACTCAACCGGACATGACAATTCAACAACAAGTGGATGAAGTGATAGACACATTCAGGTTCAAACCTTTCCATGAGGCTGAAAAGTGTTATCAATGCTTCATGTCCACTCACTCAGCATTCCAACACCCAGAGTCAGACACTGACCTAATGTATGCTCTGCAGCAACTGGAGAGGGAACGAGATCGTGAAATGACAATTCTACTGACCGATTACGTCCTGTCAACCGTGCTGGATGAGGCAATGGGCAATTTTGACTGGTCCTTTTTTGACGGTGTTCAGACAACTGAAGGTGGAGACATTGACAAGTACTTCACAGAGATACAAAGAAAGCAAGCGTTCACAGGTACAAGGCAAGAGTTTGCTCAAGATCTGTTCAAAAAGACAATTCAATGGAAGGCAAACTACTATTATTCACAAGAGAACCAGACAGAGGATAAGTCTAAAGCAGCTGATAGGGAGAAAATTCGCGACTGAAAGAGAGAGCAGTATGGTGACCTCATAGTAGTAACACTAAGGAATCCAAATGCAAACTTGACGAGAAGTTTCCAGAGGCTTTGTATCTAGGTTGGTCTTTGCCGCATCTCCAAGGTGAATAAAGACAGGTGGACTAAAGCACTCTATGAGCTTGAGCTAGTGTATAATAGCTGTAGATACAAAAATCCGCCCAGGGCACTGTGCACAAATTATCCATCCTTCCTGTATTGCCATCTCTATTCCAACAGATGATAAGATGGTACTCAGCCGTTTCACCACCGAACCAAGTTGTCTTGTTCGGTCTAAGTGACGCAAGTGCGGTCGATAGGAAAAGGGTCAATTTCATACTTCCATTCGTTTCAATTATCATTGATCTCCTTCCTAGAAGGCAAGGAAGTTTACCTTGCAAAAGATGGCTATTTGTCTTCCAAGAAGCAAGTTGGCAAAGGAGTCTTATCTGACCGCGTACGTTGTAGACCCATTGGACTTTCTCGGTTGGTATGATTCAACCACATGGGATGAGACTCGATACATCTTTATCACAAACATCTTCAAGTTCCTTTCAGGAAGGATCTGCTTCAACACGTATCATCCTTCGCTTACGGGAGAAGAATATTGGAGATACCTTTCACGAGACTATCAACGATCATAAGCGAGCCCACATTAGAAAAGATTCATAATAGTCTCTCCCATCTCATCTCATCCCGATCCTCTCTCTTTCCACGTACATTCTGGTTGACTATACGACTATCCAAACCACATCCCTTGCACCAATACAAGTAGTCTCTTTGAATTGAACACTATGGCAGACAACAGACGAGTCAGTTTTCTATTCTCAGTATCTGCGTCTCCAACTGATTAGCAGACCAACATGTCCGGTCGTTCAGACTTGGTACCATCCACTGATACCCACGCCAAAGCTGAGAACCCTGAAGAAGATTGGCAAACCATATTTTCTCGTCTATCGTCCGACGCACAGAGAATTGTTCAAGGTGATCCCCCTGAGAGTCGTAAGACAACTTCACAAGAAGAAAAGTTGTACGCCAAACAGCTTGCCATGGAGTCAATGGTAGCTAAAGATATTGCTACAACACTTGGTGACAAGGACCCACAGAACTTTGATTGGACAACATTCAATCAAGAACGCACCAGTCAAGGTGCACTAACAGAAGAATATTTTGACACTTTAATGGAAACTTGTGGATTTGATTCGAGGGATGATTTTGCCAAGTGGTTCAACGATACTCGGGTACGCGCAAGAAGCATCCTGGGTGACCAGAGAGGAAACACTGGGAGGTGATACATGTCTCATGTCTACCCGTAGTGTATATGGCTTGCTAACTTATGTTGGGACAGAAGAGCTGGATACTTGGGGATTCTAATTGCACGGATGTACAGCTTTTTACACCTGACTTGATGTAGCAGATCATGGCCAAAGACGAGTGCTTCTGTCACGGCCGTCGAACAACTACTTCTTAATAGACCGACGGTCGACGAACCTCGGCTAACTTCACTCTCTTAGTCGATGTCTCACCCAACCAGGAGGGCGCAGACGTCGAAAGGGGTGTAACTACGGCGTACTTCGGCGTAGTTACTCTAACTAGGGTTTTGATCTACTGATGGCGATGTATCTTGATTTATAGCTATCTCTATCTGTCTTTTACTACTGACAACAATCAAGGATCGCTGAAGAACTTCAGCGATCTTCTCAGCTAATATTATCTACTCCTCCTAGACGTTCATCCAACCCTCTCGCGCTTTGACGTACTTCAACGCACTTCGTCCAACTTCCCCGAGCCCTCGGCCATCCTCTTCCTCCTTCGACTAACTCCGCCTAACATCGCCGCACTTCTGCTCCCATTGTCCCTACTTAGCCTAACTCCGCCTAACATCGCCGCACTTCTGCTCCCATTGTCCCTACTTAGCCTAACCCCGTCTAACTTCGCCGTACTTCTGCTCCCATTGTTCCTACTTAGCCTAACTCCGTCTAACCTCGCCGTACTTGGTGTCAGAAGTCCTGAGTTACGTGTAGAGTAAAGAGGTTAAGGCGTGATGGGGTTTTGATGGCCAAAGGAGGGTCATTGTTGGTGGAGTAATCGAGGTGTCACGACGTAGTTCGTGACAGTCGCCCCCTTCTTTAGCCGCGAACGTCCTCGTGAGCGATTACACCTCTGTCGTGGCAAGAGAACTTAGCAGCGTAGTATCCCCATTCTCTCCCTCCCCACGACCAACCTTCACTCTTCTGTTCTTTGCGCCGCACTTCGTAGTTGGGCCTCCTTTCACTCCAGAACCCGACAATGAGACTCCCCTAACTTCGTCGAGGTTTGCCGTAAGAAGCCCTGTGTCTTTTGTAGGTGAGACACGCTTCCTGAATGGCAGCCGAACAACACCGTAGTTTGTCGAAGTAACCCTCGTTTATATTGAGATGAGACACTATAGCGTGGGAATTTTGATCGTCCCTGCGATGCCTTTTGTTGATGAAACGCGAAGGATGCCGCATGTTGACGACGGAGGGGTAACTCGAGTTATACTAAGTACTGAGCAGTTCATCGTCCTTCTCTCTCTTCCCCATCTGTTTTCAAAACTTTCTATCTCTCGCGCTTAGAAAACGGATTTGTTACCTCGACGTATCATCTTTTATTTCTTTAAGTATTTTTAACGTCATGGCCCCTCCTACTCCCACCTCTAACCCTTTCGCCGCCATGAGGAACTTTGGTGGTATGGTGTCGTCTGCTCGTGAGTCTTTCCCCTGTACTTACCGCACTTCGCCGCACTTGGCTGACGTTCAGTTTCCTTCGGTGATAGGTCTCGCCAAGTTTCCTCTCTTGGCCTCGGCACTCTTTCCCTGGGGGAACCGTCTGGCGCCGCCTCGCCTCCTCGCTCTGCTTCTCCTCCCGCCAGTCCTCCTGCCGGTTCTCCCGCCCGTTCTCCCTCCGCTTCTCCTCCTGCCGCCAGCCCTCGCCGCAGGACGCCCGCCTTTCGTCCTGGTGAGTCTCCGTCCTCCTCCGACCAGGAGTCGCTCAGTGGTTCGGAGTCGGACGATCAGTCAGACTTCGAAGGAAAAGGGGGTGATTATAGTGATGAGGAGGATCAGGATCGTGAGGGTGAAACTGAGTTAGAAGATATCTCAGATGATGATATGGTGGCGGTTAGTGTAGAGGATAACAATGTTGATAGTCCTGAGTGTGAGTTCTTCGCCCACCCTCCTATACCTTCGCCGAACTTGGCCTTGTTTATCTGTTCTTTAGCTCTCCAAGACATTGCTAACTCGCAGCCGCTCCTGCCCCTCCCCCTGCTCAAATTGTGGGCCAGAAACGACGCCGTTCCCTCTCCTCTTCTTCTTCTTCCTCTTCTTCTTCTTCCTCTTCTTCTTCCTCTTCCGGGGTTCTCTCCCCCCCCGACGCTATCGCCGCTGCCGCCGCTGCTGCCGCCGCCCGCTCTGCCGCCGCCGCCGCCGCCGGTCCTGCTGCCGGTCCTGCTGCCGCCCCCCCCGTCGCTGCTCCCCCCCCTTCTCCCAGAGGGGAGCCTTCGCCCAAACGGGTGAAGAGATCACTGCGGGAAGAAGAGTACTTGTGGGAGAAGATGAAGTCCGAGCCTGGTCGTTGGATCGCGGTTGGTGTTGACGAAGCGTGTGATCGTTGCCGGTGAGTCCACCTATTCGTACTACGCCGAAGTTACTCCTGCTAATTAGTAGACGTGAGATTATCACGTATAATCGTCCAAACTGGCCCTGCCTCAAGGCAGTCAGGCCACACAACAAGGCCCTCCGTTGTGCTTCATGCACGTCTGGCCCCTGCTCCTTCTGTCCCGTTTCCTCTGCCCGGGACATCCCGCCCCGTCCCTTCGACGCTTCTCCTCTCCCCCCTCCCCAGACTCCAGCGTCTGTCCCCCGTTCGCGGGTACCGCCTTCGTCTCTCCGGTCGGTTCGCCGTACTTCGCCGGACCTCCGCCCGTCGCCTCCGTCGCCGTCGCCCTTCGCTCCTGTGGCCGGCCCATCACGTCTCCCGGCTGTTCCTCCTTCGTCTTCTCGCCGTCCTTCGGCCTCTGCTCCTTCGGCCTCCCGTCCTTCGGCCTCTCGTCCTTCGGCGCCACGTCCGTCCTCTCCAGTGGTAGCTTCTCCTCCGGCTCACAGCACCCGAAGTCGGCGTCCTTCTGTTCCTCCGGCCACTTCGGCGGCCCCTCCCGTCACCCCTCCCTCTGCTTCCCAGAAGACACCGAAGTCTTCTTTAAAGAAATCAAAAGGGAAATCTAAAGGGAAGGAGGTTGCCTTCAATGATGGTGATGTGGAAAGTGAAGATACTCAGCGTGCTGGTCCCTCTGCTCCCCGGTTGTCCCTCGTCCACCCTCGTATCTCCCTGGACGTCCGTATTCCTGAGGACGAAAAGGAATTCGCCACTTATCGTTCTCTCGTCCTCGGTCTCACTACTCAGCTCGAGGCCGCCCGAAATGATACATCTCTCCTGCTTGACTTCTCTTCTCGTCAAGCTAACGCTTTAAACAATCTCACTGCGGCGTTAGTAGATGCAGTCAACACTGGGGCTCTGGACGACGAAGCAAGGACAAGGTTAGCGGACGTCTCTCGCCGAAGCCTTACTGAGATAGCCGATGTTCGCCGAAGACTGTTCGACACCCCCTTCCTAGTCACTCCTATGGCGTATGAGCCACCACCGTCCCTTGACTGGTTAGGTCGCCGTAGTAGTTCCCGTGTCCCAGCTTCCGCCCAGACTGCTCTAGACCTCCTCAGTCTTCCCTTCGAGTGTCTACGGACCATACGTTCTCTGTGGAGGACTCCGAGCATGCAAGCTGCTCGAGATGTCCAGGACTTCGGTGACTTCTTTGGGGCTATGAATCGGGCATGGAATGCTTCTCTCTCTACTGCGTTCCCGTCTGAGACTCTCGATCTACCTTCGGTCATCGGTAGCCTCCACACTAATCCCGCGGGACCGAGTAGATCGAAGGAGAAAGGAAAAGGAAAAGGTAAGGGTAAGAGTAAGGACAAGTGAGCGGTACGTAGCTGTAATCCTATGTTGTATGCAGTACGTTCTATCTCCTAGCCCTTCGCAGTCGCCCTTCTTTCGGCTTAGTAGGGTGAAGTTCGTGGAACTTCGCCAATATGTCATCAGCTCCATCGACGTTCTCCACTGGTTCCCATGATACTGAATCGTCTGTTCCTTCGTAACCTAACCACTCCACCAAGTACTCTAACTTTCCTGACCTCTTATTTACTCTAGAGTCCACAATATCCTTTACCTCCCAAGACTCTCCCTCATTGTCTACTTCTACTGGCCCAGGTGGCTCAGCTTGCTGACCAGGAAATATTGGAGGGTGATAAGGACGGAGCAAGGAGACATGGAATACATCATGGATACCTGCCATCGTTCCTGGTAATTCCAATTTACAAGCATGAGAACCTACCTGCCGTACTACCTTGTACGGCCCACTTTGCTTAACATCTAACTTCTTCATTGGTCTCTTCGTCTTAATATTCTCTAACGACAGCATCACTAGGTCTCCTTCCGCGAAGTTCGGCGTAGTCCGGTGTTTCCTATTGTATCCTTCGGCGTACTTCTCATTAGCTTTCTCAATTCCTTCGATACAATCTTTGTGTATTTCAGTCAAATCTTTTACCACCACCGTAGCAGCGGGCACTTCGACCTCGCTAGCCTTTATCTCTTCAGCCCAACGAGGGTGATATCCATAGTTCGCATAGAATGGGGTTTTGTTTATCGCAGAGTGCTGGGTGTTGTTGTAAGCAAAGCTAGCTCGAGCGAGTAGCTTTGACCAGTCGTTCTGCTGATAGGAGGTGAAGATTCGAAGATACAGTTCCAAAGACTGGTTGGTTCGTTCGGTCTGTCCGTCAGTCTGTGGATGATATGCAGTAGAGAGATGTAGTCTTATTCCGAGACTATCGGTCAAATTCTTCCAGAACTTGGAGGTAAACTTCGATCCCCTGTCCGATACTATATTCTCTGGCAACCCATGCTGGGCCACCACATAGTCCAATATCAACTCTGATAGGCCGGCTGCGGTTAACTTCGTCGTAGTCGGGATAAAAATGGCCCATTTGGTCAACCGATCCACCACTACCAGGATGGAATTATATCCATGGGAATTTGGCAGCTCCTCGATAAAATCCATCGAGATGCTAGACCAAGGTTTCGTAGCTACCTCCAGTGGTTTAAGCTCCCCATGAGGTTTCTGTCTGTTAGTCTTCGCTCTCTGACATACCGCGCAACCAGCAACATAATCTTCGACATCCTTTCTTACTCCAACCCAGACATAATCCCTCAGGACTAGTTCAAGAGTCTTCGCCGAACCTGGATGACCGGCCAAGGCTGAGTCATGTCGCATCTTCATGATCTTCAGCCGAGCATCGGCGTAGTTCGGCACATAAATGCAATCGTCGAATGTGAGGAAACCTCTTGAGTTCCACCCCCCACGAAGGATTAGAGGAGACCGCGAACTACGGCGTAGTTCGGTGATTGATCCTGGTTCCTGCACGTTATCGTTACACGTAGGATGAGAACACTCAGCGCAAACGACTCCTAATAATTCTTCTCTGACCCCTTCTATGTCTTCGTCCTCCTGAACTCCAAGTACTAGATCCATAGGGTCCACAAGATCATTTTCCTTTACCTCCCTTGTCCCTTGCAATGCTCGAAGGAGGTGACGCAACTCCGACGTGGTGGCGTCAACTTCGTCGAACTTCGGCAGACCTTGGATAAGGTTGCTCTCTTGTACCATGGTACTTCCTTTCCCGGAATGATAGTCCGCCCGTCTAGATAATCCATCTGGAAGACTTGCCTGGGTTCCTGGCCGATAAACCATTTTAAACCTGAAGTTAGCTAGCTCCTCTACCCACCTACCTTGCCGAGGACTGAGTTGTTTCGGTTCCATCCAGTAGGTAAGGTTTAGATGGTCGGTAAGTACTGTGGTTTCCACCTGCAATAATAAGTGTCTCCTTCTTCTGAAACCCTCCACTACAGCGAGGAACTCCTTTTCTCCTACCGTATAATTCAGTTGAGCTGTGTTGAAAGCACCAGACTCAATAGCTACCGGGTGTTCTTGACCAGCCGTGTTGATCTGCGAAATTATGAACCCCCAGCCGAAGAACGACGCATCTGTCTGTAATATCGTCTTCAATGTAGGGTCAAAATGGGCTAACACCGGCGCAGTACACATCCTAGCCTTCAACTCTTTGAAGGCTGACTCCTGTTCGACTCCCCATACAAATGGTACCTCCTTCCTTGTCAAGTCATTGATAGGTCTAGCAATCTTCGAGAAGTTGGGGACAAAGCGCCTGTAGTAGCTTACCACTCCAATGAATCCCCTTGACTCTCGTAGATTCTTAGGACGTGGGAAGGAAGTGATGGCATCAATGTATTCTGGGTTCACCGATACACCTTTAGAGGATACCACGAAACCCAGAAACACCACCGAATCTCTTTCGAACTCGCACTTACTAGCTTTCACGTACAGGCTCGCCTTCCGCAGTACCTCAAAGACCTTCGCCGTAGTTCCTCGTAATTCCTCCAACGTATTCCCATAAATGAGGATATCGTCAATGTAGACCACGACTCCATTCCCTAGTAGCTCTCTAAACACCTCATTTAGGAAGTGTTGGAAGACCGCGGGGGCGTTTCGCAGCCCATCACGAACAACCAGAGATTCAAACATACCATACTGTGTCCTGAACGCCGTCAGGTGTTCATGTCCCTCTGTCACCCTCAACAATTGGTATGCTCCAATTAGATCTAGTTTGCTGAAATACCTTGCTTTTCCAAGTTCTTCGGTAATTTGACCTATTAGAGGGAGAGGGTAGGCATCTGGTATGGTCGCTTCGTTCAGTTTTCGATAGTCGATGACCATTCGCCACTGTCCTTCGGCTTTCTTCGGTATCATAAACATTGGTGAGCCGTATGGCGAGTTACTTGCCCGAATTCGGCCAGCGGCGATTTCGCGATCTAGTATGTCTCTCAGCGCGCGTCTCTGATCTTCTCCTTGAGCATAGAGGGAGGCGACCTTAAGGTTCGCCCCCTCCTTAAGCTCAAACTTCAAATCGTAGGACCTTGAAGGGGGAAGGGTCTCTCCTCCCTTCTTCGGATTAAAAACGTCAATGTACTGGTGGTATTGTTCAGGAACTACCTGGAACAACTCGTCTTGTTCCTCCGGGCTCAGCTCTTCAAGCTCACCTTCGCCGCGGCGGTCTATCGCGTCCGTCAGAGTCGGCAGCCCTATGGCCGCTAACTTCGCCGCACTTGGTGGGGTTGGGATGGGAAATTTCACCGAGTTGTCTCTTCCATCAAGGACAACCCCTTCCTTCCTCATCCAATCCCACCCTATCACAACATCTGCGTCGCAGAGCGTTGTTACATCGAGACAAACAGATCGCACTTCGGCGTCCTTCGTCAAACTAAATCCGACTTCGACAAACTCGGTGATGGGTCCAGCGACACTCACCGAGCCGTCGAACATGTGAACGGGTACGCTCACCTGATATTGTCTCCTTTCTGCGCCTATCTTCGTCGCCGCTCTAGGACTTATATATGAACAAGTAGCCCCGGTGTCCCAGAGCGTAGTTAGCTTCATTCCATTAATGAAAATGTCCGATTTAGGTTGATCTCTGGAAACGGAAGGGATGAGGAGATGATTATCGACATTGCATGAACAAGGGGTACTGAGTGGTGTATTTTTGTATTCACAATCCTCTGGCTCCATCAGCTGTGTTTCTTTTATGGGTTTGGGAATGGTGGCCGAGAGAATATGGCGGACCCGCCGAGCCTCGCCTACTGCGACAGGTCCTCTTCTTTTCCCTGGTCCTCTTCCAAATCTACTTCTCCTCCAACCGCATTCAAGTTCCTCCTCTGTCCGAGAGGTACTGCGTTCCCTCCCGATCCTCCACCACGTTCTCCGAACTTCTCCCCCCATGGAGGCAACAGTCCAACCTTAACCTTAGCCTCCCTTACAGGGCATTCCTTCAGCCAATGTCCTGCTTCACCACACTCGGTACACTTCCCCTCCTTCCTCCTTGTCTCCCTCAGATCGGAGCTCGGCCTAGGCCATCTTCGGCGAACTTCGTCGATGTTTGGCGGTGTACTCTTTACCACCGTCGACCTCATAGCCGCCTGGGCACCACCCTGCGCCGAAGGTTGCCCCTTTTCCCATTTCTTCTCTTCTTTCTTCTCCGTCCTCTGACTTTCCACCACTGTCGTTGTCCTTATCCCTCCTTCCCTTTTCCTCTCTGCCTCCTTCTCCACTTGTCTCCTCCACAGGCGGTTGTCCAAGGGAATCACAAACTCCAATAGCTCTTTTACAGTCCCAAACGATCTACCGTGTCTTGCGATTTCATCTAGAAGGTGCGATTTTAGTCCTTTCTTGGCTCGGTCAACTAGGTTTCCATCATCAGACCACTTGAGAATCGCAACATGTCGCTGAAAGGCGGAGAAGTAGTCCGAAGCAGACCCGGTTTGCTTGAGGTCGTTAAGTTGTCGGGCCGCAGTTCCTTCTTCGTCTGGATCACCAAAGTTAGTCTTGAGGTACTTAACGAACTGATCGTGTGTCGTGAGGTACTCAGGAAGAGGTCTTTTGGATAGATCGGGCTGCACTGCAAGAAGAGGTGTTTCGCGTAGATGAGAGATCATGAAAAAGACTTTCTTAGTGTCGTCGGGGAAAAGATGAGAGTTCAATTCGAAGTGTACGTCGCACTCAGACAGAAAAGCGGTTAACTTGTTCCGATCTCCTCTCCATAGGTCTGGGTTAGGTAGCTTTATCCCTTTCCGTTGTTCGCCCACTACGCTTGGGGTCGCCGAAGTTTGCCGTCCCATGGCGTACCTCACCCCTTCTGATATCCCTTCTGCAATCCCGCCCACTGTATCCCTTTCTCTTCTCTGTTCCCATTCCTCCCTACGTCTTCTCTCCTCCATCATGTCTTTGTTCATATTCGCCACCATCTGCATCAAGGCCAACACCACCCCTTGTGTTCCTTCTTCTCCCAAGTTCGCCGTACTTCCAGTGTTTTCTCTTGGGCGTGGGGTTTGGTCTGATCCAAGTGGGGATCCCACAGGTGGGAGAGCATTAGACGGAGGAGAAGGAGGGTTAGAAGGCACCGGTGGAACGAACTCATCTCCTTGAATTGATCCCCCCACACTATCCTCCACTCCAAGGTCCTGCCCCATTGCTCTGCTAAGCTCCTCCAATGCTCTCCTCTCGTTCTCCTCCATCCTGTCTCCATCCCTACTCATGCCTCGTGTAATTCTTCTTTCTGGTTCCATATTATCTTCGTACTTCTCCGAGGTTCGCACGGGTCGTCGGTAAGAGCGATCCTTGATACTGTCACGGCCGTCGAACAACTACTTCTTAATAGACCGACGGTCGACGAACCTCGGCTAACTTCACTCTCTTAGTCGATGTCTCACCCAACCAGGAGGGCGCAGACGTCGAAAGGGGTGTAACTACGGCGTACTTCGGCGTAGTTACTCTAACTAGGGTTTTGATCTACTGATGGCGATGTATCTTGATTTATAGCTATCTCTATCTGTCTTTTACTACTGACAACAATCAAGGATCGCTGAAGAACTTCAGCGATCTTCTCAGCTAATATTATCTACTCCTCCTAGACGTTCATCCAACCCTCTCGCGCTTTGACGTACTTCAACGCACTTCGTCCAACTTCCCCGAGCCCTCGGCCATCCTCTTCCTCCTTCGACTAACTCCGCCTAACATCGCCGCACTTCTGCTCCCATTGTCCCTACTTAGCCTAACTCCGCCTAACATCGCCGCACTTCTGCTCCCATTGTCCCTACTTAGCCTAACCCCGTCTAACTTCGCCGTACTTCTGCTCCCATTGTTCCTACTTAGCCTAACTCCGTCTAACCTCGCCGTACTTGGTGTCAGAAGTCCTGAGTTACGTGTAGAGTAAAGAGGTTAAGGCGTGATGGGGTTTTGATGGCCAAAGGAGGGTCATTGTTGGTGGAGTAATCGAGGTGTCACGACGTAGTTCGTGACAGCTTCCACCTGACTATTCTTCCATTCATCATATATGAGCCCTGCATTCATGCAACCTCCTTGAAAGAAGTTAAAGGAGATGCAGCTGACTGTGACTCAATGAGGTGTTTCACATCATGTGTTCTTGACCACACCTGAGCCTTCCTTTTGGGTGACTTTCTCAAACGCGTGTCAAAAGAGACTCAGTATCGCTTCTCCCTTCAAAAGCTGAGTTGTACTGTACGAGATGAAGGCAAGTCTCGTGACTGTCAGCCATCAACACCATCTTTCCTTCCTCATCCACTTCAACACCAATCGCTAACATCACTTTGAATATATAGTTCATCCCAAGCACCATGAGTACTGCTTCTGGAAACAAGACAAATGACCTTGTTAAACTAGTATGTCCCCTATTGTGGCTCCTACACCAGTAATGATGAGTAGGATTTGACAGACACTGACTACCCCTCAGAGGATGAGACTAGTCATACCGCTTTGTCTCCTGAAGTTGTACGTTCTTCGAATTTCTTCCAGTGACGTACTCTGATAGATACCAGGTAGAAACCCCTTATTCGGATTCCGAGCAGGATGAGGGGGAGAAGGATGATGAGGACATGTGCTCGTACGAAGCTTATTTGTTTCGATGGGCAGATGAAACCAAGGAACTCATGACTGCTTATGTGACAAATCCAAGTGAAAAGGTACTTATGAAGCACACATCAGACACTAGACAACAACACTGATTGTCAGACCAAAGGAGACTATGTGGACTGGGTAAGAGCTTGTGTCCTTTGGCCAGTGATAAAGCCAGATGATTTGGATGAGTTTCTATACGATGCACAAGGGTTTTTGGAGGTGGGTTATCCTATTCTACCCTGGTCATAGCTCATTGAAGGCAACTTGTACGAAGAAAGAGGATCTCGCCCACTTGTTCAATCAACTCGATGCTCTGCAAGAACAAGAGCAGTCAGTGGGGGAGCAGCTTCCAGTCGAGGATGAAGCCTCACAGCCCACAGTAGCATTGTTAAGGGATAGTCAAATTGAAAACCTACCTCGAGGCATGACCGAGGAACAGGACCCGGATTATGTTTGGATCGACATTCCTGATGATAATGAGGATGCTGAGGAGAAGGGAGGGGAAGTTCCGTCTGTTACGGGGTAACAACGACTCAAAGCAGTTCCATCAAACTCAACGGAATTGGATAGAGAAGAACAAGAACAGGAGGCAGTGCTGCAGTAGGTAGGATAGGTTTTCCCCTTTGGAATTTCCCCACTGGGTTTACTCAAAGTGGTTCTTTACCTGTCCGAGTATGTACATAGATGCTTGCGACAAGGAAGGAAGGAGACATGGATACCTGTAGACAGTATATAGTACAATTAGCAATGTACTAAATTTGCTGACTCTTCAATGGACATTCTTTGGCTACATCAATTGCAGAGGAGACACATTCCATCACATAGCGTCAGAGACACATACATAGATTTCCACTGTATCCCATTGACCTCGACCCAACCTCCGACTGAGTCGTCGTGTTTCCAGTACCGTTACACTGTCTTAGGTAGTGATTTCCTCCATGGGAACTGAAGGGATGAACAACAAAAGTCAATTGAGGAGTCGCTCATCCAGTCACTATGCAGCACGATCAGGTCGCGTGGAGAGGCCTAGATAGTGAAGCGTGCTCTAACAGTGTGGACTCTGGCATTATCTCAGCTATCAATGGGACTGACTATTACCTGCTTGAAACGCGAGTTGGAATCACGCGGGAGAGTTGTATGACCATAGGTACAGGAAACGCTTTGTTCAACAAGCGTATGGGAGAGCACGTATGAGCACATCATACTTTGTTCATTTGTTCCTTAGTGTAATCTGATACGTATGTTCGGAGACAGAACCACTCCTTTTGTGATTCACCCTCTCGATCCAAGGATCTCACGCCTTTTTGGATGTCTCGTGTCCCATAAAGGAAGAATACATCGGGTGTATCCATTCTCTCCCATCGTATAAGAAGGGCTCGAACCCGATCCCGTATCTGCTTATCTTCCCTCTAATCAACTACTAAACAGACAGTCAACAACTCATATGCCAAATCATACCCATACGGATTCTCGCACACAGGTAAGTTTTGGATCTCTGTGGGCCATAGCTGAGCATGTACATAGACCCGTCCCTCCCGCAACGGTAGGGGTCGTAGACAGGAGTCGGAAAATCAGAATACCGACAGACCAGGATCACATGTCAGTCCAGTACTATTTGCTTGTCTTGTGCGCTTTCAATGCTCTCAGACTGACCAACAGGCCTCAGACAACACTCAACAGAATCCTACACTTGAGTGGAACACCAGTGTCTGGGCAGACATCACCAAAGAGCTCAATGAGCAAAGGATAAGGAATCCCGGAGGTGAAGTGAGTCAATGTCCATATAAGAGGTAGATGAATCTTGCGCTGACAATTGGACACAACAAGCTTGGACAGAATGGATCAGAACGACAATCCTCTGGGGGCTGATTACCGAGGAGGAGTTTGATGACTACTCTGTCAACCCACAGGGCTTTTTGACAGCAAGTCTTCAAATTTCAACGCAAAGCACTTATTGATGATCAGAGGCACTGTACTGCAACCCAAAGTACTGCTGGTGTTGATGATAGCACTCAAAGCACAACTCCCGGGGAGGTCCCCTTGTTACCGGAGGAGGGGTTCGCTCTCCAATTTGACAATCAGGAGTATTACCCTTTGACAACTCAGGACAGTGTTGGTCATTCAATCAGTGATAATGGACAGGGTAATCACGAAGCCCAAAGCGGTTGGGAGTCTGACGACACCCTGTGGTAAGATCCTTACAATCCATCAAATCAATAGAGTGGTGAAGAACAGTTGGGAATGATCAGTGAGGTTTGACCAAGAAAATGTTGATGATGTCCATTGGTAAGAAGAGAATTGTTGGAATGCATAAAGTCATGTGGCAGGTAGTGTAGGTCAGGTTCTGATGCTCCGGTAAAAGTCAAAGCGTTCCTTCTGCCTCTACCCCGCGCACGGTATGCTAACGGTGTAAAGTGCGATGGTGCCACAGTGCCACATTGAATGTGAAACGGTTTCCGCTGGAAACATGACATGTCTCCCCTGCTTGCGTTCGTCTTTCTTCCTTAATACTTACCGTTTGATCATAGGTGACAGCCTCAACCTTCTCATAATTGCATTCAGCAGAATGACAACCTCCAACCCCTCTCATCTTCTCATTTCTCGAAATTCACCCCGTTCCCCCACTCACACACACCTCGTCCCTACCTTTGCGGCTCGTCACTCCTCCCTAGTTTCCTTGGACGCCAACGATGCTAGTGCGCACCACCGCACTCAGTCAGCCCCCAACAATCCTTCAAGCCTGAACCTTCCAGAAGATATGGAAGAAGAAGAAGGAGAAGAGGTAGAAACTGTGGAGGTACATCCCACCTTCCGACGAGACGCAGCTTTACTCGGCACGGTAAAGGTGAGAGTAGGCGGGAGTGATTTTTGGTGTCATAAGGAAATTCTCTACTTTGCCAGTCCATTCTTTCAAGGATTACTTCAAGGATGGTGAGACAATTGTCAATACATCCAGTGTAAGATGTTGCTGAGACAGTATAGTTGGGCCGAGACCGCTTGTGTGACCGATAGATCCTCAAGTCCATTCAGACGCGATACAGATGTTGACCCATTACCTGTTCTAGCGGAGCATCCTACTTCTTCCTTTGCCTCGTCTTCAAATTCAGAAAGTCCGGATCATGAGGAGGAAGTCGCGGATAGAAGGAAGACAAGCGTATACCTAGATGCAAGCGAGGACGAGCCAAGTATCACCGACATCTTGAGAGAACTACGGGAGCTACCAGATTCTCAGATACACGTTTCCCTTTCTGATCGTCCTTCGCGATCCTCAGGCGCAACATCATCTCATATCGACCCAACTTACCGTACACAGCACGACGAAACACCTCTTGACCATGCTCTCCCATCGTCTTCGAGTAGACGAAGGAGGTCCTCGATACGTCACTCGTTCTCCTCAGGAACGGACAATGCTCGTCGGCCTACGGACCCGGTGGCAGTGGTGGAGCTGCACGAGACAAGTCCATCGGCCTTCCAGGATTTTCTGATGTGGGCTTATCCGCATATGGAGTGTAAAGTCAGCTGGACCAATGTGGAGGATGTGAGTGTTGCCGGTCGTCGACGTCTCTTTGGGGGTAATCCTGTCTTCAACTTGTCTGAGATTCTGAGAAGAGAAGGAAATACAGATGCTGATCTGCAGCTTCTGGCGCTAGCATCCAAACTCTTAGTTCCATCTTTACAAAAGATGTGCGAGAACTTCCTCGTCTCTCATGCATCAGGTAAACCTATCGTGGCTCTCTCCTTGGCGGAGACGTACGAACATGCAGACTTGTACAGAGAAGCAAGTCGATTTGTCCTAGACCAATGTGCGTATTTATACTCTTCCAATCTTCTTCGCTTCTTTTGGTGGACAGTCAAAGGTGAAGCTCACGTACAGCTACGTGGGATCACGAGGAGATGTCTCAGTTGACTGAAACGACAAGATTGAAACTTTCACACCGGTCCGTCCGTCTGTCCTTCCCAGTATTTTGTTGACCGGTCTAGACGGACCTGGTTCCTTGAACGTCTCCTGAAGCTCGGTAGCATCGACGTGCGAAAAGAGTACAGCTGTGTAAGTCACGCCATCATAAATTGTTGACCAGGTGGACGTCGTGGCTAATCAGATAGAGGGTCGATTGTCCTGACCCTGCTAAATGTCAGACCCAATTAGATGAGAAATGGCGTCAAGCCAATTCTACAGTCAGCAGATACGGTCCTCCCCAGCCATCTGTCGCCTTCCGGTGAGTACTTGGTACGAATAACGGAGTGCGCTGACGGTTGGATGTATAAGGCAGTTGGAGACATTCCCCACGAATCCAAGTTTGGTCATGCCTCATCCACTATGCCAATCTGCGGCCAAGGCTTGGGTAATGACTTGTGAGTTCACTGCACAACGACAAAGATTGTTACTGAATGAGAGTATTCGATAGGATGTTCCAGCCAAAAATGATTTCTCATCCCCTCAATCCCGGTACGGAGAAGGTGAGTATTTCAGGTTTTGTGACATGATCTGATGTAGTAGTATTGGTTATGGATATCTCTGTAAGGCGCTAGCATCGAAACGATGGCGAATCATACCACAAACTACAAGCAGTGATCCACTTGTAGCATAACCCGATATCTAGTCACATACGATCTAAATACATATGTACCAATTCACGAATCCATAGCCTGTGAGGAAAGGAGTGAGATCACGGAGTCTTCCCCAATCATCCGTCATTGTCAGACTCGAAACAATTCACTTGCCCAGGAAGGTCATATTCCAATAGTAAGCCACTCATTCATTACCCATAGCAAGACTTACTTCTGGATGCGCGAGATACTTCCACCATCCCCAATACTTTCTTGACCAAACGAACTGATGTCAGCTCATCTGTCTTATCTTCTCGTTCTACTAACGATACCTCTCATAAAGCCAGCATAATTATCATACCTCGCATCGCTAATGGCAGCAAGCCGGGATATCGACTTATGGGAATCAGCATCTTGCGTACGATCATAGGCAACCTCATCAAACCTTTCTCCACTTCTCTGGTCCGAGTCCCAACAGGAAAAAAACTAACTCGGATCAATAGCTCGGTATTTATTCAGGAATAATTTATCAAACTCCTTCACTCTTTCCCTACCTATCGCCTCCATGATGATAGATGTGAGTTCGTCTACTTCGTGTGATAGGTGAGATATCATGGCGGGTACCCACGCGTTCATAAACCTAAGTGACACTGGCTTGAAAGGGTCTATGCCAAGTTCTTTGGATTCTACAGATATTGAGAGGTTTGATTGAGCTGGATTGAGTGGGGGAATGGGCGAAGAGATTGTCGGACGGTTTGAATGTATACCAGGAGAGTGGTATCGTATGTCATAAGCGCAAAGAGGCGAATAAGCAAAGAGGAAGGAAAGGAAGATGGTTGATGTTATTCCTGGTACACTACTGTACTCGGCAATGTGACTTGGGTGATACTGCCCCGAGTCCGACTCCATCTTTCACGGTCCGGGTTGGGGTCGGTTCACTCGCTCCCCTTGCAGATACAGAATCACGTCACTTTGTAAGAATAAGTATGTAAAGGGCACTACGAACAAGGACCGAGTCACTCGTGAGATAAGGAACGGATAAGACCACAAGCCTGAAAAACGTTCATATGTGAACTCGAACCAGTCAGGAGGATGAAGAGCAGGTCCTATTCAAATTTCATACATTTGATACATTCATATTCTACTCCCATAAACCCACACACTCTTATTCAAGACCCTAATCAACTTACAAACCAAAATCATACAAATCACCGTTGAAACGCCCACCAAGCAGCAGCGTTCTCTTCCCTCGATACACTCAAAGGAGTAGTATCCAAAGTTCCATAACCTCTATGACCCCATCTATCTTTCTTCCCTAATTTCTTTTCGTCCCTTTCACCAATCTTAGGAATACTCACACCGGAAATAGGAGAAAAAACATCTTCTTCATCATCTTCTAAAATCCTAGGGATAATCTCTACCGCTCTTCCTTTACCTTTATTAATCTTACCAGTATCTAAATTCCCATCACCTTGACTGGGTCCAGCTAAAACCAAACCTGAATCAACGGCTTGATATCGGACTTGTCGACCGTCGATGATTTGAATAGGTTGGATGTAATTGACGGCAGGTGGTGGGGAAACGGGTAAAACTGAATCTATTTGTTCAGATTCATCTAGATCACCTAGATCTTTACGGAATATACGCTTGAGTCCTACGGGTATGAGAACGGCGACTACTACGGCACATAATCCAAGAACGTTTCGGACTGAGAGAATGTGAAAATCGTCGGCGGAGGTCATAGAGTCAAGAGAAGAGCCGATGGTTACGTGGATTACAGAAACGGGGGCGATACCTGAGAGTGAGCATTTGGTCTTCACATTGAATATATTCAGACTATGTCCTTCGGTGGGATCTGATCTGCGCCATAGTAGACGGTCGACTTCACAAGTCACTAATCGGACTGGGGTGAGGGAGAAATTTGTTGAATCTGAAGACAGAGGGCATCGAAGGACCGAGCAGGTTTAAAGGTCAAGGACAAGGAGAAAAAGACAAATAGTTGAGCGCACTCACCCAGAAAACAACTCAGCCAAAATAACCCAACGTTTATCCCTAAATGAGGAGCGACGAAATTAGCCACCCAATGCGGCGGAAAAGGTGCTACCCTCAATACTATCAAAAAAGCGAAAACTCCATCCCACGATACCTGTTTCTCCGGAGGTCCCATGATTTTCGTTCTCCACGTTTCGACTCTTGCGCGGTAAAACGGTAATGCCAACAGGGGTGGCGCGAGGATAGCTGAGAGTGTATAACAAAAGACAGAACCGACCGATTCGCACAGACAAGAAAGAAGGAGTCCTCTAGCCATGCCGTATGCAGCACCGAAGAGGATGGAGATATACATCGAGCCTGGGAGGGAGAACGTTTGGACGCTAAGATTCAGCTTGCTGTCTAGTGGAAGTAAACGGAGGTACTCACAAGAGGTAGGATACAACCCCACATGCGAGGATTCTAAGAGGGTAGAGGGCTTTGTACTTTTGGAACATGTGACTGGTTGTTAGTCGTCATCATCACGCAAAAGAGATGTCCTCGGTTAAAGCAAGGTTTGACGGTGAAAGAATGCAAGTATTCTGTGATGACAGGTAATGCAAGTACTGGGGGATGAGATGTCCGTCGGATGAAATGGAGTAGACGCGAAGGGTGGGAAGGGAGGAAGGGGAGGGAGGGAGGGGGGGGGGAGTGTGAATCATCGTATGAAAAAGATTACTCACTTCAAAGCTTGTAAATCCGCAAAAGACCTAGGTAATTTCAAAACCCCTTTATCTGCTTCTTCCAATTTAGGTACACCCCAATAAAAAGTACCAGCCACAATAGAAGTGAAAATCATGAACAAAACTGCCAATCTAACTCCAGCAACGAACAAAGGTCCATTATACCATTTCTCATTAGGATCATAATTTTCATCAGGTAAAAGAGGTACATGTTCACCTTCTTCAGCTATAGAACATTCATCAGAATCTCTTCTTTCCAAAGATTCTTTCCTTATATGTTTGATAGGTTTAGGTATTGTCTCGTTCGACGACATGATTTTTATTATGGGGTTTTGGTATGTTGTTAAATTAGAATCGGACGAGATGGGATGAAGGGGAATAGTCGAAGTTTGAGATTGATGTTCTGTTGTTGTGGAAGGAGAATCAAATTGAGAATCAGAATGATCATTTAAATTTGGTGATGTAGAAGAATTATCAAGAGTATGATAACTCGGTACATCTGATCGTAACGTGATAGTTGAATCGTAATGTCTCGGTTGATCCAGATTTGTTAGGGTTGATGGAGTTTTGAGTGGTGATGTCGATGGGGAAGAAAGTGAAGATATTGATGGAGATAGAGATATGATACTTGATGATTTACGTTGACGAAAGGTTGGATGAGGTTGTGGATAAGGTGGATCCATATTGGTTGATGGTTTAATATTTGATGTTTGATCTATAAGAGAGGGTGGAGTTGAAAGGTTGATTGGTCGGTGGATGAAAGGTTGACGATTGAGAGTTCAAAAGATTTAAAAGGTCGGAGTTTCGATGATGATGAGACTGATGAGTATTTCCAATAGTTCGATGGTGAGGGGTAGGTTTGGTAAGCTGGGAGAACGGATGGATTGGTCGAAAGCAGTGTGTATCGTTGGAAGCACGAGGGAAGACCCGAATTGACCGATGACCGATAGTTGCAGATCACAGAACAAAGAAACCGGATGAAAGGTGTCTGAGAGTGACGGAGGAGGATGTAAGCGAGATAATTAGAGACAGAGGGCGTTGACTTGACAAGTCACTATAGGGGTCTGAGGGGGCAAGGATGTACGAATGTGAGTAATGAGATGTGAAAAGAGGTTGGGTGGAGTAAGTTGCTTACTGTGGGACGACGCAATCTCCCCCTTTACCTTTCAGGTTTTTACCGAAAGTGGCAATTCTTTCATTCAAGGGTTCTCTCTTGTGGCTGCTACTCGAAAAAGGGGCAAACGATGAACACCACATACTTATATACATATACGATATTCATCTACAAATCACCTATATCCACCTTCATCATACTCATACTCGGGATAAACAGCAGTCCATCTTCTACCTTTTGCCCAGTTCCTTCTTTCCTCTTCCCCCTTGGGCACCTCAGAACTAGCATCCCCATCTTGTACAGCTTGTTCCAACACTGCCAAAGCGATTTCGAAATTGATATCTCCAATATCTGATCTCAGCTCTTGTACATCATATGAAAACATAAGGAAGGATACTCACCACCAAAGGGCGGTAGCAATGCTTGATCAGGATCTTTAAGAGCGGGAGCTAATTCGGAAAGACGTTTGGCACCGGCTACTATCATATTGGGAGTCATGGCTTTACTTTGGGAGAGGATAGTACCGAAACCCAATCCTGGGTATATCATTGCCTGGTCGTTAGTCTTAAGACGTAACTGTTATCCTCCTACCACCGTCTCTCTCCGCTCTATGGCGAGCCGAGTGCACTGCTGAAATGGAGTAGAGAAGGTTGGGTACAAACATTCAAGACTTGATGATGACATCATGAGAATTCAAGATCGGTTAGTTGGAATGACAGACAAGAGGAAGAGGTACTCCAGGGACGAAGATAAAAGAAAAAGAAACAGATGTCCAACACTCACATTGTTACATTCCGCTACGACATACTTCTTCTCACTACCCGGAATGTCAACAGGAGGAAACGGTGAACCAGTAGCCATCAAAGCTTTTCCACCGCTCCACTCGTTGGCGTCTTTAGGGCTATTCATCAGCTCTTAATTCACATCATGTGTTTCTGAAAGAACCCACTGTACTTCGCAAAGTCGAGTGGGATTACTCAGCTGATCATCAGCTCACCCCTATAAAACCGCGAGATGCACAGTGTGAAATCTATTATCGACCGTTGATGATCCAGATAACTCACAGGAAAGATGATAGGTCGATCTACATGTTTACACATCTCTTTCACCTAACAAGGCTCAGCTTTCGTCCGCTACCAAGAAGCTGAGTTGAGCGACTCACCACTTCCTCCGTAAACGCTTTAGCGTGAGTACTGGTACCTATCAAAACTGTCGGTTTGACCTTTCCGATAACCTCCAACAACCCAGTCTCCCCATCTCCCCAATCCTCTTCAGACCGAATGAAAGATGTTTCAACCTCCGGCCGAATCTGATCTTCCGGAAGAGACCGTTTCAGAAGACCATGTTTGTCCAAAAGGTAAAAACGAGAAGCCGCTTCGGCTTCCGAACAAGAGGAAGAAAGAACGATGGCATCGCGCAATTGTCGAGCTATACCGAGACCAGCAGAACCGGCTCCATATATCACAATACGCTGATCCTCAATCTGTTGGTCAGTCATACTCGAGTAAGGCAAGGGTTTTCCAGACGGACGTTAGTTTTGGTGACTGAGATGGCGGCTTGTAAAGCTGCGAGCTGAATGCGTAAGCTCACGCGTCGTCAAAGGACTGCAGAGCTCACTGTAACGGCCCCAGTACCTTGGATGTCATCGTTGAACTGGGTTTACTCAGCTTGACCAAGTGCTGGATCGAAGGACTTGGCTCACAATAGAATGTTCATCCCTTTCCTGGTCAGTTTCGAAACTGTTGATCGATGAAAAAACGAACCTGTACTTTGCTAATAGTCTTTGAGCGTTGCTCACTCCCTAATTTTCAGCACAAGTTGAACGATACCAGAGAAGTGAATGCTTCATCCGGACTGAAGTGACTCACAAAATCTTCAAAATGCAACAAACACTTCGGCTGATGTTTCTTAACTAGTGCAACGAATTTATCGACAAATTCGTCATACCCCTGACCGCGAAGTCGTTTCTCCCGATAGCCCATGTAGAGTGGATCATCAAGGAGATCTTGATTGTTGGTGCCTACGTCAAGTGTCACAGCGAGGGCCTTTGCGGGGCTATCATTCAGCCGAAGACGTGGACGTGGGGGAAGGGACGAACTCGACACCGGCGGCAAGTGTGTAAATAACGGCTTTGGCAGCTGAGATGCCTATACCTCCTGAACCCTGCCTATCAGCTGGACCATCCAAGAGGACCCAGGAAGAAACCCTTCAGAAGAGCCTCTCTTGCGTCTCTCCGGCAATAGCGCTACTAGGGTATGGCTTAGTATGCGTGGCAATGACGCCTCAAAAGCGTAATGAAATCGGGTCGATGGAACAAGGATAGAAAGGCTATAGGTATAAACCAATGCACTTACCTGGTCCCCAATCCCCAAAATAGCTTCAGCATCCGAAACCACGATCAACTCCAATTCTCTACCCTCACAAGCATCCAGAAAGTCCTCTTCCATAGTGTCCGTCAGTGGTGGTGAAAGGTAGAGACCCTCACTTCGTCTGAACAGATGAGAATAATTGGCAATTGCATCCGCTTCTGTGGGTGTATATATGATAGGGAAGAGCTCTTCAAGGTGGGCAGAGAGGAGGGCGTAAGAGAGTGTCCAATTTTGAGCTGTGTGTCAACTGCGTGTGGGACGTAGATGCAACACATAATCGAATTGTACAATTAACCCCATTTCCCGCGCTGCAGAACAATGAAGTGACAATGCTGTAGTCAAGTAAGAAGGGTAGTGCAGTCAATGGATTCGGGGGACACGTCAGACATAGAGGGAACTCACCTTTGAGAGACTGTAGAAAAGAGTTACGTAGAATATCAGAACTACGAGCTTGATATTGTTGATAAGCTCGATCCACCTGTTCTTGGAGGGTGTCTACTCTAGAGGTTATCTTATATACTCTTCCGATTTCTAGCTCTTCTCACATTCCCTTTCTCTGTTTATTGCTCCAAGACCTCTACAAATGATATTGCCCGATGACACAACTAAGCGATTGAAACCTCTCTTCAAGCAACAAGTCTACGAACGAGTTATAGGTTTATGAACGCTTCCAAATGACCATAACGATTGAGGTGTCAAATTCCATAGCAATGTTTGACTCACGCATATGGTAATCTACCTCTTAAACCAAAATCATCCCTCTCTTTCCTCGTAAACGCACTACCCTTGTTGAACCTTGGATTATTCAATAACGCCGGTCCGCGAAGTGCGACCTTTATCGTCTTCTGACTGGTCGTAGTCATTGTTTTCTGGGTCGATATTGAACTCGATGTGAAGTGAGAAGAGGTAGGAAGTGAGAAGGGAATGTTTTGTCGTGGTGTGAAAATTCTAGGGACACAGTATAAACGTGAAAGTGATGTCATATAGTCAGGTCGGGGGTCTTGGGTAAGCGAGGTCGAGCTTGAAAATGGCTCGAGAGGATATCTCTACAAGTCAGTCAACTTCTTATCATACCTTGGTACTTTATAGATGAGAACCCACCGATAATAATCAGCGTATGGAGTGTTACACTACTCTGTCTGATCACTCAGTCTTGATGAACCCGAGTTGGTTCATGGCCACAAATAGTTCCAACGGAAAGAGGAGAGATTGTGGGACCCCGCATTCCTCGTTATCAAAACCGTAGTCAAATCCCACGTCATAGACTTCCTCTCCAAACTTGCTCCCTTCCCCGTCCAACTTTTCAACATCAACCAAACCATATATATACACCATGTCCCTCCGTCCTCTCCGCTATCTCCTCCCATACCCTGGATTGATATCACGGGCGACGTTCTCTTCTTCCTCTTACCTCCGATATTCCTTATCTGACAAGAACTCCATAGAAGAGTCGTCGAATTCAACCGTGACCCCTTTTGAAGATTCTCCTTCAATTTCGACTCCAACATCATCTCACTCTTCATCCTCTTCTTCTTCTCCCTCTCTGCCCCCTGAGACAAATCCAAATCCTCTGTTATCCGAGACTACTCCTGATGCTATCACCCCCACTTCATCCACAACTCCGACAACTTCGACGGATCCTCCCAAGCCAGAAACCACCCCAAAACCTCCCCTTCGTACACCCACTTTCTCACTTTCCAACCTCCTCCGACGTCCCATTCCCTCCCTCAACTCTCAATCTAAAAACAACAACAAAAACAAGAATATACCCCGTCATGAACCATTCAACACCTCTCCTCATCACTCAGCCTCATATACACACTTATTAACTATCACATGTTCCCCGAACAATGTCCTTCTGACTTTCTCCGATTCCGTCGGTCCAATGTTCGCAACTATAACAGGTGGATCGGATAAACAGTATAAAGGATCTAAAAAATCAGAGCCGGAACCCTGTCGTGCTGCTGGGAAGAAAATGGCTATGAAGATTGATGACCTTATTTCAAGGTATCCCAGAACCAGAGGAGTGGTAGATATGAGAATAATGGTAGCATTTAAAGGTTTGTATAATCAAAGAAGGTATAACGTCGTTAGTGGTTTATTAGGAGAAGAAGGGGAAAGAGTTAGGGGATTGATAACTGGTGTAGAAGATAGAACGCCGGCTAAGATTGGAGGTACTAGGAGTAAGAAGCCAAGAAGGATTTGATATGTATTGGATGATATACAAAGGGTCAGTCCTGGTTGAGAGTTCAGTGAGAAAGATAATGGACTGATGAAGTAGGTTTTCGGATGACTTCTCCGCATCACCATTGCATCGTTGGCCATGAAATTTCTGTCTACCCCATGCTGACTCGTGTTATGGACTGATGTGGATCATAATTATGTATCTGACGATACCGACGTGCTACATGCTCCATGCCCCATATCACATGTCCTATGCTACATGACCCAGTTTATCGAACCTGCCGTTGTGCGAAACATGACTCACATTATCGTCAATCGTAGGCTCTTTCGAAGTCCCCTTGGCCGCTTCACCGGCTTTGGGGGTCATAAAGATGCCAACATTATCATGCCCAAAAGGGTTCCCCGTTTATTCCTTGATCAGTCTGTATACATTGTTCAAGTTATGCTTTGGGGAAACATTCAATTATTCCACCTCTACCTTCCTTCCTTTGAATAGACTCTATTTCTGTTGTTTCAATGAGAACTGTTTAGTATCAGTATGTACGTAAGAAGAGCGTCCGCCTTCCGACGACATCAATGCATGGGATGCTGCTCAAGACTTATGCTCTAGCGCTACATAATATAAAACGAATCTACTTACTTTGCTGACACTTCAATGGTTGTATGCTGGGTATACACAGAGAGACCTTGTAAAATGAAAAGTTGTAATGCTGTATTGGGTGAGTGTATGAAGAGACCTGAGGGATTGACATGATCGGACCGAGGAACGAGAGACGGAAAACATGTTTGGGACAGAAACGCTCAGAGTCGAGTTGACATTAATGGTCCTGCACAGGAGTGATAGGGATTTTCGCGCTATGCTTGACGACTTGACCGACTGGAGGTGCTTTGAAAGGTACTTTAGCTTTATCATCCTTACCATCAGTGTCCCGTTCCAACTGAATGTGTCGACTTACCATGCTGAATTTCTCAAATAACGCATCGATAGTCATCACCGCCGCTGACAAGGACGGGGGTGAATACGCCACGTCAATATCCTTATTTGCCGTCCTGGCTGGGGTAGAAAACCTGATCCCTTTTATCCCTGATGGACTGTGCGGTCGCATCCTCCAATTCTTACTAGAGTCCGCCTTGCTGGGAGAAGGCTCTACGAGTGTCACGCTCTTGTTGAGCAATGCGTTGGTGCTATTAGATGTTTGTGTAGAGTCTGAAGTGACGCGGGAACCGAAGGTGTTGGTAATGCTCGATTGGTCACTGACTTTCCTTCCTTCGGTGGCGAAGTGCAGATGGGCGAAATCCATGGCGGCGGAATTGTGCAGATCGTCACTGAAGTATGGGACTTCTTGGTGAGTCTCCACAGAAGGTGAGCCGGGTATAGTAGGCAGAGAGGGAACTCCGAGACCAAGAAGTACCGTCTTGGTGTTGGATTTTGGAGACGGTGAAACGGGATTGAAAGTGAGTTTGGATGCTACCAAGTGGAGAGGGGCAAGGGCGGGGCGATTGTTTTCAACAGTCAACTTGATATGTTCCGAAGGACGCTGATAGTCAGAAGAGATCTGGTGATCTAGGATTGACCCACTGCATTCTCTTTATTCTTGCTCTTCTCCTGGCGAGCAACAGAGAGTGTATGAGTGTTGCCATTCTGGTTCGTATCAAGCTGACTAAGCGGGTTTGAGCTCTTGTTGATCGTCGATACCTTTTCTTGCGGTCGCTTGATAGGAATGACAGAGCTACGTGTCTCCAGCGGGACGACAGCGGCGGTTGTAGTCGACCGAGCGGTCTCGAAACGATCCACGCTGGTTTGGTACGTCGCAGGTACAATGTCGTCTTCCGGTAGTGTAGCATCCACACCGCTTGTTCATCAGCGACGATCATGTTATGTTGAATGTGACTCACCTGGGATTACGAGCATAAGGTAGTGACAGAGGTCCATAAAGCGCTGTGATGCGTTTCATCTGGGTCGAAGTGATCTTGCTCGTCTTCAAGTTCCTCAATTGCTCCTGACGCCACATGGAAAGTCTGTTGAAAGGGAAGGGTGGAAGGAAAGCTGATTGAGGTTGTTGCTGAGCTGAGTTCAGAGGTTCGGTCGAGGGTGTTGTCGTTGAAGTGACCGCCGGTCCTCCAGAAGAATGCGTACGAGAAGGTGCAGAACGTATGTGAGAGGATCGACGTTCTTCTCGGTCACGAACGACCTGTCGACGTACATATGGTGTCATTTGAGGTCCTAGATCTAGTTCTGCCGACATATCAGCGGAAACGAAAGATTCGTCGATATGTGAAGTATTCTTCTCTGCCGGTTCATTCGCCGGCTCGTTGATAGGATCATCAATTTGTTCTCCATGAGAGTCAATGTCGGCTTCATCCCCATCGGAAGCAGGGCGATCAGAGGAAACGTCGCTGTCGCTCCATCGAGGGTCGGGTACAAAAGTGTTACGAGCTTGAGGGGGCAGCGGCAACGAAGCTGATAAAGGGGTGGGTAAGGTACGTTGATAGGATGGTGAAGGAGGTTCAGAGTGAGTAGAAGAACGTAAACGTGCCTTGCCAAGCATTATACGACGTATGGCGTCGGAGAAGAGACCAAAGATGATGAGGGGGGTATGAACGAAGAGGATGAAGAGGACGATGAGGTAGAGACAGGAGAGGGATATACAAGCGTCGATCACAACGTAGATGGCGGTGAAGAGGGTGAAGCGCATGTGAGAGATACGCCAGAGAGGATTGGTGAATAACAAGAAGGAAGAGGGTGGGTGAAGGGACAAGTGAAGAGAGGACCCAAAAGGGAACCTCGTGAAACGGGGTGGGTGAAAGAGGAAGAGAGTAGTTGTACAGTGACTATTTGGCGTCAAGAGAAAAGACAGTTGGCCAAGAGGTATCAGACTTTATATAATTCACAGGTCTAGACACAAGAGGGTGATCGGTGAGGAGGAAGGAAGAGGTAATGAGAGAGAAAGAGGAAAGAAGATAGGTGTATAGGTGTGGAATGTGAGTTGCGTCAGAGTTAATTGTCATGGTGATCGATGACGATGACAATGACTTTCTTCCCTCTCTCTTCCATCTCTCATCTCAAAACCTACTGTATACAGAAGCTGAGAGTGGGTATATGCTTCACCTCACCCCATGAGGGTAACCCTCAGACTTACAATATGCTCGTCACCGCCACCGTCCATTGCAAAGCCGTTTTGACTTTTCTTTCAAACTCCTTTCATCTTCTCTCCCCTCCATCCCTCGTTTCGCCACCCCGACCATGGTCATGTTGAAAGGTTCACCTCTCGGCATACGGGCCGCCAAGCTTCCTTGCTGACTTCTGCTATCCAAATCTCACCATTCTCACCTGTGTTATGATATTGACCTTACATTGATTACTCATGTCGTGTCCGCCTGTCGTGGAGTCCTCGGTGAGTCATAAGCCACATTAGTCGGCCATGCTGACCAGGTGCAGTGGGACAACTGTTGGAGTTGTGGAGTGAGTCGTTCCCTCTTTGTTCATACCAACATGACTGACTTGATACAGGACGATGATCAGAAGATTTTGTGAGCTATCAGCACAAGTGATCACCATGTACGAGTACTAACATCGTGCAGATGGGCAATAGCCGCTTTGGCTTTAGTTGTGGTGAGCTTATCCAAGTAGTACACTATGAACGTTTCAAGCTAACACGACAGACTGCAATACTGACCCTCGGTCACATGACCCTTCATGCTATATACTACTACCATCGAGGAGCGCAAAAGCAGGTTTTGAGAATCATTTTCATGCCCCTTGTGTAAGCTGCATTCTATCTGTACTCGAACATCACTGACAACTTAGCTATGCTATCGCATCTTTCCTCGCATTCCGTTACCTCAAATATTTCGCCCCGCTCGACCTAGTAGCTGTGAGTCCGGCCATGTTAGAATTGCTCAAACTGATCAGGAAGGGAGTATGGGAAGCAATCACGGTGGCTGCTTTTCTGCTTCTGATCTTAGAGCTAGCCATGTCGATTGAAAGAAAGATCGAGCTAGGGCGACAAGACGCAATCGAAAAGAAGATCGAGGAGCACGTTTGGTAAGCTTGAGTCTGGGTAGTATTCATCCGCTGACAGTTCAGGTGGCTTGTGGGTTGATATACCCTTACCCGCACATGTGCTGACATCTTAGTGCTGTTGTGGAAACATTCATCCGTCAAGACCATATTTCCAGCCTCTAATCTTCTTGTCGGTCTTGCAGTTCGTGGTTGTTCGTCCGGTCATTGCGATGGTCACTTTCTACCTCGAAGTCAAGAACGAGGTGTGTTCTCGTGGCCGTCTTGAGAATGATGGATATCTGACTTGCAGGACTGCGGCACCATCAGCGTGGTGTTATCCGCCTTGAACGCCATCTCGGCCTTAGCGGCACTCCTAGGTCTCATGTTATTCCAACACGTCTTGAAACATGAATTAACAGAGAAGAAGCCGTTGAGGAAGGTGAGTTTTATGACGGCAGATCAGAACCTGGTCTTACCATTACAGGTCTTGTCCATCAAAGTTCTTGTGGGCCTGGTGATAATACAAAGTAGGTGTAATTCAGAGTGTAATTCTTAGCTAACCCACTCAGGCTTGATAATCTCGGTCCTAGTCGATCATGGCTACATTCAAGCCAATGCGTACTATAATGCGGTGGAACATGGCCACGCTTACGAAGCAGCTCTTGTGGTGGTGGAAATGGTCTTCTTTGCAGCGTTCATGTGAGAATTCCTTTCCCCTCTTCCTCGTATACTGATCTGCAGGTGTCATGCGTTTGACTATAGAGAGTTGTAAGATGCTTTCTTCTTATCCTTTTTCCCTCTGGACCTAATGTTGAATTGAATGCCTGCTGACAGCCAGCACACCTGATAGCCGCGCATTTCCAAAATTGGAGCACTATTCAGAGAAAAAGGCCGGACACACTTCTCCACCAGCAGAATCGGTGCTTCGTAAACCCAACGGACGGTACGGTTATTGGAGAGCGGTCCTCGATGCTGCCAATATTGTGGATTTCTTTTGGGAACTCGGTCGCAGCGTACGTTTCTTCGGTCGTATCGCCCTAGAAAAGGAGAAATCTTTCATTCAAACGCACAGAGTACGTTCTCACAATTTCAAACATCTTTGACCAGGCTTACACTCCAGCTGAATAAGTTACATCATGCAGAATCAGGAGATAAAAACCCAAGACATAAAAAATCAGGATAAAGATTCTGACTGTACTTACCACTAACATTCCTAATACTTATTGGACCCGCGTGAGCTATGAGAATACAGAATGCATCCTTTGCCGTATTTCTAGGGGTTTGTTCAGATCTAATCAGGCTGAGACACAGTCCTTTGAGCTTCTCCTATGGGGAAGAGCTGTTTCAACTAGGCTGCGTTGATTGGTAGGATATCGTTGGAAATGTTTAAGGGGCTCTGGATTTCTTTCTCACCACAAATTAGACGTCACCTCGACTTGACTATTGACACTATCTTGGCTGATAGGTTAGGAAAATCTTATCATCCGGAATCATGTCGAGCGCTACGGTTTGTCCTGCGGAGCAGGAGATTGATGTGAGTGGTGGCTTCGGTCATGAATTTTATGGTGTACGAAGTGGCAGGGTGAGCTGACACAGACAGTGGACTAATTGTCCAACATGTGGCGTGAGTTCTACCTTGAGACATAGGTCCGTTTACTGACATGGGCAGGGGACCACGCAAGAAGGAATGTCAGTTGAATTCTTGTCATGTCAAACATGAAATCTGGCTGATCCATAGGTGGGCCGTGATCTCCATATCGACGGTAGTAGTGAGTGTTTCTCTTCCCTCTCCCCTTTCTCCCCCTCTTTACCTTACTACTTTATCCTCTCGTCCTCCATCTTACCTCGATCGCGACCGCTTCTAAGGGAGAGAACTTTCGTCCGCCGATCAACACGGATCCACAAATGCCGGTGGTCCGGCTGCCCGGAGATGTCTTGGCGGTATTTATATGCTCATCACCAGGCGTGTGTCATCACCATCTACAACTTCTGGCGACATATCAATAGCTATAGAGTCCCATTGGTACAAAAACAAATACTTCGTATCATCCTTTTACCTTTCGTATACGCCATCATCTCATTACTAGCTTTCAAATGGTTTAAGCAATACGAATATTTCGAGCTTATCGAAGTCAGTCTTTCCTCCCTTCTATTACTTTAGATCACTGATGAAAAGAGCACTTGGGATGCTTTAGCAATTGCATCTTTCATTCTATTATTATATAGATTGGTGGTGTTGGCAGTGACGGATCATCCATTTGGACAAGAACAACATTTTTTCGATCGATTGAATCAAAAAGTTCAAGATGAAGCTAAGGCATGTAAGGAGAAAGGGGAAGAACCGTATAAAGGAGTGATGTATCCGTCAGTTATCATACTCTTCTATTCATTTCTTACCTCTTCTTCTTCATTTAACCTTTTAACCTCATTCTCAAGCATTTCGATCCAAGCTAATTAATTTATACCAGCAATCCGATACTTGAGAAAAATGACTGATGAGGTAGTATTCCCGTTAGCTGGTGGTTCAAGCTTTGGGTTGGTATCATTCTCAAGCCTCCCATCTCTCCCATTTTTCTCTTATCTGATCGTCTTCTTACTCTTCGGAGAATGACTATGGATTATGACTCACCCACAGTGTATGACATGCCATTTTTGGAGATCATATTATCAACCCTCAGAAAGATTTGTCAAATTCATCCTCATCGCCGTATTGCAGATTGTGCCCATTCGGATTCTTCTTTCCGTGGCTGGGATCCTTGGAGAAGCTGATGGTTGGGTGAGCTCCATTTTGACCCTTGTTTTGTCTGATCTCAATGGTCTTATTTGATCATACGGAGCAACATGCCCACTTTCAACCCCATCTTTTCGACCTTACCCTACCTTCTGATGGAAGATCTTTATTTCCCTTAGGGGAGAGAAGGGGGGGTGGGATGAGAGAACTGACGAAAAGCTTTGTCCTCAGGTATATTCGGTACACTTTGCAGGATTATGGATCGCCGCCATCAACTTTATCTCCGTCACTATCGCGATATATGCTTTACTGGTGTTTCATACGCTTTGTCATGCCGAGCTTGAGGGGAGAAGAGTTCTTCATAAGGTGATTCCTTCCATCTCAAATGCATCTCACTCCTTCTCATTTCACCCCTTTCCATCTCTTTACTTTCCTTCTGACCCATATCTGACCCCCACTGTGTCGTATTTTCGACAAGTGCACCGCTCTGGAAGACATGGAGTTGACGGACAGTTTTTGGCTATCAAATTGGTCATCATGGTCCTCTTTTATCAAAGTGAGTTCTTAAACATCAGCAAGGAGCGAGTGAGAGTATCAAGAGTGGTAGAGTCTATATCATTAACGAAACAGCCTTTATGATTGATATCCTTGAACATGGGGACATCATCTCATCCACTCAGTATTATACTAAATCTGACGCTGGAAAACTCTGGACGTCGGTTCTTACCGCTTTAGAAATGGCCATATTCTCTGCTTACATGTATGTTTCCTCTTCAATTTTCGATGAAACATGATGCTAATACTCAGGCTCTGGGCGTATGGGGCAAATGAGTTGTCAGTCATTCTCTCTTATCTTGGTTTCCAAGTCTTCTCTTTTGTTTACTCGTCCCTTATGAACATTCCTACTGTTTTCCTCTCGATCATTTGGAAGTATATATAATCAACAAAATGCGGTAGAAACTGATCGAAATAGTATCGGACCCAAATCGGATGATATAGACCATGTCGATGAAAAACATCTACAGGAAGATGGTACCTATGTCAAATATAAAGTATCACAAGCCTTGTGGGATACGATCAACATTATCGATTATTTCACTGAATTATGGGCCGCATTCGGATTCTTGAGCGGTTACATTTCTTGGCGTTGGCGTCATGGAGGTCGTTCGAGGACTATGTTGTCACAAATGAAGAATAAGTCAGTCTCTCTCTTTCTCTCTCCTCTTTCGATATGATTGGAAGTTGAAAGTATTCAAGTGTCGAGTGTTTGCTAAGATCGAGTGCTGATGAACAGATACAGTTTTTTGACGGTGGAAATGGCCACAATGGTGACGAAGTATCATGGGAGAAAGAGAAGGGACAATGAGAGCAGGGGAGGGGAGAGTGAAAAAGCGACCAGTTGATACCCTTTTTCTTCAGAATAAAGAGCCTTGAATGGTAAGTTGATCGCGATACTTGATGCAATGTAGAGTAGATGGACACGTTCATTGATCATTGACCAAGTACCTCTAAAATGCATAATTAGATTGAGACGTAATCTAAACGCCACATGCCACTTTGGGACACACAGCAACGAGTAACTTACTCTACTTTCCTCCTCCCCTTTTCATATATCTCTTCTTGTCATTTCCACAGGCCACAGAGAACGCGTCGAAAGTGATAATCATCTCTCTGTAGTCCCAACGGTCTTAGGTCGTACAGTCAACGGTCAACGGTAATCTGGAAAAAAACATCTGGGGGTCTCATAGGTCAACCATAACATCAGGATGGCTTTCACCGCTGCTGAGCTGCAAAAGGTGGGTAAAGTCTCCATTCCTACATGTTTCTCTATAGTACGGACGTCTCACTTGTGGAGAGTGTGTGGGCACAGTATGCGGGAGAAGATGTCGGTTTGGTGTTATGCTGGCGTGATATTCTGCCCCAGAGTTTCGAGGGCGTTTACCCTTCATCAACGAAACTCCAGGTCGCATCTTCTTCTGTATCGCCCCCTTCATGAGCTTTGTATACATTGGGATGTCAGATGAAGTGGCCAGCTGGTGATAAACTACCATGCTAATCTCCAGCGACATGGTCTCGAAGGTGCACCTGACCCTTTCCCCACGCTCGGTTCCACTGCTCCTCGTCCAACCAACAAACCTTCAACTCCTATTCCGGTAGACACATCATCCTCTGATGCTTTCCCTTCTCTCGGTCCATCTGCCGCACCTCAGGCGAACCTCATCAAGCCCGCTATATCCGCTTGGTCCGCTAAACCCTCTACTGTCAAATCAACCAAAGGTAAACCCCCCGCCCCTGGTGGTTTAGGTCGTATAGGTGCTCCAACGGCAGCTTCTCATCCATTCACCGATTCATTTTCTATCCCTTCTGATGATCTCGCACCTGTCAAAGTTGTCAATGAAACGGTCAAGAAAGCTCAAGAACAAACTGGTGCAATGGTGGAATCTAGCACTCAAATGAAAACTGGTCTTAAAACTTTTCTCATTCGTGCTGCTGATCAAAAACGTTTAGCATATGCTCGTAGGATCATCGAAAGGGGTATCAGTAAACCTGTCACTATAACTGTAGATGTACCCATCACCACGTTGGGTACTATCATAGGACCAAAAGGCGCTACTTTGAAAAGTATAACAGAGGCTACAACTTGCAAGATTGATATTCCTAAAAGAGAAACTTTACCGACTTACGAACCGAAAGAAGTTGAAGATGATGATGAAGAATCGGAAGAACCTAATGTTCCCATTTCTATATCTGGACCTTCTGTCGCTTGTTCGGATGCGAAAAGTAAAATTTTAGCTTTGATAGCTAATAAGGTATCTCAAATATCGACCAGTATCAAAACTATACCTTCATCTTATTATCCTTTCATCTCTAAACATGTGAAAAGTCAAGGATTGGATTCGGAAGATGTCAAAATTCATATTCCTCCTCCTGCCGTATGGAAAGCTTTGGAAAAACAAGGTGAAGAAGATGAAAGTGTTTCTACCAAAGATTTATCTATCAAGATCAAGGGTGATAGAGAAAAGGTTAAAATGGTAGTGGAAGAAATAAATAGGAGGTATGAAGAATTGAACGATACTCTTCGGGAACTTAAAATATCAATTCCGAAACGTCAACATCGATTCTTGGTCGGTACTTCCGCAGTGGACATTTTAGACCAGACAGGTTGTATTGTCGATTTACCTCCTGTGGAAGATCCTTCCGATCAATGTGTTATTCGAGGACCTCAATCATCACTCATTCCTGCTCTCACCCTAGTCATGGATAAAGCCAATGCGATCGCTGTGGAACAAGTCGATTTGGTACAGCTTCATCGTCCCAATACTTCCGACCCACTATCGCACGCCAAACGTGTATTGAGGTATCTGCAGCGTACCAACCGACTACGGAGTATTGCTGATACACATGGAGTAAAAGTTTATCCACCTTTCACAGCTTCCATCGCCTCTGGTAATGTTGTAGTGGAAGTCGTCGGGGAAGACAAAGGTGCCGTAGGGAAAGCTAAGGAGGAAGTTGCTCAAGCTGTCAAATCTATCCCACCTTCCGCAGTAACCACCCTCGAGATCGATCCTCTCGTTCACAGTATCTTGATTGGTAAGAAAGGAAGCAAAATTACAACTTTCGAAACCGCTCACACGGTTGCTACCCTCTTCCCACCCGCCTCGGAAGAATCATCAGATGTGGCTCTTGTTTACACCGGTCCTCTCGATTCACTACCTTCAGACAAGAAAGCTCGGGATGCGAAACTCAAAGAACTACTGTCTTCCGCATCTACAGCGCTGGAGGAACTCGCTAAGGGAGCTGCCGACATCAAGACGGAAACACTGGATGTCGATAGGAAATGGCATAAATTCATCATTGGACCCTCTGGAACGATTCTCAACGCTATTATCGGCGAAGATCAAATCGTCTCCGTTCGAGTCGGTTCAAAGGCAGGTTCTAAAGAAGGTTCAGACGATGTCATCGTGCGAGGTCCTTCTACCGAAGTGGAACGAGTAGTAGAACAAATCTTGAAAATCGTAGAAGATGCCAAAAATGATGATATCATCAATGGTCATACTGTCGAATTCAACGTTGACAAGAAACACGTCCCTCACCTTGTCGGAGCAGCAGGTGGAGCTATCAACAAACTGCGCGAGTCTTTAGGAGTGAAGATCAGTTTTGACGATATCGAAAATCAAAAATCTTCCAAGAAAGTAATGGTGGCGTGTAAGATTATCGGAAGGAAAGAGGCCGCAGAAGAGGCAGAACGACGTCTCAAGGCACAGATTGAGAAGTTGGAAGATGAAACAACAGAAGTAGTCGTGATTAAACGTGCTATCCAACCAGCACTCATTGGTGTAGGTGGGAAATACGCAGTACGTCTAGAAGAAAAATACGGAGTCAAACTTTCTTTTCCTAGAGATAAAGATTCCCCTAAACCGGATGAAGTGACCATACGAGGTGGTAGGAAAGGTGTGGCAGCTGTCAAAGCAGAATTATTAGAAGCTGCTGCTTTCGAAGCGGAATCAAGACAAACGTTGACTTTTACCATCCCTTCCAAAGCTGTAGCGCAGGTGGTGGGAAAAGGAGGAGCTACGATTAATGGGATCAAGGATGAAACTGGAGCCATGATTGATATTGATAAAAAAGGAGATGGAGAGACTAGTGTTACTGTAAAAGGAGATAAACAGGCTATTGCGGCTGCGAAAAAGGCCGTTTTGGCTGTGGTGGAAGAAGTGGGGGATGACATACAGTTGACGGTGACTATCGATCCGAAATACGTGAGTTGATTCGATATTGAAATGGAAGTTGTCGGGGTTAATTGTACTGATAAATAGCATCGATCTTTGATTGGTCCTGGTGGACAGAAAATACGTGATTTGGTCGTGGCTTGTGGTGGACCAGCAGAGGGGTCCAAGCAGACTGGTATGGTGACTTTGTGAGTTATGTCCTTATTGGGTCTTCCGAGTCTCTTTCCCTCATTCTCTCTCTTTCTCTCAGGCTTCTCTTACTTGATCCTCTACCTCTCCAATTCTACTATACCTCTTCATCTTCCTTCCCCTCTTCATCTCTCCTCCTCTCCAACCATTTCCACAGGCCTCATCACAGAGTCTTGGGTCTGTAAGATACAGAGAGCTCGGGTTACACATCTTATCGAAGCCAGTTGTCGTTAGTCATTTAGTCACTTGGAACTCCGGACGATGAGGGACGTGACTGACACCACAGCCCCAAAGCAGGCGACGAGCACCCTGATCAGGTCAGACTCCGCGGCGACGCTAAACTTGTCCAAGCACTCTCCACCGAGCTCACCAAACAAGCTTCCATCCTCTCCCAAACCATCATCATCGGAGTCCCTGTACCTTCTTCTCACCACGCTTCCAAAATCGGTCGAGGCGGTTCCGCTCTACTAGATCTTCAACGTAAAACCGGGACGACCATCCATTTCCCCGCTTCGAGACAATACAACTTTGTCGGTGAAATCTCAAACACCTCCGAACTAACAGATGCGGATCCGAAAGATATTGTCAAAGTCATCGGGACCAAGGAAGCTTGCGAAGCTGCAGCTGAAACTCTTCGAGTAACACCACCCGAACGTGCCCAAAGGAACGATTCGAGAGGGGGAAGGTCAACACCTGATTTCCCGACTAGAACTGTGGATATCCCATCCAAGTATTTCCATGCAATCGCTAATCAGCCTACCCTCATTCGACAGATCAGAGCAGCAGGGGGATTCCTGACGATCCCCCAGGCCCCGCAGAAAGTGGAAGTGAAACAACATATGAACGGGAACGGGTTGGCGGCCAAGACGGCAAGGATTGATTTGGACGCGGAGGACGAAGAAGGAGAATTTGAATTGAGGAGGAATTATGAGGACGGGGATGAGGGGACATCGAGTTGGGTGGTGAAAGCTAAAGAGGAGGATTTGGAGACGGCGGTGGCGGTTTTGGAGGCGGCTGTGGAGAAGGCCAAAGCTCTTTCTCATGGTGAGTCTTAGCTTCCCCGATGAGTGCAGTCATACCCTCTCACATATCTACCCCTACGCCCGTGTCACGTTTGATTCTTCTTTACCCATCATGAGTCCGACTTTATCATTCGTCGCGGTGATCCAGGACATCGCTTGGAATGTCAGCAATAAGTATATTTTCGTACGTTGGAAGAGGCAATACGACCGTGAGTGCGGGCTGACCAGACAGTTGGGCTTTTGACCGGCTTACCGAGATCTGCCTTTCCGAGAATTATCGGGTCGAAAGGGGCTACTATATCTAGATTGCGAGCGGAGACAGGTGCGGAGATACAAGTGGGGAAGGATGATGATTTGATCACGATCTATGGTAGTGAGTTGTTCTTTCCGGTCAGCTATGAGTTGTCCCCTGTCCTGCCTTCCAAGCGGCCACTTTCCTTTACTCGCTTCTAAAACTCTTGGTTCTGGGTCCATGTGATACTGTGTGATGATAGAAGTTGTGGGAGAGATATGATTAGTTACCGAGTAGAGCAAATGCTATGCTGTGTGAGTAATCCGCTGACGGTCAGACGAAACTTCAGTGGTGGGAGCTAAGAATGCCATCTTATCCATCGTTTCACGTCCTGCTCGACATCAATACTAAGTCGATGTTGGGTCAAAGTGTAGGAAAAAATAAATCAGTTGATATACACTTCTCATCTGATGCTGATGCATGGTTGCTAGTTGCTATTTGTTCCTACTCGACGTCGTCTGAGTTGTCGTCGCCATGGTCAAGCAGATCGTGATTTTGGTTGTCTCCAAAGACAGATGTTAATGCAGTCATCGCGGGTCGGGTGCTTTTCATCGGCAACTACTTGAACACTGCTACTGAGTCATCTTCAAAGTTAGCCGAAAGCGTTGCACCGCCGCAAGCAGGATTCAAACGTCATCGTCATTGAACCATTATTCCCTTTGACAATGTGAGACGAACAAAGTGGGCAGATATGAGAAGGGATATGATGGTATGATATTCGAAAGCATGAGCACAAGGTTCCGCATCTATAATGATCTGGTGCATGGTGATATCGGGTCAAGTGAGAGATAGAGGGGATTTTGAGTGGAGTGCCGTCTTTATCTTTCCGCTAGTAGCTTCTCCCTATGACGTGGTGTCCGGAGATTGGTCTTTACTCAAATCTCTTCAATCTCAAGTCATCATTTCTCCTCTGTTACATCTTTTCCCTTTTCATCGTCGTCTGTGCAGTAACTCTGCAGCCATATTGTAGTGCGTAGTACCTACTTGAGTGTACCTATATACTGTATCATCAATTTGGCAGCTGGTCAGAAACCGAACCGGATTTGATACCGAGCCTTTCTTTTTCTTCCCACGATCCATTACCGTGGTACCGTGGGCCATCGGCCAGCCATCAATTTGTAAGTTTCACTCAATTAATACATCTCTTCCCTCTTCTCTTCTCTCATTTACTCTCTTTCTCCAATCCATGTTCAAAGAATAGAGTCTAGAACATATAGGAAAGAAGGAAGGAAGAACCAAGTACTACGACTGATCTTCAGTACGTACAATAAGGAAAATCGACGAAACGACGAATGACGAAAATAGTCCTTTGATCTGTTGGAAATTTCATTCACCGCCGCGTTGAACGGCATCATCGACTTGAAGGGAACAATACCATTACGATACATGTATACAACTCCCGACTGACGTGGGACAATAAAGTGGGAAACGTGTTTTCTGGGGATCACGATCTTCGACTTTGACGACTTTTTTTGCCTTCTCACACTAGTACACTCGAGGTCGAAAACATTTCTCGGTAAAGACCAAGTTGGAAAGAGCTGTTTTGGTCATACCTATTTTGGTATGTCCCTTCTTTTCCCTCTTCCCTCTTCCCTCTTTATGGCGGTAGAGTATCATTCATCTCATACTATCTCCTGGTTCCGTAGGACATGGGATGGGGTTGACCACGTTTTGTGAGACTACCTCGTGGTACATCGAGTCTGACCATAACTCATTTTGAGAAAAAAAATGAAGTTGACCACTTTAGAAAACCCCCCACAATGCGTTTTTTCACTCCCAAATACCTCTTCCTCCTGACCCTGCCCTTTCTCCATCACAGCAAAGCAGAAGATGTTCTTTTTACAGACGCAGTGACATATTGTGCCGAATCGAAAGCGATTCTCATTGATTCTTTCCAAATAGCTTATCATCGCGCCAATCATTCAGTCACATTCTCATTTTCACTCGCATCTGTCGAAAGCAATTTAAACGTTTCTGCGAATATATATCTGAACGTTTATGGGATACAGGCTGTTAATCAAACTTTGGATTTGTGTTCTTATTTCGCCGGGGTTATTTGTCCTTTACCTCAAGTGAACTTTACTGGTGAGTTCTTCTTTTGTGATTCTTCCAACCAATCCTTCCTCCTTCTGCCCACTATACAGCTTGTTCCATACTCTGTCCTCCTCAACTTCTCTATGTAGCCTTCGCCTACCGACCATCCCTTAGTGGTCTCGACCCTACGGTGCTTGTATCCTTTGTATCTGGGGACGCCGTAGGAGGTCAGATCATACATTGCGGTGGTTCATGTAGGGTTTCCACGTTTTGACTCGTGATATCAAAACACAACCCACGTTGACACTCAGGCTACGGCACTTATCCCATACCTCTCAAATACACTTCCAAACTTCCCTCCATCGCCTGGCATGTCCCCAATATCGAAGCCTACGCTCGTGTCGAACTCCTCCGTCAAGGTTCCAACGAAATCGCCGCATGTCTCCAAGCGACTCTTTCCAATGGCTGGTCCACACGGCAACCTGTCGTGATGTGGGTTTCCGGCATATTCACTCTCCTCGCTCTGCTAGTGGCATTATTCCACACCATCCTCGCCAATTCCCCATCACCAGCACAATACCGATGGTTCGATATCCTTTACCTATTCCAATCGGCAGGTGCGACCGGTCTCATGCATCTCAACTACCCTAGCGTCTACTCGGCGTTTACTCAGAATTTCCATTGGGCATTGGGATTGCTTTCGTCAAGCGGTGAACAGAGCAGTATCGACAAATTACGCATGAAAACAGGAGGACATCTAACCTCTGAAGCATATTCCGACGTTCAATACATCGACCGTCAATTATCACCCTATAACACTTTTGTCGTTGATATTAACGACGCTTTCCAGTCGACCTCTTCCCTCAAGTCCTTCATTGCCGAGAATTCTTTCAAACCTCGAGAGATTATTCCTTCCTTAGACAGTCGAGCCATGATTCCATCCACTATAGATCAAAATGCCACGACGGATCTAGACACCGGTATCCCTGTTTATGTCAACACACTCAATATCCCTTCAGCCAACGCATTCGACACGGCGTTCTTCGTTTTCCTTTCCCTGTGCGCAATTTTCATTGCCACTCATGCTCTTTTATTTCTGATCGTCTTCCTCGTCGAACGTTTTCGTCCCAAAACTACCTGGGCTGTAAGATTACGAAACATGTGGTGGGATTTTTGCTTTGGGAATACTCTTCGTCTCTGTCTCCTCGCTTTTCTGCCAATATGGATCTTCGGGTTCTTACAATTCAAAACTGGTGATTCGGGATTATCCATCTTTCTCGCAGTTCTAGCCATCCTTCTCACTTTGGTTCCTCTCACCATCACCGTCTACCTTTCTTTCCTCCGAGATCGTCGACCATCTTCAACAGCACCAGACATCTCCGCGTTGTATACAAATTACAAATGGTTCCATTCCGCTGGAGTTCTTTACCGACCCTATCGACAAACATATCATTTCTTCTGGTTCGCACCTTTGGTACTCGCCATGATTGTCCGTGCCGCTTTCACAGCATTGGGGCCTACTTCCGCTTGGGTCCAAGTCATCGGTAATCTCGTGGTGGAAGCTGTTGTATTTGTCTCGCTCGTTGTTTGTCGACCGCACAAAGACAAGAAGGGAGATTGGATCGTCAGTTTTTTGAGCGCATGTAGGTTAGCGGTGGCAGGTTTAATGGTTGCTTTTATACCTTCGATAAAGGTTGCTGCGATACCTAGGACAGTCATTGGGTTCATTATGATCATATTGTTTGGTGTTCCTACTGTTATCTTATTTTTGGGATTGATATGGAATGCCGGTGAGTTATCAACTTCTTTTCTTGATTATACCCCGGATCACACCCCTTCCTTCTCTTTTTCTCCTTATCGCTTGCCAGTTCCATCTGGCAATTCTCTCGCTCACAAATACTTTGACTTTGTTTCAGGCTGTTCCCCCGAGGCTGCCCTTATCCACTATTGATTCGTGTGGGGGGAGATCATGGATAAATCACATCCTCAAATGAATTGTTCGAAATTCTGACGCTAATTCAAAGGCTACGGCTACCTCTGGCGTCGTCGCACTCGTCGAATCGAAGACGGTCTCGAAGTAGATCGTTTCGTCGCATCTGACAATTCATCCCGTCAAGCTATCCGACCTGTTGAAATTGATGAAAAGTCCGCTCAACCCGATGAAGGCAAAAACGACAAGACTGATAATACCGATGTCGATTCCTCACCTGTATCTTCTAATCCCATTTCGACTACATTCCCAGCCGAATCTTCCCATACGGCATTAGGCAGACAAAAAAGTATCATCGAATATTCTGATGTCCCCAATTCTCCTTCAAACCACGAAAGAAAACGTCATTCCACAGCACAAGATGCATACGACAAAGTAGCCAGAGGCGGAGGGGTGGTTCATGGTCCAGGTATGAATAGAGGATTGAGTAATACAAGTGGTGTGAGCGGGACATCTGGGGAGACTAGGTATTATACACCTGGTACGTATTCCGGAGAAGAGGGGGAATACTTTCATGAATGATCATTTGAACATGTGGGGGTATTATGAGATTTCGGATTTCTAAATGACAAAGGTTTATAACGTTTGGAGTTTCTAAGGTCCCGAGGGATTGTGTGAGGGTGAGATGAAGTTGGGAAGTGGGAAGGGAATTTTGAGGGTTTCAGAGATCATAGATGGGTTTTTATCTTATGTAGCATTAGGTATTAGCATGATGCATTGCTTTTTGATGGAACATACTTTTACGCTTGTATCTGTTTCTGCTATGTTGGTACTTGTCCCTGACTCACTATTAGCATTCTCATAGACTATAGAGAATTTACACATAATTTTTTCAACCTTCTCACACGCATTGTCCCCATTCCTATATTAAAACTCCAACTCCACTGATGTCTGTTTGTGTTCAGCAACAAAGTGAATAACACGGTCATGCTGAATGAGTCTGGTAGAGTACTCGTAGAGTCTGGAGGTAAGGGGTGAGCGGTCTTACATGATACTTTAGAACTAGGATACTTTCTGCGTGACATTAATCAGCTAAGTCATTCGAGGGTTTGTACATCCTATCATCCACACCATATCAGATCATCATCGTTAGAGAATCCTTTCAGAAAAAGCTATTAACACCTCTGCAGTTTGTAAGCAAAAAATAACATACATACAAATATCCATCTCCCATGACTTTTTATAACAAAAAGGCAAATAGTCAATCAAAGACCGAAAAAAGGAAATTGTATTATTCGCATTAATTCATAATTTAGTCGAACATCCTTATCCTTCCTGTATCTATACCGGTAGGTAACAACACTAACATTGATATTTATGTAAATTGTCTATCGACGGGGAGTCGGTAATGATCGACGAGGAATTTTAGACCAGCCAGGAAGAGAAGTTTCTCTGACGGATTGATTACATATTGGACAATTACCGGATCCTCTTTGTAACCATCGATCTATGCAATGTTGCTTTTTGTCAGCCATGTGTGTTAATATGATATTACATAGTGTGTGGGTTGAAGGAAGATGTTCAAAAGATAGATGAACGAAAAATGTTGGGGAAAACTTGGTTTCTGAAGGAAGGAGGGGTAAGGGATGATATGGAAGGAAGAAGTGTGGAGAAGAATGGGATTTAGAAGTGGTTGAAGATTCGTGTGAAGAACTTTACAGGGAGAATACAATTGAAGATCGGTTAATGATCCAAGTGAATCAGTTCACACGATCACCGAACTTGAAGTAAGACTTTGACGGAAGGGGATGGGATACATGAGAAGTTGACCAAAGTAAAACACGATGTGAAGAGTAAGATGGAGCAGTAAGAAGGGAGGAATGAGAAAACCTTTTGACTCACATGAAACAAATGTCCACAACCTAAAAATCTCAGAACATCAGCTGTATAAACTACCTCTCCCACCCCATCCGGTTGACAATAATTCTCATGACAAATCACGCAGATAGCTTCGTCCGGTGTCAAGTAAACACATGGACGAGTTAATTTCGTACAATCCCATAATTCTCCTCTTATGTGCCAAAACCCAGTGTTCAGTGTTAATCGGTTACAACCTTTGTAATGTGTAGAATCTGATTTGTCGGTGAGGATTGAATCGTTTGGAACATTTGTAGAAGATGAATCGGAAGTGGGAACAAGTGCCGGTAGGTAATGTACCGATCGGAGTAATATGAGTTCATCGTATGATAATGTTGATGATGGTGGTGGACGAGGAGGTTCAGGTTGAGGGAGAGGAGGTATGATTCGTAATCTTCGTAAGAGGTTCTGGAAGGTGAGCTTCGATATCCCTTGTGACCCCGTCTTCTGCCAAAGATAAAGTTGTCACACAAACGCTGATGATATGATACAGGTTCAGAAACTGATTCTTGGTTGATGATGGAATGTGAAGGGAATGATGAGGGAGCCAATTTAAACTGAAAAGGTGTGGTCAGAAGGACGGGGAGCCGAAAAACTTAGAACTGACCATAATCAAAGCTCCACCTAAACCAATAATCACCACAACAACCAATATTTGTAAGATCAAAAACCATCCAACTCCCACTACAATCATAACTCCCCACCATAGAGTAGGAGCAGAATGGAAACATGTTTCTGTTTTTGATGGTGGAGGGTAGAAAAGGATTACATGACCAAGTAAGAACATATTGAGTGCTAGAAGACCCATGAGTTTCGAAACACTCTTTTGTCAATTTACGATCTATCATTCTGATAATTATGACTTACAATGGGGCTAGATCGTCGGCTTTTGCAGCCCATCTACTCCAATCCGCTCGTTGTCGAGTAATTTCGATTGTCTGGGGATCGAGGACTTGTACAGCCGAGGAAGAAGATAGTGTTCCGATGCCGTTGACTGGAGGTATCGGAGCGACTTGAGATGGGTGAGAGGTTGGATGCTTGTCCTGCTCGGAAGCACTTGAGTGTAGCGTAGGGGTGGAACCCGAGAGGTCTGTGCATTGTGTTGTGTGGGCAGTCTGAGAGGTGGCGGTAGGTGTGAGGGAAGACGAAGAGGATGATGCGGGGTAAATGGGTTGTGGTAAGGGATCTCTTTGCACAATAGGGACAGCTGGGATAGTCGACGGGTTTTGATTTGAACTGAGTATCAGCGTGATCCTTACCGCATGGAAAGTATGTTCACACTTCAATGAGAGTAATGAGAGTTCGCTGGCGTGACTGGCCTGAAGCAGAGCGTGGAGACGGTAGATTTCACACGAAAGGAAGGCGGGATTAGGATTACAAAGCGGTTAATGCAGTAAGGAAACACTGACTGAATTTGTGTCTGCACGACCATCTCCTCCCCTTCCTCCTCATCAGGGACCCTCTCCCGTCGTCTCCTCCTTGTACAAATCCAACAACTTGCCGACCAGCAGATGATGAGCCTCAGAGCGTTCAAACCCATCCACACTTGGAACAACACAGGATGAGGACAACTTCGACTTGGTCGGGCTTGAGTTTCAGAGTGATTGAGTGGGGAAGGAAGGATGAAAGAGAGGATGAGGAGGATTAGAAGTGCCAAGACCTATCGAGAATATCAGCTTTTTATCGAGTACTTTTATTTACCATATGAACATCACCTCCAATCACCACTTAACATCCTTTTGTATAACTCGTAGAAGTGCTGGTTGAAGTAATACGAATGAAGGGCATTCAGTTATGCGGCAAGGGATGAGTGATCCGAGACAGTCGGAAGATCTAAAACACTCACCTGGCCTAAAGATATACTAGCTTTCAAGATCATTATACCCATCCAACTTTGTCTGAACCTCTGTAAGTTGGTCCACGTAGAAGACAAAGTCCACCTTCTATCTTGAGCCCTCTCCATCCTATCCCTCTCATCAATCATATTCCCCATGACTCGTGTTGCGGGATCCGAGCGGGTGGCCATTTTCACCTTCAGAA